AGCAAATGTGTTTTGGTAAGAAAATTTCCACTTTCATATCATATCAAAATTTCAAAAATCATGGCTACTGAAATATCTTCAAAATACACGCATTTAGCATTTAGCTAGCTAACTACTCGTGTAACAAAATTTCATTATTTTTAATTCAGTATAACATTTATATCACCTAAGATGACATAATCTGAAAACGTTTATTGAAATAATGCTGTAGTTTTCTGGTCAACAAAAGAAGGATAATGTCATTTATTTTTATCCGGAGTTTCGGACTAGTCCACTTAATTAAAATTGGAATCAAGGATCGGAAGTCGAAGTCGGTTTAAAAAATATTTTCATTGACTAACTAATTCTTCTTCAAAATATCAGAACAACTTAATTAATTAGTATTTACAGTCAAATGCAATAGACATCTTAAATGGGGTGCACCTTGTTAAAAGAAAGGTAAAAGACACATTACCAAGAGGAAATCTGTATTAGGATTTGATTTGGTATTTTGAGTAGACTATCACCAAAACAACAAAGCCAAATGGGAGATCTGCCAACTGAGCAAAAACAAGGAGGAATTCAACTGCCACAACCCCATCTTAGTCTCGATCCTTATCATCATCATCACTGGAAATGAACCATCTATCATCATGCATTTGGAAAGTTAGGTCCCTCATTGCATGACTTAATGATAAATGAGTGGTTATGTTTTCATGTCAAAGTCACACTCATTATGCCCTTTGGTTTATTGGTTTTTGATAGGTCCTCTCTAATGGAACCTGTATATCTCCATGACAGATTGGCCTCAATATTCATTGGATTGGTGCCAAGGGGACTTAAATTTATAAAACCTCCTAATTGTAGTGTGCATTAACTGGAATCGCACTCTTTTTATTTAGTGCCTTCTGAATTAATTCAACTAGTGGATCTTTGTACGAGTAGCAAGATCACCCTAAGAAAAAATTAAATAAAAATACAATTGTGTAGTATTTGCATTTTAGGTCTTGACCCCCTTTTCAAAAAAAAAAAAAAAAAAGGTCTTGACCCTCCCATAAGCCTTTTCATTTGACGAGATTCACCCACGTAGTGTACTAATTTAAAGATATTAGGTTTCGGCCTCTTTAATTGTTTAAAAAAAAAAAAAAGCCTTATCATTCAAATTTCGTTTCAGAAAAAAATAAAATTTAGGAAGAAAAGAGAAAAAAAAAAAAAAAGAAAGAAAGAAAAAGTTAGGAAAAGGAAAAGAAAAGGAAGGGAAGAAGGAGAAGAATGTTTCGTCTTGCGCGTGAAAAGCTAGAGAGACATCTAATCATGGGCCTCTTATTCATAATAAGAGTGGTCCATTAAGGAGGGGGATTTAATGTTTCACTTTAACTGGACATTTAAAAATACTAATAAGCTTCAAGGCCCAATTCAAAAATAATTTTGTATTTTTAAAAATTAAATATTTCTGGTCCCAACTCCAAATCAAAATGAGAGGTTTCCATGAGTCAGTCTGCATTGACGTTGTGATGATGAGTTTGATGCACTAACCAACAACAGTAATTGAGTAATCAGAGAGGGTCACACTTTGACATTACTTTTTTGCTCGCTGGGTAAGAAAAGGAGCTATTTACCCTCTTTTGATTTTGGCTACTCATCAACACTTTGCACGTGTGTGTACTCAATGTTTCTACGTACATCAAGGACGGAATGATGTTAGTCACGCGCCATTAAAAAGGATCCTCTGACCATTAAAAATTTATGTATGCAAAAAAGTTGTAGTACTCTCAAGAAATTACCCGTGATTTTGTTTTTCTAAACTCTAATAAAATAAATATTTGGAATAAATCCTAGGTCGTGGTAGTTGATACTCCCTCCGATCCTTAATATAAGACATTTTGATTTGTCCTAGGTTTAACCTAGTATACATTTTTAATCGACGAAAAAACCTTAAAAATATATTATAACAATCAACAGAACACAATAAATGTAAAAATACATTTTTAAAAAAAATTTTCAATTAAAAATGTGTACTAGGTGAAATTTAGAAAAAGTCAAAATGCCTCATAATAAGGATCGGAGGGAATACCCCTGCAATCAGTAGCGGATCTAAGATAAAAATACAGAGGGGGCCATATATAAGATAAAAATGCCAAAGGATTATTCTTTCCATTTTGTAATGATTGTCCACTTAAATTTTATTTTTAATACACACTCGTGATGAGTCTTCATCTTTTAATTATGTTCGATCAATTATTGTGGTATGTGTTCTTTTAAATTTAGAGAACATGAAAAATAAAAATAGAGAAGGAAAAAAAAAAGTAAAACGATTGACCAAAACAAAATTATGTTTTGATTAGAAAAGTTATGCGTGGAAAAAACGGAGAGAGCATACGGTTTGGTGAATTTCCAATTTGATTTTCTGTCTAATCTATTTTTTTGTTGAAAAAACAAAAGCAAGCCTATGTTTGGGGCTGAATAAGTCTTCTTCAATTGCAAATAAAGGATAATAAACAGATGATAAAAATTACTAGTAAAGATGAAAGTAAATTAGTAAATCAATTTTCAATAAAATTAGTAAAGATATAAGAGTCATGTAGAAGGATAATTTGCTTATTTGAGAAAAAGCTGCTCTCAATATAAAAAAATAGCTCTCAATTTATCAATTGTTTTAATTTTAATGAACTTTCGGATTTGTGGAATCCGGAAATATATATATGTTCACATATATTTGTGATAATGTTAATATTAGCATAATATTTGTGGTGGTTTATGTGTTGTTTTGAATATTATCTATGCTAATATTAGTGCTTTGATTCTTAATTTGATCATAGGAAGGATTTGGAACAAAAAGAAGAAAAGTGTTGATTTTGAAGAGATTTTGAAGGTTTTATTGAATCAAGTTTCAAGGTGGAGAAGAAGTGGTTGATTCCAGCATGGGCACACAAAATCCATGCCAAAATCAATGAAGGGATCAGGAAATTCCAGCAACAATGTTGTACTCCCGTGTGGGCACGCTATAACAGGGACTAAAGTACAAAATTTCTAAAGTTTTAGAGTCAATTTGTAATTTTAACAAATTTTAGGGACCAATTTGAAAATTCTGAAAATTTAATTGGTTGCTACGATTTCTGAACGGGATGAACGTGGGGATGTCCTAAATTTGCATATAAATAGTCTTTTTCTTATTATTAAGAAAGGGAGAAGAAGAGGCATAACACAAGGCTGAAGCTCAAGACAAGGATTTCTCTCCGTTTTCGTCAGTTTTAGCTCTGTAATGTCAAACATCAATCTTGTGTCGTTGATTTCACCATGATTAGCAACTAAACCTATTTTCTAGTTAAAAAATTTTATTGAAGTCTTGATGTTATTCAATTGTGAGATCTAACTGTTTGCTTTTCACCAACGAATTTTGAGTATTTATTTATTCTCTTTGATGTGTATTGATGATTATGTGACATTATTTGAATAGCTGGTAGCATTCAATTCTCCTAGATAATCTAATTTATTGAACAACAAGGTTTGTTTGTTCCTTAGAAGAGACAATGCAAATAATTACTTGGTAAGTAGTTTACTTGTGTTGTGAGAATAAATAATCAATTTTTAATGAAACAAGGTTTGTTTGTTAGAAATTGAATTGGGTCTTTGCTTGTCAAAAACTAAATCCTAGGAGGTTCTAGTTAGTGTTTTTTGGCTATAGAGTGGTTAATGAAGGTTTCTTAGTTACTGGTAGTTAAATAAAAAGATTGAATTGTTAGGAGGTTCCAACAACGATAAGTAATACATTCATGATTTGTTGAGTTAATCTTTGCATCAATGATCAGTTGGATACATCAAGGTGGAAATTATTCCTTTGACTAGAGTTTCTCTTATTATTGATTTTTCAAAACTATCTTTTATTATTCGCCAGTTATTTTTTGTCATCCCTTAGTTATAATCAAAAAATACGTCCATTTGGTTATTTTACTTTTGATTAGAAATATTTTCATTTCCTTGCTCCCTGAGGAGACGACCCTACTCATTGCTATACTACTAAATTTCTTAGGAGTAGGTTCTTTTATTTTTGTTGGTTTGACAACTCTACCAATTTGAAAAAAATTAAATTTGTCCACCATTATTTTAAAGAATTTTTTTGGGGAAAAGACCTCGGGCGGAATATCAAAAAGACTCCACAGTTTATCTATTAACTAAAATATCTTTAATATTTTAGGAAAAAAATTTAAAAACATGTGTTAATTAATTATCAAAAAATCCTCCGACAACTAAAAATTATTGTATACATATGAAGTTCGGGATTTAAAAAAAAAAAAAAAACTGTTTGTACCCTCTGTGTTTTTCTTTTCTTTTTTTTCAAACTTATATAAAATCAAATATTCACTTTTTGATTCAAAATTTACTTTTTACGAGTCCCAAAAGTTAAAATTTGAATTTAAAAGTTCAATAAAAATGTGTTTTTGCCACTTTAGCTGAATTCATGTACATACATCAATTTTTCAAGGGACTTTTTATACTTTTTAAGCAGTAAAGATGTTTGAAATCATCAGACAAACCTCGTGGGTGTTTTTTAAATTAACCCAAAACATAATCCTAGGTAATCAATCGGATGCATCCAACGACTTTATTCCCTTCAATTAGAATCGTCGACTAATGTGAATGGATTATCAGCTGGGTTGGCCATAAAACTTAGCGATTCTTATCATCGTTACAAACACATACATACAACCTCAAATTTACACTCAGCCATCTTCTCTTTAAAAAAAATAGAGGAAGAAAAAGAAGCAAAAAGCTAAGATCGGCTATGCAATAACTGTCGATAGCCTGTACCATTGATCAACATAACTACGAACCTGAACTATTGCCAAACTAAAAAGTTTACAGCTTACAAAATTACACAAACAAAGATAATTCACTGACAAGGTCAAAAATGACAGCCAAGTGTAGATTAAGAAAAGATGAAAACCATGAAGCCAGAAATAATATTAGCAAACCATCACAAATTGCTTGTATCATTCACCTTCAGCTTTCTTGTGGTCTGCTCATAGAAAGCTAGTTCCCAGAACCAGTTCATTCAAGTTGGACATTATCTGCTTTCTTGTAGTTCCAATCTGGTGAGCAATTTCAAGCTGCTCTTCTAAAGGAAGCATTTCATAGCTGCACATAAATGAGAAGGGAGTTTGCTGCAGGTTAAATGTGTTCCTCCTAAAACCAGAAAAGGACTGCTGCATTCAATATTGCATGCCCTTATGCAAGCAACATACATGACAAATTGTGCACCAAATAGATCTGAATCAGGATAATATAGCACGCAATTCAACTCAACAAAATAATGCAGAAACCCCTCGATGAGAATTGAAATTGAAATCTGTCACCAGTCACATCTACCAGAAATCAAACTAGTAAAGGAGCATTCAAAAAGTCATACAAGCAGCAATATCAACGGCTCCATTTGGTATCCTGAGACAGGCCATGAACATTTAGTTGCCGCAAATATCTAAAATGATACATGAAGCTACAGAGGTAACATAAACTCGTTTAAGAGCAGACGTATCAGATAAACTCACACGCGCACCCCGAAAAAAAAAAGGTACAGAGATGACAATGCTTTTATTAAACTTGGATTAATCTTTTGCTTTCTTGTCTGGTTTCTACCATTTTCTAAGCAATCAAATGTAGTAGTACTTTTAAAGAAGGCAAATTGCAGGAGAAAAGATACCCTTAAAAAGGTTTTGGGTGAGTGTTTTTGAGTGCGATGGGTGCTGGAGATGGAAAAATTAGATAATCAAATGAGCGCCACACTGTTTATGGAAGTTTTAAGGGAAACCTACAACAACAAAAACCACTTGGTTTTACCATAAAAGGAATGGAGAAGTACAACACTTACTGGCAAAGCAGCTCACAATCGACAATGCTGTCAGGACCAGGCCGATGAACCCTTCCTTTTGCACGAAATAGGCGAAAAGATCTCGGATTTAAACCAGCAACATGAGAAACAGCATCTACAAGTTTCTTCTGAAGCGACTGAAGTCTACGAAATGTGAGCTCATCAAGAGGTGCAATGCAACCAATGCTTCCATCCTGGGTGCCAAACAGAAGACCATAGCGGTTCGTCTTATCAGACCCTGGACCAGCATTAGTTCGATCAGAGGTGGGAAGCAGAGTTAGTCGAAGAAACTTGGTCACATGAGCACCAATATGAAACTCAGCCCTAGACAAAAGCTTCTGCCCTTTCCAACTCTCTGACAACTTTGGAGAGTAAGAAAACACCTGCAAGTTAATGGGAAATCAGACACTAATTTCATACTTCGTGGATGCACAATTTTCTGTCTAGATAATACTAAGGTAAAAGACCATGAATTCAAGATATAATGTATGGCAAAACAAACTGTATTTAACTAACCTGAACATTTTTTTGCTCATCTGAAACCATAAGACTCAATGTGTTTCCATCAATTAAAAATTCCGTTGCCATACAATCAAGGGAACCAAAATCCTTAGCTAACAGATTAAGCTGAGATCCTTGCTCCTTCCAACTCAAAAAATATATGCTTTTGTGAATGTCACCAAGAAGAATGAAATTTTTAACCTGCATATTGCATCAAGACACAAAGTAGTTCAAACGAATTAGATAACAACTACAAATCCAGCCCAATCTTACTTCCCAATTTGAACGCAAAAGTCATGTCGGAGAAGCTGAAGACAGTTAAAAAGCAATTACTATTCCAGCAGGCACACAGAACTCCAGGTCAGTTAGATGAAAGATAATTTCACGATCATTGGTCAAAACCTAAAACAAAATGATCACGTAAAACATAACCAATGATACACCCCACGGACATAGATCAAAGCTGAACAGTGTCATTGCAACCAATGTAAACGATGAAGAAGTTGTCCCAGCCTATCTAAGCAGCTCAAAATGCCAAGTCCAGTTTGTTAATAAACCATGTCTAACACCTTCTACAAGGCACGATTCACTCATTCACTAGTAACATATATAAAATGGGGTAAACTGGATTAAGAAAACCAAAGGATTCCGGGTAAAATCATATACTTTACACTATAGTGGTTAACATTTCAATCTCAGGGTTATCTATTTACCATCACAGAAAAATGGCTAGGGGTGATCCCTCTTGTCATAATTTCAAATGATCTACCAAAATTTAAAAGGGAAATTCTAGAAGAGAGTGCAAATACACTGACAGAGAAAATAAAAGTCAAAAAACATAGAGAGAATTAACATTCCAATACATAAAGAGCTCAATAATGGAACTTACAATATTTAAGCTCACAACATAGAGAGGCGGAACATCGTAGAAGGCAACCCCATTTAATTCTGAACCTGTCCACTTATGCAGAATAATTTTGGGACCAGAAGCTATCAACAAATGACCCTGGAGAGAAGCAAGAGCAGATATGGCTCCCTTCAACTCCTTGGAATACACTTCAGAAACCTGAGAAAACTCACATCACTGATTCCGCATAAAAAACATATCCAATATATCTTTGCATTGTGATTTGGAAAACCCAACCATCAATGTGGAAAGAACTAACGGGGAGGCAGTAAATTCACTACGTAGTTCCTATAATATCTAGATCGTGCCAAGAGATGAACTGCATGCATTAAACATTACCGTGAGTGGAGAACTGTCGCCTGTCTTTTCAACAGAATACAAAATAATCCGCCCTCTAGCTGCCACATCCTCTCCTTGTACATAGGCAGTCCCAACTGCCAAAAGAATTTCACTTTCTTTGGTTGTGGAGTTCTGAAATCATGAAAAGAACAAATTTACCTTCGTGCAAATCATAGTCAATGTCAACAACCAAACATGGATAGGAAATACCATCAGCCAAAAATTACACATGAATTCGAGACTTACAAATAATGTAACTACACGCACAGTCAGAGCATTTTCAGAACTTTGCATAGATATTGTTTTCCTATTTTGCCAATTCCCAGTAGATTTTTCCCGCTCCATAAAACGGATCTCGAATTCTTCTACAGGATAAGTACCATCCAAATTCATACTGTCACTATCAAGCTGGTGACCAACCTCATGATCAACAATAGATGAAAGAACTTGATTTAATGGCTTCAAGACCTACACCCAACCAACCAAAGAAAATATCTCAGTGAATCAAAAGATGGTTCAGTTTCTTCCAAGTGAAATGGAAATGTCATTAAAAAACCAACCACTGATTGAGTTTACTAGCTTTATTGATCAGTATCTCTACAGATAAACTGAGGTAATAACAAAGATAGGTAACTTACAGGATACGACACTATGAGTGGATACAAATGCTTATCAGAAAAGTAGGAAACCTGATGAGGAGTACACTTCAAAGGTACCTGTTCACCCTCAAACCAAAAGAAAGGATGACAAGAGTTAAGGTGAAAAAGGCCACAATAATTACTGTCCTTAAGACTGAAGGAAAAATTAAATGAACTTTACCTTTTGTACAGGCCAATAATTATCATATGTTAATGATGATGGAAGCTGGCAAATTTTCAGAGTACCCTAAATGAAAAATTAAAAATTTACTGAAGTCAGGAAACTTAGTAAAGGCAGAAAAGTGCCAGGTTGATTTGAAGAAAAACCAATATAAATGGCTAACCTGCGAGGTCACATATATGAATCCATGATTGCAGTTCACATTGTGAAGAACGGTAAAGGCCATGATAGGTCCATCACACAGCTGCAGTTTACAAAAGATGGGTCAATAAAATTGCATGCAACAAAATAATCTCAACATTAAAGTAACTGGGTTCCGACCAATTAATATTCAAACACATAACTAACCTGTTGATGAATCCTAAGACGTTCACGGAACATCATAAACCATGCTGGTCTGGTTCCTGAGAGAAACAAACCTTGGAAACCACCAACACTCTTGAAGATGGTCATACGCTTAGAAAAGGTTCCAGGTGTTGTTTCATCCCTAGCATAAGTGTCTAATGAGACACGGACAAATCGTAAATTTCTAAGCCTAGACCCACTTATAGTGCAATTGTTGCCAGAAGTCTGGGAATTAGCGGCTTTCTCATCTTTTGAGGCAGTATCAGAATTGTCAAAAACATAAGCATGGTAACAAAGAATTGTTCCATCTGACAATACTCCAAAAAGAAAGGGTCGGCTATGTTTACCCGCCCATCTATGCATGGCCAATTCCACGACCCTTATGTCCTGAACATTATCATTTCTTCCATGAGCACTCACGCTCTCATTCATTTTGACACCCTCAAAACTGCTGTCAGCTGGGTGTGGCATAAAAGTGTCCATAAGGTTTACTTTCCCCGACAAAAATTTATCTACAGAAAATACACGAGTAAAATTTGGCACATCAAATATTTCAAGAATGCCACTTTCGTAGCAAACTATACAGTACACATCACCCACATCATGGGATGCACCATCCGACCCATCTATAGCCTCCCCTATTCCCGTAGACAGCCAAGCATCGGTACTTGTCTTCCTGAGCCATGGCTCAGGACCTCTATCATGATACAGCGTACAAGCACAGATTAGTTTCTTTGAGCTTTCAAATACTGCTGGACTGGTGGTCGAAAGAGTGCAAGAAGAAGGATCTACAAAAGAAAAAAGTGGAAGACAAACAATCAGCACTAATGCAGAAACCCTACAAGGTTTGGCAAGACTAAGAACAGAAAAACTTTCTTATATGCAGGAGGAGTAACTTTGATAACATGCCATTCACTTTAACATATATTCAACAGAAGAATTGATCTTGGAAAGCACAATTGGAATTCAGATAGATACTTCGATTAGCAGCTAAAGTTCCCCACAAAGTTACATGGTATGTACATACAAAACATTCCTTAGCACTCAATGGATTCCCTAAAGAGAGACCTCTTACAATATTCTGGTATAAGATATCCATGTCTTTCCAATTTAAATGACCTACATTACACAACACAAATCATTCTATGTATCGCAACTCATAATCTAGTTATAAAATTTTTCTTTCTGGTCATATAATCTCTTTTGTGCAGATTTTCACAACCACAAGGGGAAAAGTTAGAATTGGATAACAATTGGCCAAGCAAATACAGGTCTCAGTCGTTGAAGTGACTTAATGAAACGTAGGCATCTTTTCTATCACATTACCTTGGATTACTTCCAATGCGCATATTACTACACTATGGGTTGAAACTAGTAATGCTGTAAGTAAATTGTCCGATGGTGGCTCAATCAGATACAGAACTAGACCAGGCAATTGAATTGAAGTAAAGGTAAAGCTTACTGTTGATACTAAGAAACAAAAATACGACAATTTCCACTTCTACCTGGATCAGATGAGCAACCTTAAAATGTCTCAACACCTTTGAGGATGGCAAAACCCAAAGAAGCCCATAATCAATTAAAATTTTATTTAGTTGTCTACTTAAAGGCATACCTCCAATAAGAAGCTGAATACTTCCATCAGACATTCTCAGCAACACGTATGGATCCGCTATAGAAACGAATGAAACTGTCAGGCTTTCTGAACCAGATCCAACTTCAGAATTTGGGACCTTAAAGGTCAGCTCTTGGACCATGTATCCACCGTCCAAAAGTCGAGCACCAAAAGCATAGACTTGAATGACTAGACGCCTAAATAAAGAATTTTCCAAAATTATCAACAAAAATGATCAATGGATAACACCTTCAAAGATTATCACCTTAAACCTAAACCGTAAAAAGAAAGCTAAGAAAATATAGCATGGCGGCATCATCTTAATTATACAAGCATACGAAGATACATCTAATAGTTAAAACCAGAGGTACAGGTTCAGACTCAAGAAACCAGAAGAGAGAGGGGAGATTGGACACTGGACAGGGTATAACTTCACCTTTGCACAGGGTAAGTATGTTCGAAACAGAACAAAGAATAATTCGATCCCATCCCAGATAATAAATAGAAAGAGATATTAAGCTACATATTCTAGGCGATGTAGGATGATCTCAATCCAGGAAAGAAAAAGATATAAGCAATGATGATATATAACAAACTTCTAATTGAAAGAACCCAATAACAAGCAAGACCTAGCAAAATTAAAAAGTTGGAACAGATCACAAGCAGCAAAAGGGGAAACACAGAGAGACTTCTAAAACAGACAAAAGTATGATATTCACCTCCCAAACAAATTTCCAGCAGCAATTGTACTTCCTTGGATGTAGTAGTCAACATTCTCTGTTACCTCCTCCAAATTATTTGCTGACTCCAGTACCTAATTTTTTTTAGATATACGTTAAAGAGAGAATCAAAAAACAAAAACCACATCACCAAAAAAAGGAAATCCCAACCTTCACAGCTCAAAAATTAAGGAGCAAAAGCTTGCATTTATTTAAAAAATATGTATATATATTATATATATAGACATATATGTACATATATAAATATACATCTATATAATATATATATATACATGTATTTTTTATTTTTATTTTTTGAAAGGTTGAAAGTTAAGGTATGTGATAATACAGATATCTAAAAGAAAAACAAAATTAGGGGAGTGTTGCCCAGTTACAGAGGGCAACCTTGTTCACATAGGTAAAAACTTTCCACTTAAAAGCTTTGCCCATAAGAAACTGCAGATGGGCCTAGTGCCCGAAAAAGATAGTGTAACCAGGTCATACTAAACTTTATCAGTCAGCTATTCAATTATCCAATGATCGTAATGTGTGATCCACAATCTTTGCTCCCGACACACATTGGAAATTGGGAACAATAGAGCAATTCCTGACATTTATGACCTCCTAAAACCACGGGGCACTGGAAAATTTCGTTCCCAGCAAATACACTTAAACAGAACAGTGGAGTACTGAGATAAATGGTTGATGGGTGCTTCTTTACTTAGAAACCTCAAGGTATGGACAGATAGAAACATTTACAAGTCTTATTGAAAGAGAGAGCATGATAAAAAAAAATATAAAGTATAATAGCATTATCAACTTGCGCTGTAGAAATGAATAAAATTACCATAGTACGATTCTCCAAACTGATAATCAAATACGCATGATATTCATCATTATCAGCTGCGACCTTCGACGAGTCAATCACATGACTGCGAGCATTCTTGTGGTAAACCGTCCACACTCCCTTGCAACCTGGTATTGATTCCTTAATGAAAGAACAGAAAATCAAACTTAAGTTTGGTTCTGAGAACACGAGCAAAAATCCAGAGAGCTTCATAGCACGGAATTTCAAAATGAGTATCTATGAGATTCCTCGGATAATATGCACAGGAAAACTGAAACCGAAAGTGACATTAGAATCTCAATAATACCCTAAAATCAACATAATAATTCTAACAGAATAAAATAAACACAATGACACAAAGGTAAAATCATCTCTCCTATAAAAGTGTTTTACACCCAAGACAAATCAAATGACGATACTTTTAACATCAGTAGCTGGATTAAGTCCTAACATCCAATGCCATCAAGAGGTGTAAATATTCTTTCATCTTCTATTAGTAGAAGCTTATTTTTATACCATGATTTTGAGTAACTACAACGTTTAATACAATGATTTCAAAAGATATTGAAGATACATTGCCATCTGAGTTTGAAACAAGAATGAGAAACAGAGGCTCAAGCATCTACACAAGGAGAGAAAAAGAAGAAGAAAAGAAAACAGCACATAACAATCTCATGACTTGATATGTAGAGTAAATGGGAAATAATGAATATCCGAAGGCCCTTAGAAAACTGGAACTTTGTAAGAAACAATGAAATTGAACTTCGTGTTCATATTCCTAATTCTCCTTAGTGGCAGAAGAAAGTGAAACATACAAGAGGAAGTGGAACAAGTACGCACTTGAGTAATTATGTCTGGGCGGACTGACTGCTGAAGTATAGAAAGTGCACCATTTTTTCCATGACCAGAGCAGCAAACCTACAAATATGAGATACCACCAAAATATATGTGCATCAAAAAATAAAAGAGTGATTTTTTAAATTTTCGTAACGATGTTGAAGATTATACTAAGAAGCGTAATTTGAGAGAGTCAGAGTTAGTATCCATCAACAGAGCAGAGCAGAGAACATCTATAGCTTTCAAGTTTCATTATCCATCAAGGAAACTGATGAAATCATTTTCTATTAACCTACTATAAATAAGAAGAGTAGGGTTAAGTGACACAGTATGATTAAGAAACTAACCAGTTCATGGTTACTTTGCTTAGAAACACCAGTGGCATTTAGATCAGCATTAATTCTTACACCACTAACGAAGTCTTTTAGTGGCCCCACATTGATAAGGGAATCTCTCACGGCAAATGAGAAAGACTTCTGCATGCATAACAGGAATGTCAGGCAAACATCATAAGCTCCATGAAGGAATAGCTTGTTATACTAAGCATCTAAAATTAGCATTGTTTTGCACGGTTAAGGTCAAGGAGACCACAAGTTAAGCTAACAGCTTCAAAAATAATAAAAACAAGTAAAGCAAATGAGAAGAGAATAAATCAAAAGTAAGATAATATTGAATAAACAACCTGTGATGACTGCGCATTGTTTGGACCTGAACCATACAAGGAAAGTTCATCATCATTCATATCTTGAAGAGCATCTGAGGAGGACATGCGAAGCCGCTTTGCTGTCGGGATATCACCTTCAATATCTCCAACCTCCAGGTAAAGAGTAGATATACACATGTTAGTGTGACTACGTACTAAGAAAACAAAACATAAGATTCTGAACATATTAGAGAATTAGCTTTCAGTATTCACACAGACCTCTTCTCTCATGCCAAGAGGAAATATTGAAGCCCCTGCTCCACTGGTAAACTGTACAAGTATACTGTCACCTAATCGACTGCCTAAAAATAGAAATGAGCTCCCGACAGTGGTGATACCCTATACAATGAAATGTACGTAGAATTCAGGAAAACATTAGAAACACCATTGTCATAAGGAGTAGCTTTATGGTGAGACTAACCGACGTAAGTACTGAGGCTCTTGATTTTGAAAGCTCCAATCTCTGCACTCTTCTGCAGGAGTACAAAGGAACACACATTCAAAAGTCAGGCATGCATATCCTCCCTTGACATATGATTCTTTTTCCAGTTTTGACCGTGCATCAGTGATTCAGTTACTAAGATCACTTCAAAACCAAAGTTTGAAGAGTAGTTTTTAGTTTCAGATTAGCATTAGATTTTTAGTTTTACTGTACAGGTTTTCTTTCCCCCTTTTCTTAGTCTTTTGTCTCAGTTGTACTGATTACTTATTTTTGGTTGTATTAGTTATAATAATTGTGCTGACATGGAAATAGCATTTAAATTGGATACACAGAACCTCAAGGTTGTACAGTATCTTTCCCGAAGTAATACAGTTACTTTTACCAATTTTCTTCTTTACAATGTTAAGAATCCTAGATCTGAAATTGTTCATGGTACCAGATCCAGTTAAGCAAAGCTTAAAAAAGGAGTATAACCATTTAAGTTTAACACTCACTAGCATTAAGTTGAAGAAATAATCAGTTCTATACAGAATTTTATCAGGTTTGCCTGTCACCACACATGAAAATATTCAAACTTTGACATGTATACCAACACAAGCAGACACATAAATTTATGGCCCAGAACATGTAGTTGTTAAAGATGAAGCATATTCAATTGGATTCATAAATGTGAGAGATGTTTATTTTGTAACAGTCAATAGGATTTGATAACAAACCAATTTCAAAAAAAAATGGAAAACCCCACTCAACCATCAGACAAAGGGACACAAGACGCTCTCCCCATAACTTCTTATGTAATTGTTGGGCGGTAAAAATTGTGAGAAATAACTACAGAAAAAATGGATATCACTTACCTCCCATCATAAACTAGAGTAAGCAGAAGCAGTTCCCCAGTTTTCGTGGACAGCATAGCAACATCATCCGCTATCCACGTTGCGTTGGCGGCATCAAGCTCTACACTAAAGCTTGACCTTGGCATTTCTGGGCTGGAAGAAGGATGCAGAAGAAATCTACGTTAGAACATTTTTGGCATCCACGGTAATCTGGAAAGGCCACGAGTAGTTTGAAATGAACCCACAAAATTGTGGAACGAGGCTTTAGTTGGATGTGTATGGGAAAAGGTTGAGGAAGTAAACAACCAACAGACCTTAACACTACAAGCAGATGCCAGCAATTCTCTAAACAAAAACCATTTGCATGTTAGTTGACTAAATCTACCTGACAGAGTATAACTCAAAAAGGTTGCATACTGACGAACCCATAGCGAAAAAGAACAATTTACTTCGACTGGATGTGCATAGATAGGCGGAATAAAAAAGAAACCACTCCACACACAATAGAGACACCATTCCAGAATTATAAAATAAGGGAAAATTTAGCAGTTGTTGACAAGTAAAAGAAACACAAGTAAGCTATCTTCGCGATCTATAAAGTTCAAAGACGTCATTTCATGTTTAGAAAGACAAAGCTAAGCACTGTTACCTGCCATCACTGGATACAGCATAGTTGTTCAACGCAAGCGTACATGACATTGACTGCCAATTTGAAATTAGTAAGCAGAAACAACATTCAGTAGGAGGCATAATATAATAGGAATAACAGTTTTTTACTTCCAAGCATTAAACCAACTACCTGGCTATGGTAGTGAATAGTGTTCGCACAAAGGACAAGGACACCACCAATAGGAGAGGGTACAGCAAGAAGCTTGTATGCATCATGAGGCAGACTCTAAACCAAAGGGGGACAAAAAACATATAATAAGTAAAAAATTACGGAGTAAAACCTGATCAAGTTCTACAACAATTAAAGCGTATATGTTCCACTTCCCAGAGAGTGCAATAGTAGGCTGAACAGCAAACTGATACCATTCTAAAACTTGGAGCTTTACATTAAAATCATAAAACAGTTTCATCAAAAAATCCAGCTTAGATGATATTTGTTGCCACTTCTCCTATCATTTCTCATTTACTACGGAATGGATTTCAAGAGTTGATGTAACTGAGAAGCTTTTTCAGAATTCAGATGAATTTAAAAATGATGATGAGAAAAGAAACTGAAAAAAGTTGAGTTTTTTAACAATCAACATTCAGCTTTTCTGCATAATTAAATGTCGAAGTCTCCTGAAGCGACGAGAAAATCAGGATGTAAACTGTGCATTATTGTCCGTCACAGTGTTAGGGAAGTTCCCCACACACATTTTGCTTCAACTTTCCGATTACCAAGGAATAAATGCTTTTTCTTGTTGTTGTAGTTGTTTCAGACTACCAAATTACAGTTTCTATATTTGTAGCTTTCTGAAGCATATAAACAGTTTCAGCATAAAAATCCAGTAATCTAGTGCAGCTGTTATAAAATGATCCAGCGTACCAAATTCAGAACGTTACTTTAGAGGCTCGTAGGATTCAATCAAAATTGAAGTATATCAGCACAAGGATATAGATCGCTAGTGAATACAACTTACAGTGGCCGACCATATAAGAGGGTGCTGCCTCAATGTCGTATTGATACTAAGGGCTGAAATCATGCAAGTGTGATGTTTCCATGAGACACTCCCAGCCCAAGTAAGCTCTTTCTCATGAAGTATAACCACCACCGGCTCAATATAACCTATAAAGTCAGTTTCATTCATTTACTGAAGCCTGAAAGTTTAGGCCTCTCCAAGGAAATGCCCAAATCTCACATGACAATCAAAACCAACAATCTTTTGGACAATAAAGATTATAATAATTTGTCTCAGAAAGTAGACAAAGAAAAAAATAAATTTGACCGGTGTGACGACCCCCAAGAAGATAACTAGCCAAGAAATTACTTCCATCAATGAATATGCAAGGCTTGCAACAAAATGCCTAATTAAACTATTCTACTTACGCAAAAACCAAATTCAAGCCAAGTTAAGAAACAAATCCTCACCATTGACAAATACAAAATCTTTAACATGCTTCATATCCAGATCTCGCAAGTTAATTATGTATGATGACTGGATGCGAGCAGAGACTGCACCGCCTGCACTAAGAGCACTGTCCTCACCAACTAAACCAGAAATGACCTAACATCAAACATTCCAGAAACAAAATTACTAGTAAATAAACAAACACCAATTTAAACTAAAACACAAGGCCCTTGTAACAATTATCAACAATCAATCAGTGTGATTATCATTATATGCTTAAGAAATAGAACTGTGATAATGGGAGATTGCTGCTCGAGAGAAATAAGCCAATCCCTTACCAGAGCCTCACAATTGGGCTCTACTAATAGGGTTGCATGAGGATAGATATTTTCTCTCTTTTCTAAGTACCCAAGGGCATTAAGACAAAAGGAGCTACAGTAGATCAAATTATAATGAGAGCAGAAAGAAAACCCATTCCGTCCAGTAGCGTTCACAAGCATACACTGGAATGACTTAAAAACTCTCCACGGAATAGGAATGTGGAGGAGAGATAACTAGCATTAGCAGTAAACTTAGACACCTATTAGCCCAAAGTAAATTATATATTCCTCTATCAAATTAACCATTTTAGGAGATCGCCCCCCACACACACACAAAACCCACCATTTTGGGACCCAACTGCTTCTTCAATGTCCATACCAGTTCACTACAAATTTGTAAGTGAATGACAACCAAAAATGTAGTGGTGCAACATAGCTGCTTAATATCAGAACATCTTATATAGAGTAGTAGTAAACTCGACATGTTCTAAAGCATATAATATCATGCATGAAGAAAAGCTGACAGATTGACTAGTCAGCATCAAGGAGGTATTGTCAAAGTCAATACAATTAAAGTACGACATCCTCCTCGCCAAAGAATGTCAATGTATATGTCAAAGCAGAGCCGAAATTCCACCGCGCTACCAAGTGGTTTATAAAGAAAGACAGTATAAGTTGGAAAAAGAATTAGGAGGTAGAGGACTAAGACCTCGGTAGCCTTGAGTATAACCATCTGATGACCATATATGAGAACCCCAGCGCACCTTCCATTAGGGTCAGCCTTGACCAATGGACCTCTAGGAAAACTCTCTCTCCCTCTTTTCAAATATAACCACTCTGGTCCTTCAAAACAGTGCAACGAGCTGCACAACAGAACTCAAACATTAATCATTGCCTTTTGTATCCACAATTATGGATAAGAGTGTTTGGTCCTCAAAATGGTTGAGTTTGAAGCCGGCACAAAAGAATTTCAGCTGTCATCAAAGTACTATTATGTTTGTGAGAATTAACAAGCAAGTTCAAGTGTGAACATTCACTCACCTGGTTCGTAGCCCATGTATAGAATCATCAAATTCCAAAATAGAAATTTTGGCATCCTCGAAAGTCAAAATAATTGAGTCCCTCCGCCTTCCAGCATCAAATCCGTTACCGCCTGACGATAAGACCCCCAGCGACTCCACATTACCATGCAGCCTAAAAGAAAAGCATGAATCCGAATATTTAATAAAAGATGAAAGAACTGAAGGAAGGAAACAAGTATAAACCCCTAGAACTGACTTTTGTTTCCAGGTTAGAATTCCACCTGTATTGACAGACTAATTCGAGCGAAGCACCGGAAACACCAGCCAAGACACCGCCACGTGGGGATTCTATTGGAGGTTTGGCAGTTTCCTCTTGAACCCTAACGGTGTAAATCTCAAGCACATTGGCAGCCGTGACGATGAGGTTGGGAACTGGACCGATTGGCTTGGGTGTAGTGGACCAGTCAGAATCCAAATCGTCAGTCTGAATTGGAGTAACTGTAGGAGTGAAACTGGAATCCGTGATAAACCCCGACGCGCAATTCTCGATGCCGGTGGGGGAATGCATCATCTTGAACGCTGCGAAGCTCATCCTTACTTTCTTGTGTCCGATTCTTGTTCAATCAGTTGGTTTGAGGCCGGCGTAGATTGCCGGAATGTGGGATTACAAATCAGCGAGTGTGAGATTTGTCAAAATGCATATGAATTGGTGAAAGAAACGTTGAACCAATTATTAGGGTTTAGGCAGAGCTCAATGCCTCAAAAACCCATTTGTTGTCGTTGGCGGGATGACCAGTTGAGTTCCTGAACATATATTTGCCTCCGTCCTACTAATTTTCTTTTTTTCCTTCAAAACTTTTCCAGTTTTCCCCCTCAAAAAACCAAAAAAAAAAAAAAAAAAAAGACAGGGAAAAAACGGCCTATTTTGAGTATTTTCGGTTTGACACTACATATGACATGCGATTATTTTGAAATATAAACAACCATTTTCTCCCTGCTTTTGTTGTTGAATAACTTTTCAGTTTCTTTATGAATTTTAATCCTTTTCAATCTTTTTTAAAAAAAAAAAAAATCCTTTTCAATTGAAGAAGGCCCTTTAATTGAACAGAAAACACTACTTCTCATTGTTGTGCAAAGAAAATAATCGCTACTTAGTTAATCCAAAAGAAATCGTTATTTATGGGTCTTCGTAATGAGCAACGTAAAAATGCTCAACGTGTTTTGACATTTCCATATAATAAGTGACATCAAAATCCAAGAAGTTATCCGTACAAACAAGCATTCACTGGAAAACATGATCAAACATAGAAATGCCAATGGATTCAACAAAAATTGTAGTTAACTACTAAGATTCACAAGTACAAAGATCACATTGAGTAGTCGCTGGATCAAATCTAACTTAATATCTAAACCATGAAGTATTAAACTTTCATTCACTATGATCAATTGGTAATCTTGTCATTAAATGCACCCAAGCTAGGCCCTGAACCATGCCAAACTATTCATGCAGGAAACCCATCAGCACCCAGCTGGACTGCAGAGACAGTCAGTGAAGAATGAACGGAACCTTTTCCGTACAGACCCATCATGCCTAACAATGCAAATGTTTCTCCATCTAACGTGGATGTACGAAGATACCACGATAACAAGCAAGTCATTCAAACATGTTTGACAATCATTTGAAGCTCCGAATTATGTCCTTGTCCATCTGCACAAATATAAATATGAGTCAGAGAGAAAACTAGAATCAAACAAGTAATCTCACGCTGAACTCACATTCTTTGCCAACTCCATTGCTTTCTCATCATCAAAGCCGTGAGCAGCCAATATCCGCTGCCCTGCAGACTCCTTCTGTGACCATATGCCAAGAAGTAAATGTGCCGTGGTTACTTCCCCACTCTCACCTGAAACAAGTCAGCTTTACAAAGATTACTACCCTCAGGACACATCTGTAAGTAAAATATTATCTTAAGAGAGGGCGAACTGAACAGTTAAAGACTACTCAACCTAAATGATATTCTCTTCAGAAAAGATGCAAATCAATCATCTATGTATTAACTAATGAGGGACAGCTAGCTTGCTGGGCACATAGCCAACACTCAAACAATAGATACCAACTGCCAAAGACCTCTTCCAAACATTACATATCTAGATGATGATGAATGTCCTTTGTGAGGAATACATTTTATAGGAAAAGAACTCCATTCTCCTCATAATACAGAACAAATTACAACTTAGACAGTTCAGGACAGTCGGATGTAAAGACACTAACTAGAAAATGACTAAGCAAAAACTGAGTAGACGAGCAAAGGAAATGCAACACGTCCTATGAACCAAGTTTGCTGAAATTTGAATGGAATAAAATCAAGCACCTGACTTCAGTTTTTCTTCAATGGCCCAATCAACAGCCTTTTGAGCTGGTTCTGTCAAGGGAGGATGCTCCGGACTGAAAAAATACATATCAGCCTTACCAAGTAACTCAACAGTTGCTTCTCGGACTTTGAAAAGGGTGATACCATTTTCCCTCAAGAATTTGGCAGCTAAACTAGTACCTGCAAAATATATGCATGTAATCTCTGAATCCCAAAAATAATAACTGCAGTAATAAGGCACATCAAAATACAAAGCCACTTAAACTTTATTGCTTTGCTTTCCAGACGAAAGTTGCAAAAAACACTCACTAGTGACAGATTTAAGAGTATTGACAACAATTGTGATGCAATTATTCTCTAAACAAATAATGCAGCCGTTCAAAGTATTATCTATACTGCTGAAGGTTGCTATAGCACAGTATTAACTCAGACTACCTTTGGAGGGAGGACAAGAAGAATTCAGAGTCTCTTTTCAAATTCTCAAAAACATATCAACCCTTTAATATCAACTATTAGCTATTAGTAGTGAATAAAAGAAAAGTGTGGGAGACAAGAGTGGACAAACCTTCAACCAGGATACCCATTAACAAAGCTTCAGTTCCGGTCTTTGGATATTTGAGTTTCCTAGCTTCCAACTCCCCCATGGCAAATGATTTTATTGCCCTAGCAGACCATCTACACCATCGTTTTCCACAGAAAAGAGTCAATTTTAACTGAGAATGGAGAAACAGGAATTTATACAAAGGCAGATGCCTCATCATGTCCATCAGCTAAGCAAACATCACTCATTCGGGAGTTGAAATCCAAAATCTATGCCCTGCTTCGACGTTATTATAAGAAAATAACTCGAAATACTACGTTACTATAGGATCAAAGAACCACATACTTGGGTAATTTTCCATCAGGGGCTGCCGTCTTCTCTTTGCTGCCAATTGAACAAATTCATCAATTAGAACACAAAAATTACAAAATGATAGATATCGCTGCGCGAATTACAACATAGTAAATTGGAAGCTTACGAGGTAGGGAGACTAAAAGAGACAGTTGCCACAGTTGAACTACGTCGTTTTGAAGCTGAAAGATTCAAGTTGGATATGCGAATCGAAAGTTTTTGGCCGAAAATACTGCTGACTTGATTATCCGGCTTCAAACACGAAGAATGGTGTTTGGTGGGCTTCTGGATAATCAATGAGGTTGAAGATGAGACGTGAAGGGCTGATAGTGTGTGAGCCGCCATTGCTACAAACTAAGAATACTATCTGACCTGATTTAAAGCCTTCACTATAAAAAGTATTCAGATAATTCCGTCGCCTAATTCCTCTCGATTCGTATTGTCTTCGATATTTCCACCTTGAAGACTTGGACACGCGAGGAAGAAGATGGAACTTGTAATTATTTCTAGGATAATTATTCGTTGTATACCGTATTTATTTTTTTGGTATTTGTAAATACAGTATTATGCTAAAAATATTTAAAAGGGATTATAATCTTAATTTCTTTGTGAAAAAAAAAATTAAAAAAAAATGCCGTGTTATGGCTTCCTCATTTCTACGGAAGAAAATTGTCTTCTAACTCGCAAAAATGCACGTTACAATGGATTTTAAAATATACTTTCTCTGTTTTTCAATCCACAAAGAAAAGTTCATTTTACTTGTTAGAATATTGTATTTTTCAACAAAATGAACGCATTTTTTTTACAGTAAAAGGTTTTTAAAGTTAGTGGTTTCAGACTCAAGATAAAATGATGGAATAATAAAATATTGTTCGAAATACGACAAGTGAAAGAAAAATAATTACTTCATATCCGTGCAACTTTGAACATCTAGTAAATTTAAATAGTATTATAGATTAGAATTTAAATGGAGCATATTTGGTCGTTTCAAATGAAAAATAATAATTGTGAAATGCTCAGTAGAAACGACAGCATGCAACAAATCATTTGCTAATTGGTTGACTTTATAATCATTTGCTAGATAAACACATTTTGTGTCAAATTCCTTAATGTGCTTGGGGAAAAGGAATCATCAGATCCAAAAATGTCTAATTACTCGACGTTGACCTAAGCCCAAAGGCTTCCTACATTTGCTTGATTATGTTGCATTTATATAACTTCTCGATTCCAAAACAAATTCAGAGCTTTGCTTCGTCTATGATTACTGAGTTAGATGCCACCGGTGATGAGGATTAGGTAAGGAGTGCAGCAGTTCTGGGTTTTGGGATGGTCAAACAAACAAGGTTCCAGCTTCTGTTTGGATTACTAAAACATCATTAAGTCAGCAGATCTTTATCAGCCATGGCTTCCCTTTCAGATGAAGAGCATTCACCCTCGGCCGTTTATCCATCAACACCGTTACCTAAAGCTGTTTGGATTGGAGGTTTAGCTGCAATTTCTTTGATTCTTGCTTCCTCCCACATAATATCTTCATGGTCTGCCGGGACTAGTGTTGATGATTATGTCTATGGGGTCATAAATCGCCTTACCGACACAGCTCAAAACAAATCTACTCATTCAGGACAGCAAGACATTTCCAAAAGTCAACCGACGGTAGCTCAGAGTCAGAACGGAATGAACTCAACTGGACTGCCATTACCTAAGTCTAGCTCCAATAATACTATTCCTTCACCTCCATTTTCTGCCAACTCAAAACAGGACATCTCCGTGGATTCAGGTACAAACCTTCACCTTTTTTTTTTTGTCTATTTTTTGGATATCAATTGTTTGTGTTGATTGCAATAATAATGTTGCAGATCAATGTGATCTCTACCATGGAAGATGGGTTTACGATATCCGTGGACCGTTGTACAAGAATGACTCTTGTCGTATCTTGACGCAGTCACAGAATTGTCAAGGAAATGGAAGGCCTGATAAAGGCTATGAGAATTGGCGCTGGAAACCTAATGGCTGTGACATTCCCAGATTTGACGGCAGGAAATTCCTTGACTTGATGAGGGGAAAGACATTAGCCTTTGTTGGAGACTCGCTCGCTCGGAATCAAATGAAGTCCTTGCTCTGTATCCTTTGGCAGGTTAGTTGAAAGTTTCACTGGGTTTCCCTTCATAACCTATTTGAAGAAGGTTCAGCAGTTTCTGATTCTTGATTGGGTTTTTTTCCATCTGAGGACCATCTGCAATTTCCTGTAGAGAATCGATGGCCTACTATCATAATGTTGTTAAATTTTGGGATTCTAACTAAGCAGGAAAACCAAGTCATAGTCGTCAATAAAAGGAATGTTAAAAGAAATGTTAAACTAGTTGCGCTTATATAGCTTTCAAAAGAAATGTACTTTACAGGTTGAGGTTCCAAAGAGTAGAAGCAACAAAAGAATGCAGCGATATCAATTTGAATCAACCTCGACAACGATCCTTCGCATATGGTCTGCCTGGCTCGTCAATAAAACAACAGATAAATTTGATTTTGCTCCAGACGGATTAGATAAGCTACACCTTGATGTCCCAGATGAACGCTTCATGGAATTTATCCCTCAATTTGATGTATTAGTTGTCTCTTCAGGTCACTGGTTTTCCAAGAAAACTGCATACATCTGGAATAATGAGGTAGTAGGAGGCCAATCATGGTGGCCCAAAAAGTCCAGAAAAATGAAAATCAACAACATTGAAGCTTTCGCTATATCATTCGAAACAGCTCTCTCTGCAATTGTTACGCATCCGAATTACACCGGCCTAACCATCGTTCGTTCCTTCTCACCGGATCATTATGAAGGAGGAGCATGGAACACAGGTGGATCATGCACTGGAAAGGTTCAGCCACTCAAGAGTGGTGAAATCATTGAAAACAAATGGACCACCAAAATGTATTATCGACAAGTCAAAGCCTTTAGCCGATCAATGAAGAAGATGACCAACAAATCGAAGCTTAAATTGATGGACGTCACGGAAGCTTTTGGTTATCGCAACGATGGCCATCCAGGTCCGTACAAAGACCCCGATCCGAATAAGATCACGAAACCAGGGCTGGACGGAAAGCCTCCATCTCAAGATTGCGTTCATTGGTGTATGCCAGGCCCGGTTGATACCTGGAATGAAATTTTATTTGAGGTCCTAAAAAGAGAATATAGTGTTAGATTTGATATTACTTCCTAGTTGGGAATTTATACTGGGGGATTAATATCATGTTTCTTGTAGGAATAAGAAGAGGTTTGCCTAGTTCATCAAACAAACAGGTGGGAAACAAAAGCGGCGAAGATGTACGGCCAAAAGCATCATCACACCCGAAATGCACAGTTAAAGGAAGACATGGCATCGAACCAATTAAGCACTTGACAGAATTATAAAACAGAAAATCAGTTTCATTGGTGGATATATTGGATCCATGATAATCTAAATATTCAGCACTTTGTTGCAGCTTTCTGAACCTACTTTTATTGATTGGACGCAGTATTTACCATCTGAATAAGTTACTAGTACATGATTGGTACTCTTGTTTCATTTTTATTTTTTAAGAGACTGCTCAATCGCATGTTCTTTTTTCTATTAATGGTGAAATGCTCACAAGAGACGACAGCTTGCAACAAATCATTCTCTAATTAGTTGAGTTTATCGTGTGCTAACTGCTAAGGGGAAAACGAACCGGTCTAAATGTCTAATTACTCGAAGTTGACCTGAGGCCAAAGGCTTCCGGAACACAATAGTTGAGTTTATCATTGTTAATTACTCGTGCTACGTACACACAAATCATTTGCTAATAATTAGTTGAGTTTATCATTGTTAATTACCCATATGCTACCAACAAATCATTTGCTAATTAGTTGAGTTTATCATTGCTTGATTATGTTGCATTATAAGTTCTTGATTCCAGATGCACCGGTGATGAGGATTAGGTCATTAAAGGGTGCAGCAATTCTGGGTTTTGGGATGGTCAAACGAGGTCTCACCTTCTGTTTGGATTAACATTACAAGTCCGCCTATCTTCATCAACCATGGCTTCCCTTTCAGATGAAAAGGAAAAGCATTCCCCCTCGGCCGTTTATCCAACTACGCCGTCACCTAAAGCCTTTTGGATTGGAGGTGTAGCAGCTGTTTTCTTAATTCTTGCTTCTTCCCACATAATATCTTCATGGTCTGCTGGGACTAGTGTTGATGATTATGTCTATGGGGTCATAAATCCCCTCACCGACGCACCTCAGAACAAATCTACTCATTCAGGACAGGACATCTCTGTGGATTCAGGTACAACCCTTCACCTTCATTGTCTATCAATGCTCATTTCTTTACCAATATTAATTGTATATCAATTTCAATTGATTGCAATAATAATGTTGCAGAATGTGATCTTTACCACGGAAGATGGGTTTACGATTCCCGGGGACCGTTGTACAAGAATGACTCTTGTCCTATCTTGACGCCGTCACAGAATTGTCAAGGAAATGGAAGGCCTGACAAAGACTATGAGAATTGGCGGTGGAAACCTGATGATTGTGAAATTCCCAGATTTGATGCCAGCAAATTCCTTAACTTGATGAGGGGAAAGACATTAGCCTTTGTTGGAGACTCGCTCGCTCGGAATCAAATGATGTCTTTGCTCTGTATTCTTTCGCAGGTTAGTAAGTTTCAAGTTTTCATTCCTATTCTATTAGATTCTCTCCGGTGCTTTGTACTCACTCGCTCCCATAATTATTATCCAGTTTTACTAAAATGAAATATTTTATTTTTGGTCAAATTTAACTATATTTTACCTTAAACAATCGGATATACCCCTACATAAGTAATTGTTTAACCACTAAGATTTTATGGATAATGTTTTTTACTAAGGACAAATGTGTAACTTAATCCATAAAAAGTCAAATTGGACAATAATTTTGGGACAAAATTTTTTAGACAAAGTGGACAATAAATATGGGAAGGAGGGAGTACAAAATATGTCAAAATATATTATTAAAATAATTTTAGTTGTGAAAAAAATACTACGTCTCGATTAATGTTTGATTGTGAAACATAATTTTTTTGTAAAAAAATGTGATCCAAAGGATAAGCTAAGATTTTTTTTTAAAAAAAAAGGGTAAAAATTAAGTGGTACTAATATTATTATAACTTAAATTTTCTTAGGTATGAATATAAAAAAATTATTTTACTTGAATTTTTCTCGTAATTTTATCAGTAAAATTTTAATATTTTTTAAATGAAATTTACACTAGAGTTATGGAGTTTGAATATAAAAAAAAAAAAAAATGTCTTACTTTATTTCTCATAATTTGAGCTGCGAAATTTTAACATAATTTAATGAGATTGACACTAGACTGATTGATTTTGAATTTAAGAAAAAAATATTTTGTTTTTTTTTCCGTAAATTTTCAAATTTTTTCTTTATCATAAACAACATCTTTTTTTCCTTTTTGTAAAAACATGTTGAATTAGAGTGCAATACACAATTAAAATTTCTCTCTCTCTAACACGAGAATGAGCTAATTTTTATATGCATTTACAATAAAAATATATTTTTATGTATATAGTTAAATTTTTGTTTTTCCTAAAAAAAAAAATCAAAATGGCGTGATTTTGATTTAAATTATTTTGGAGGGAAAACTTTTAATTACAATGCGACACCTCTGCATTTTTTGCTTCTTGGATTTCTATTTTAATAGGGATATGTCTGTATGTGTAATTTGAATATGGGAAAAAGTCACTTTATGTACCAAAAGAATAAGGGGTATTCAGATCATGTAACTTAGGAATTGGTCTCACCAAATCATATACTGTATATTTGAATTTTGTTGTTTTAAGTAATTTTTAAGGGCAAAATGGGAAACTAACAAAATTTTGTCCTAAACTATTATGTCTTTGCCCCAAAACTTCTAGAAAAGAGCAAATTGCACCATAAATTTCATTGACTTTAGCCAAATTTATCTACAGTCAGATTTCAATAAACTACGCCTAGATTTTGGCTCAAAAATTTCCCACGACTTCCAGCGTTTACTAGTTTGGCGTACATATTTGTTTTATTTTTGCGAGTTTTTCTGTATCATAAGTTTAATTTATATTTTTACTTGTCATTTTGCATAATTATTTTGAAAAATATTTTTTATTCTTTCCTTTTTTGTACCTTTTTTTTAAAAAAATTCTTTGCACGTTGATGCAATTCTAGTAACACATAATTTTTTTTATCTTATGCGAATTTTTAGAATTTATTTTAGGCGAATTAAAACAAAATCTAAAAAAAAAAAAATATGTGTTCGTAAAAATGAATCAAAGTGCCAAGAACTTGAACAAAAGTACATAAAAAAAAGGATTAGAAAAATCTTTTTTTAAAAAAATAATCATGGGAAACGACAATAAAAAGATAAATTAAACTTATAATAACAAAAACTCGCTAAAATAAAACAAATATGTACATAAAAAATAATAAATACTGGAAGTCATGGGAAATTTTTGACCAAAAATTTAGGTGTAATTTGTTAAAATTTGACTGAAAGATAAATTTTTGTAAAATTAATAGATTTTGTGATGCAATTTGTTCTTTTCTAAAAGTTTGGGGAAAAAACTTAGTAGTTTAGGACAAATTTTTAGTAGTTTCCCAATTTTCCCTTTAATTTAGTACTCCTTCTGTCCCAAAATTATTGTCCAGTTTGAAATTTCACTTTTAGTACAATTTGAACTATAAATGAAAACTCAAACTGGACACTAATTATGGGACGAGGGAGTATCTAAAATAACAAACTTCAAACATAGAGTACGTGATTTGGTGAGACCAATTCTTAAGATACATGATCTGGAAACCCCTTATTTTTAGGATACATAAAGTGGAATTTTCCGTTTGAAGATTACGTTGTTTCTTAATCTTGTTTGGTTTTTCATATGAGGACCATTTGCGATTTCCTATAAAGACGATGGGATACTATCAGAATGTTGTTAAATTTTGGAATTCTATTTAAGCAGGGAAACAAAAGTATAGCCCACATTAAAGAGTAACATAAATGTTAACTAGTTGTGCATATTTCAAATGAATGTACTTTACAGGTTGAGTTCCCGAAACATATAATCAATGAAAGGATGCATTTCTATCACTTTGAATCAACTTCGACAACGATTCTTCGCAAATGGTCTGCCTGGCTCGTCAATAAAACAACTGATAAATTTGATTTTGCTCCAGATGGACTGGATAAACTCCACCTTGATGTTCCCGATGAACGTTTCATGGAATTTATCCCTCGGTTTGACGTATTAGTTGTCTCTTCAGGTCATTGGTTTTCTTCAAAAAAGGCAGCATACATCTTGAATAATGAGGTAGTGGGAGGCCAATCATGGTGGCCCAAAAAGTCCAGAAAAATGAAAGTCAACAACATTAAAGCTTTCGCTATATCATTCGAAACGGCACTATCTGCCATTGTTACGCATCCGAATTACACCGGCCTAACCATCGTTCGTTCCTTCTCACCAGATCATTATGAAAGAGGAGCATGGAACACAGGTGGATCATGCATGGGAAAGGTTCAACCACTCAAAAGTGGTGAAATGAATGAAAACAAACGGACCACCAAAATGTACTATCAACAAGTCAAAGGCTTCAGCCGAGCAATGAAGAAGATGACCAACAAATCGAAGCTCAAACTGATGGACATCACAGAAGCTTTTGGTTATCGCCATGATGGCCATCCAGGTCCATACAAAGACGCTGATCCGAATAAAATCAAGGAAATAGGGCCCGACGGAAAGCCCCCACCTCAAGATTGCATTCATTGGTGTATGCCAGGCCCAGTTGATACCTGGAATGAAATTCTATTTGAGGTCCTAAAAAGAGAATACAATGTTAGGTTTGATGTTACTTCATAGTTGGGAATTTACTGCCGGAGGATTTATAATCATGTTTCTTCTATGAATAAGAGGAGTTAGGCTAGTTCATCAAATAAATAGCCGGGGAAATAAAAGCGGCAAAGACATACGGTCAAAACTCAAAAGTGTCATCACACCGGAAATGGACAGTTAAAGGAAGACATAGCATTATACCAATTAGGCACTCGACAGAATTATGAAACAAAAAATCAGTTTCATTAGTGGCTATATTTGATTACTCCACTGGTCCCATGGTCATCTAAATATTCAGCACTTCGTTGCAGAGTTCTTAACCTAATTTTATTAATTGGACGTAGTTGCTAAGTTACCATACTGTACATTTGATTGAGTTCATTACAATGTGTATTTAACATCTGAGTAAGTTACTAGTACATGATTTCTACTCTTGTATAAAGAAAACATTGTCATGCTAAATGATGTAGCAATCACTCACTGTTCAAAGTTATTCTTTTGTTATAACATGATATGATAGAGGTGGATTTCCGTACAATGCATGAGGCAAATGTCTGAATTAATTAATTATAATATGAAGTGGATGGACAACCGTAATTAAGTCGTGTTTCAGTCACGATTTAATTCGTAATGTGGGTCTACAAATGTATATAAGCCACACGGAAATGAATCCGCCATTAAAACCAAATAATCTGTTGCAAAGTTCATTTCCCGGTAATTATGGCACAATTCCACCTCCCAACTCCGGTTATAGGTCCTTGATCCCTATAATCAAACATATGTGACAATTTGGATTAGTTTCCTTCGCTTTCCTATACGTACCTCACTAACATTATCAATTCTGGCTGTAACTTTTTGATATTAGCCTTTCGTCACAACCATATTCCGCAACCTATTTGAAATTGTTGAGGACACAACTAGATGTAATACACTTTAATTTCTGCTTAACTGCTGGCTTCAATTTTTAGGCTGAAAACTAGGTGCCAAATGAAAATATATTAAAGAGATCTAACTGTTGAGTTTTATAATCTCCATTGAAAATTCTGTTGCTTTTATACTTGTTTGACTTACCTATGTCAATACAAAAGTCACAAAATGTGTGAAAATTATGTTTTTTTTTTTTTGTCTTTTTAGCTAGGTCAACGAGGAAGTTGATGAAAGTCAAATTTATTATTCAATATCAACTTCGATGTTTTTTTTTTTATGTCATTACGATTAAGTAATTATATAATTCCACCTTAAGTTAAAATTTGGAAATGTTATAAATTATTTAGATAAATTGTTAACTTTTACTTTTAAGAAGAAGAATATATTTATAATCAGATGGTTGTTTGCATTAAAAAATAATGAAAAGACTGACGGTCTAAATACAATATGTAATATAGTACAGTAGAACGCCGGTAAATTAATAATTTATAAATTAATAATTTATAGCAATTTACAAGTTTTTCCGGTCCCAACTTGGGATTAGTACAAAAGTGAAAAAAAATCGATAAAATGATAAGATAATAATATTTTAAAAAATCTCCTATATATTTATAAGTCCCAGTAATATCATAAATTAATACCTTAAATTTAAAATAATAATATAAATATTTTAAAATATGAATTATTGATAGTTATTTTTTAGTACCTGAAGATGATATGAACTGTGTATGGACTTTTAGTATTCAAAAGAGTTTTGATACTTGATTCATTCGGATGTAAAAATAATTGCAAATTAAGAAATTTAGTGACGTTTCTTTTTTTCTCATGGAGATTTTATAAATTAATAATTTATTAATTTATCAATTATTTAATAATTTTTCTAAATTAAAAATTTTGGTGGTCCCAACACTATTAATGTATAGAGGTTATACTGTATAGAAGTTTGTTTCTTCAAAACCTATTTTTCAATTTTATTGGTAACAATATAAAAATTATAAAATATACTCCCTCTGTTCTAAAATTATTGTCCAGTTTGAGATTTCACTTGTAGTACATTTTGAACTAAAAATGAAAACTCAAACTGGACAATAATTATGGAACGGAAGAAGTATGTTTTATTTATGAAAACTGATGCCGTCGATCTTTTTGTCTAAAGGACGACAATGGTTAGAATATTCTTTTTTTTAAAATCATTTTCACATTTTTTTTTCTTTTGGCATTATGGTGAATAATCAATTGTGTTTTTTTATGTTAAAATTTTCACCTGTATTGGATTGTATACTTAAATTATAAGTTTTTTTTTTTAGTTTTGATTTTTTTTAACCAATGGTTGTTTGCACTAAAAGAAAAATAAAACGTCCACGTGTCTAAATATAACACGTATGATAATAAATTCTTACATTCAAAATTTATGACCGATTTAAATTTTGTTTCGAACCACACTTTAGATAACACATTAAATTCTCTATTTTGTCATTAGCTTTGTTTTTTAACCAAAACTGCATGGTCGGAAAACATATTGAAAAAAAAAACTAACGATTGAGTTATCTATTTCAGACTGTCCAATACTCCTGCAAAGAATTATTGAAAGAATCAGAAGTTAGATCACAGGATTTATAAGTTAGACCACTCAATAGTCGACAAAAATGTCAACTGATATAAGCATAATACCCAATATAACAAAAGAAAATGATATATATAACGAAAGAAAATAGTAAATAATGTGAAGCATTATGATATGCTTATTTTGTCGTCACTTTCTGTGAAAATTTTATAATGTCCTGAAAATTATACTCTACCCATAATTATTAAATGCATATCAGTCACTATAAATGTTCACTATTCTTATTTAAGTGTCTGTCTCTATCATTTATGGAGTTCATATTTCATGGTATTATATATAGTAATAACTAATAAATTTTGTTATGCACATTGAAATTTTCAAATGTTAGCAATACATATATTAATTATAAATTTTTCATAAAAAAATAAATAAAATTTATAACCATTGTCGAGGTTCCGGAGTCGATTTGGTGCCATTTATTTACGTATTTAATTAGTTGACGTTAATAAATAATTTAAAAGTTAGACAGTGTCGTATTTGTGAACCTCTCCGCAAGTCTAGAGTAAACCGCTATTTTAATCGCTCCCAGTAAAAAGTGAAAACTGAAAAGTTAAAAAAACACATTGAAATCTGTCCTGTTTTTTGTTTTTCTTTTTTCTTCTCATACTGCCGTTTGAAATTTAAAATCTTCCCACTCAGAAACAGTAGCAAGAACACAGTCGCCCCGAATATTAAATCACCGATTGTCAACGGTCGAATTTGAAACGGCTATTCTATCTCTCCCTGTATCCGTGGCTTTCATCAACTCTCCACCATATCTCAAACCTGTATGCTTCTTACTCAATTACTCAAAATCGTACACTTTTCGCTGTTCCGCTGGACCGAAGTTTGTTAAAAGGTATCTTCCTCACTGATTCTCGTTTGAATTCTTTCCTCCCAGTTGGAAATCTGCATTTGAAGTGTATATTACGTGCTCTTCCTACTATTTTGGGGAGAGGGAATTTGCTGATTCACTCGTTTCCATACCCTTCAAGGTTAGTTGAATTAAAGGGTTTGTTTGTTTTTTTTTTTTGTTTTGAAGGATATTTGGTTGGAGGTGTGTTTAGGTAAATTAAGCTAGTAACGGCGAATCAGTTGTTGCGATGAGATATTCCCGGCTTAGTTGTAGCTTTTCACGTTTTTGAAATTTGGGATTTGAAGAGGGACAAAACCCTAATTTTAATTGGCTCCAGTTTTAGGGGTATTATTAGGAAGGAAAAAAATTGGTTGATTGACGCAGAACCCTCTCAACATAAATGATCGATGTTTTGAATCAGCCTTCAGACCAGCAGGTTCGCATATAATTCTTCAGAGTAGGAATTTTCTGGCATTTGTATTTTCTCTGCCTCCCAATCGACTGATACCAATTCGGAGAGAATAATGTAAATTTTGTATTTGGGATGTAGGAATTGCCCTTTCTCTCAGAAATGTTTGATCTTAGCTGTTGCTAAATTGTGGAATTGCCTTATTAGTTTATTTAACCCGTTTAATGTTGCAGGCATAATTGATAAAAATGTCTACAGTACCAATTGACCCTCTAAAGCAACTTGAAACTACTTGCGGAGCTCTACTATATGAACTTCAGGTCTTCTTTTGATTTCCTTATTAAAATTTATTAATTTCACCGCTAAATTGTATCTGGCTCTCTCTTTTTCCCAGTACCCTGGTACAGTACTGATCTTATTACTTGCTTTGATGGTACCTCAGATTATATGGGATGAAGTTGGTGAGAATGAAAAGGAAAGGGACAAAATGCTGCTTGAGCTTGAAAGAGAATGCCTAGAAGTTTACAGGAGAAAGGTGGATCAGGCAAACAAGTGTAGGGCTCAGCTAAGGCAAGCCATTGCTGATGCAGAAGCTGAGCTAGCAGCTATATGCTCAGCGATGGGAGAGCGACCAGTACATATTAGGCAGGTGAGCAAATTGCCTCCCTCAGACATGAACTTAGATGACATTACTTAGGAGCTGTGTTTTTTTTTTTTTTTTGTCTGTCTACATAAAAGAAGTGAGAATTGAGTTAATATGTTTGGGATTATATATACGTTTTCAGTATTTGCAATTAGTACGCTAAGTTTTGTCCGATATGGCTATGGTTTATTGAAGCCAACTAAATAAAGAAGAAGAAGAGAGTTACTGAGTTATATCCAAGCGAGGTTTTACTTTTGCGTTATTCACAGTAGTTAAAAAAAACACTCAATGCGAGTATGTAAGTACCTTTAGGATCTCAGTGGAAAGATACAATATGATGAGATTTGAGGTTCAATGTCATAATAAGTACGATTTAAGGTAGTTATTCTTTCAGATCAAACTCGCTCTCTTAAGAAAAAAAGTTATTCACTCTTGAGATTTAATTTAACACATGTCTCTTTCTTGTTCAGTCTGATCAAACTCCTGGAAGTTTGAAGGAGGAACTCAAAGCCATTTTACCACAAGTAGAGGAGATGCGAAAGCGGAAATCTGAAAGGAAGAAACAGTTTCTGGAAGTTTTAGAGCAGATACAGAAGCTGAAGTGTGAAATTTACCGGTCAACTGGAAAGACGTTTACATTGAATGAATCTGATTTGTCTGTGAGACAGCTTGAGGAATTGCACAGTGAACTGCAGGCACTGCAAACAGAAAAGGTATACCTCTCTGTCTAAATTGGATTCGCTTTTGGATATTTGTATGGATTATCTCTTTCTAAATTGGATTTGTTTTTGGAATTTGGTGTGGTTTATGCTAACATTCTTACTGTTGCCTGTAGAGTGAACGTCTAAAGAAAGTACTAGACCACCTCAATACTTTGCATTCATTGTGCTTGGTGCTTGGTTTGGATTTCAAACAAACTGTTGTCGAGGTTCATCCAAGTTTAGGAGAGTCTGAAGGGTCACAAGATATAAGTGACACTACCATTGAACAGCTAGCTGCTGCTATACAAAGATTGCGAGAGACCAAGTTACAGAGGATGCAGAGGGTAAATTGTCTCTTGTTATAAATTCTAATTTATTCTTCTTTGGCTGTAAAATTATTGACTTTTTTTTTGGGCAGCTACAAGACCTTGCAACATCAATGCTGGAACTGTGGAACTTGATGGACACACCTATAGAAGAGCAACAAACCTTTCAGAATGTCACGGCTAACATAGCTGCTTCTGAGGATGAAGTAACAGAACCTAACATGTTATCTGCAGATTTCATCAATTACGTGAGTTGGCCCCTTGAAATTATTTGGTTGATTAACTAGTTACTGGGGGAGGTAACAGCCATAATACAGAAACTGAATTTGGCAGAAAGTAATTCCATTTTATTTATCATTGTAGATCGAAGCAGAAGTTTCCAGGTTGGAAGAACTAAAAGCAAGTAAAATGAAAGAGCTTGTGCTAAAGAAGAGGTTTGAGCTCGAGGAGATCTGTAGGAAAACACACATGGTTCCTGAATCAGATGGTGCACTAGATGTTGCTATTGAAGCTATTGAATCTGGTGATAATTTAACCTGGATAAGATTTTCTTTAACTTGGATGAGAATCACTTCAGCTTTTCTTTAAAGATGAAACCATACAACTGATTTTTCTTTTTGTTTCCTACAAAAACTGTAGGTGCTCTTGATGCTGCAAGCGTGCTAGAACAAATGGAGATGCAGATATCTAAAGTGAAAGAAGTTGCTTTCTGCCGGAAAGAAATTCTTGAAAAGGTGGAGAAGTGGATGGCAGCATGTGAAGAAGAGTGCTGGCTTGAGGAATATAACAGGGTATGATTCTGGATATGGTGGTGACTTCTGATTTGCTAATTTGTTTGCACTATTCCGAAGTTTTATTTATTGTCTATTCTTTTTTAGGATGATAATCGTTATAATGCTGGAAGAGGGGCCCATCTAACCCTCAAGCGAGCAGAGAAAGCTCGGGCATTGGTTAACAAACTTCCAGGTACTAATATTTTATTTCAAATCGGAGTTCATACAGCCTATTCATACTGTGAAAGGCTGCAAAACCCCAGTATTCTATTTGAATAGCCTGGCGAAATTCCATCTTATTTTGATGAAGAGTTCATTAAAATAAATATCTGATGTTGCCCTTTATTTGCCTTTTATATGATGCCTGGACAGCAATGGTGGAGGCATTAGCTGCAAAAACTACTGCCTGGGAAAATGAGAGAGGAACTGAATTCACTTATGATGGAGTAAGTTTCTGTTAAAAAGAGTCACTTGCAAGTTTTTGAAGTTCTTTGTTTATTCTTCAGTTACTTCATAGTCATTTTTTGATTATATCATTCTGTTGTTGCTTTAGATTCGTCTTCTTTCTATGCTGGAGGAATATACTATTTTACGCCAAGAGAAAGAAATGGAGCGCAAACGGCAGAGGGTAAGGGTTCTTTAGTCAGTGTTGATATTCAACATTTATATGGTTTACTACTGCCAGAAATTGCTGCATAATCAGGGTAGTTAATCATACTTCTTTCATTTCCTTGTTGAACTTTAGGACCAAAAGAAATTACAGGGACAGTTAATTGCCGAGCAGGAGGCGCTATATGGTTCAAAACCTAGCCCTATGAAATGCCAGAGTGGGAAGAAAGGTCCAAGACTCTCATGTGGTGGAGCAAGCAATCGTAGACTTTCCCTTGGAGTTGGTGCAACAATGTTGCCAGCTCCAAAGTCAGATTTCTTTCACCCTCCAAAAGCCACGCCTAATACCCGACAGGCTAAGAAAAATGACCGTGTGCATCTTAATGATCACTCAAACTTCAGAGACGATGGACCTGCTGCTTTATCTGCTGGTAAATTTCTGCATAAATAAATTTTCTCCTCTCTTATAAGAGTTTCTTGTTTTTTTCTAGGTGTGTTTATTTCTGTCTTGCGGTGGAAACATAAATGTTGTGTCGCTCCAAGTAGTACTGTTCTTCTGACAACATTCATGCTAAATTGTGCTCATTTCAGGAAGGAGAGGCTTGGATATTGCTGGTCTTCCGGTGAAAAAGCACTCATTTGGAGCTGTCAATTTACACGAAGTGGAGTCATCACCCATCATTCGAAAGCCCTTCTCGCCCATTTCTTCCACAGATTCATCCAAGTCCAATGCAGTAAACATTTTAGAAGATCTGAACAGGAAACAAAGTGAGATGTTCCAGAAAACACTTACAAGCAACACCACAGTATTTACTACACCCACCAAGACGATTTCTTCAATGGAGGAAGAGAACAGAACCCCCAAACCAATGGTGACTCCTCTGCCCTCTACACCTGCCACTACCATATCAGTAGTTCCCATGCAAACAGCTATGACACCAGCACCACCATCTTCCCTGGCGCTTGCTTCAAACTACAAGCCAGCTGACGACATCCCAGAACCAATCGAGTACTCGTTTGAAGAGCGTAGAGCCGGATTTTTCCTTCCAAAAGCTCCTCTAAACTCTACTGTACAAGTTTGAGGGGAAGCAGAATTGATAGGAGTGAGACATAAGTAGAATGCAGCCGCCTCAATTCATTTTCAGTTTGGATTCGTTTTACATTGTGATACTAGTTCACTGACGTCCTGACAAGTCAATTCTATTGGCTTCTAAAAAATGTATGTGCATGGTCCACGTGTACTCATTTTGTGTTCTAGTATCTTAACTGAACTAATATATATATATATATATATATATATATATATATATTTTTTTTTTTTTTTTCTTTACCCAAAATTCGGCTTGCTGAAGTTCCGATTCCTAATGCTACATTCCTGCTATAAATTTTAAGGTTCTTTTTGTTCTCAATTTAGGTATCGTCATCTTGTCCGTTTACTTTCTTCAGTTGAGAGTCAGATTTGGTGGGTTGGTGGCTGCCTGCACCTTTGTACTGTAGTTGTTATTTTTAGCTTACCTCATCCTCAATCCTTCCAGAAAGAAAAAGGGAGACTTCTCCCAGGATTTGGTGGAAGGGGAAGTCTTTTTACACTTTAAGACAAAGACGATTTGTACAACTTTGGATGGACCAAAAAACGGGGGACCAAAAACAAGTCGACACTTTTTGAAGCTGCCAAGATATATACCAACGTTTTCAGGCTAAAGAAATTCCATGACGAATTTCTGTCTTCCTTCGTCTTCGTTCCAATTTTGTATAGGGACAATTTCAGATAAACCATTTTTACATTTCTTGTTTTTTTTTTTTAATTAAAATTTTCTCCTGAAATTGGGGGAATGTGCACAACAGTGGCATTAAACGGTAATTGTATTCCAAAAGAAGGGCCGTGTTTTTATGCGGTCAACTTTAATTCACCTAAAAAGACAAAGAACAGGTCAGAACTCAGAAGGTAGGAAATTTTTGACATTGGCTCCAACGTTAACTTTACAGCTTTTTTATTAATTATTTTAAAATCTCATTTAAAATAAATACAAATTTGTGTTTTCTTTTTCTACAGAAATATACCTCTATTTTTTTATTTCAAATTCATTTAACTTTGACAGATTTTTTTATACTACATTTATTAAATTTCCAAGACGGACTTCAAACCTTTTACTTAACCAAAATTAATACTTTGAATTTTGCAGTTTAAATATTACTTACTTGTAATAATCCCCTCTTTTAAAATTAAATTATTCTTTGTTTTCTTTTTTATTTTTGATTTTTCCAACTTTATTTTTTCCTGGTATAACTTTTTCCTACAAAAACCCTAATTTCACAGCTTTCTCAATAAACTCGAAATTTTATTTCTGAATCTACGCAAAGTAAATTTCCCCCCATATACTTGGGAAAAAAAAAGAAAAATTTTTTTTCATCTTTGGAGCTCTGTCTGGGTCTGCAGTGGCAGAAATGAAGCATTAGCTCAGAATCTTTTTTTGTGGATTAGATTTTGACAGTTGCAGTCAGATGATCTTTGAATATTCACAGTTGGTACTAGGACTTCAGTTTATAGGAAGTTACTGAACTAGGTTCTTGCTTTAGCTTTCCTGGGTTCAGAGGATTTCATTTTCTTTTTCTTCTTTTTTTAAGAATTTCTTCTTGTTGTTGAATGTGTTGATCATTTCTTGATGCTCCCTTCTTTTGAACTTTGAAAAGGGTTGATCTTTTAGGTATCATCAAGTGTTTTAGGACTTAAAAAGATTCTAGGGGTTTAAGGGGTTTTTACATTTTTCGTATTATTTTTCATTTCTGCGTCTATGAATGGAGGAAAAAGAAGGAATGAATAGTGGTGGGTTTACAGTGACGACTGGCAGTGAAGCTTCTGAGAGCTTCAGAATAGAGCCAAGTGCGGAAAATCCGGGTCAGCTTAGTGGATCAGCAGTAAAAAGCTCTGAAGTTACCCCAATTAGTGCTGCATCTCCTACCACAGAAGCCAAAAAGAGGAGAGGAAGACCTCGGAAATATGCGCCGGACGGTTCAGTTCCGGTGGCATTGTCGCCGATGCCAATATCCGCCTCAATTCCTCTCTCAGGGGACTATTCATCTTGGAAACAGAATAGTCGCGGGAGACATGTTGACTCTTACAAGAAGAAGCACAAACCGGAGGTTGAAACTCCCGGTCCCGGTAAACGATTTTTTCGCAACGACTGTAAATTTTTAATCTTTTTTTACTGTTAAAGGTTAATAGGACACTCCTCTGCTATTTTAATAACTTAGAAGTGGTCTGGATAATTTGTGTTAGCTTCCTTTTCGTTCCTTGTGACATAGATCTGCTGGGTTCTGTTTTGTCGACTACTTATTTGTGCTCCACCTTTTTATGGTCAACTCTGGTTCAAATGTTTGTTTTTTGATGTTGAAATGGGACCCTTATCTCCCTTATCTGCTATTATGGAACATACTTGATAATCTGGTGGTAGTTATCTGGGATATGAATTATGGAACCAGCATTATGAGAGAGGAATCTTCTGCCTGAAAACCTGGGATTGTGAATTCTGCAATGAAAATTAGATAGGGGATACTAAAAATGCAGGAAATATGTTAAGTGATGTGACGAGACACGAGATCTGTCCATTCCTAATTATTGCAAGATTGTAGAGAATGAGAGAAGGGAAATTGAGAATAAAATAGTTGGAAAAATAATAATGAGGTAGTGATGTAACTTGTGTGGATCTGATGCAAAGGCATACTTAGTAGAATATTCAGTATCCCATAAGAGATAGTAAGACACTAACTTTGGCCCTCTGGGGAGTTTTACTTGTTCCCACCAGTAACTCATGTCAACTACCACTTTGGATTTTGCTGGCTGCTTACTGATAAACTTCATAATGCATTGAATGCATTTCTCTCAGAAGTTGAGCTTACTTTAACCTGAGTGAAACTAAAACTGAATAATGGAAGTGCTGCTGTTATATGCAGTACATTGTTGGCTGCGATGAAGTTCTCATTTTCAGCCGCTCAATAGTTTTCATTGTTGATTCATGAGGAGAATTAAAATTTGGGTAACTATAAATTCTTTGATTATTTGTCAGTTGAAAAATCATCTTTTTTATTTTGTTATCAAGAAAAGAATTTGATTACTTTAAGTTCACTCAAAACGCTTGTTTGTTCTTTATGATTGTTTTGTACAGTTCTCCTGAATGTTTATCAATCGTTAGATAGATACCGGTTCACTGATTTTGATAATCTTGAATAACAATTAGCTATAAGCTGCTTATTTACGGTTCTTTCATTGATCAAACAGCAGGGGTTGCTTACTCTGTTGGTGCAAATTTTACTCCCCACGTCATCACGGTGAATACAGGCGAGGTAACTATCATTATGATTATTGGTGAATTTAGTTTCACTTGGTGCTTTTGGTTTTTTCTGGCTTAACCTGCAACAGTGTGGAGTGGATGTTCCCTGTTTAAATAACTACCTTCTTCCCTTTTTCTTTTTTTCTTTTTCTTTTTTTTTCCTCATATACAACTTATTTAACTAAAAGGTTTTCCTGGTTGGATTTCCAAAGTTGGATGCATTTTGTGTTTTCATGGAAACTTACTGTTGAACTTTTAGAATTCCATTGTTGCGCCTTCTTCAACTTAAGAAAATTAAGGCAGTAATCCTCAGGCTGTTGTTATCATTTATGTTTCCTGTTTTCTTATTGCACTTTGCATTTTATATTGCCTCCATTTCACTGAGAGAGTAGGCGGTCTATACTATTGTCAGGATGTTATGATGAAGATCATCTCTTTTTCGCAACAAGGATCCAGAGCGATTTGTGTTCTTGCTGCAAATGGTTCAATCTCCAATGTTACACTTCGTCAGGCTAATTCTTCTGGGGGTACTTTAACCTATGAGGTCAGAAACATGCTAAAGTTGGTAACTCTTATTTCATACATTTTTTTTATGCTGGCTGAACACTTTATGCACATCATTTCCCCATGCTCCATTTACTTGAAACTTCTGCAGCTGTGTAATATGGGTCAAGTAGCTTCAGACCAACCTTCTACAAAAAGTTCTTTCTGTATCTCTTCCTTTGCTTAATTATCTATCCGAAATTGTGGTGTGATTTTTTAATTGAACGGTTGCTTAATGCTTCAGTCCCTAGTTTTTATATAATGAAGTCTGTTTCATCTGCATGTATTGAATGATTTGCCATATATAAATCTTACAGAAAATCAAATTGCTCAATGTTTACAATAGAGAAATTCTTGTGCATCCTGCAGGGCCGGTTTGAAATACTTTCTCTAACGGGATCATTTATGCCTAGTGATAATGGAGTAACAAAAAGCAGATCTGGTGGAATGTCTGTCTCTCTGGCTGGTCCGGATGGTCGAGTACTAGGGGGAGGGCTTGCTGGCATGTTGTTAGCAGCAGGTCCTGTCCAGGTCAGTATATTTTCTATATCTGTGAACATTAGATGATTTGATGGGGAGGTGACTTATGCTATCAGTCGGTTGAGATAAAGCTAAAACTTGTCTTTAAAGTTATGAGCTAGCTGAAAAAACTGATATTCTCCATCACTTAGCTATGCATAAAAGGTCATATTTAAAGTTGATATCATGATGGCCCATCGTCATGAGTAATAAAATGATTCTCCGATGTGTGGATCACATTATTAATAAGGCGTTGTTTGTATCATCAGGTTGTTGTCGGTAGTTTTCTCCCTGGTCACCAGCTGGAGCAAAAATCGAAGAAGCAGAAATTTGAGCACACAACTGCTTATCCTTCTCTCCCTCCTGCTGTTCCGATATCTGAGGAAAGGACCGAGGGACCCTACAGTGGACAGAATCCTAATATTGCTTCGTCAGCTTCTTATCTTGGAGATAATATGGTTTCCATGAACGTCATGCACACAACGGTATCAGCCCCTGAAAGTATAATTTCTGCACCTGCAGTCGACCAGAACCATTCCAAGTGTGAGGTTTCTTGCTAATAATGTAGGATATGTATTCCTAAGTTGTAATTTTATGAGTCCCGTGAACAACATGGAACTTCGGGCTCAGTTCCTTTTGACCAGATTATTGAAAAGTCAACTGATGATTGTTAGAGAGTCAGTTTAGGGTGTATCCGTGTTAGTTTAACTAGATTCCTTTACCCTCCTTTTAGGTATCTAGGGTTAGGATACCTACTGGTAGGATTGTTGTGATTGCCACAATTATTATTCATGTAACTTTTTCTTCATGCGATTGGTGTTGGTGTAGGATTTGAGTTGTAGGAGAAATACTGAGCACTGGCTTATTATTTGAAGGGACCACCTTTTTTCCCCCCCCATTTCATCATGTTGCAGTCTGTCGATCTAAGTCAATATATCCCCCACTTGAGCATTTTTCAGGATTCCGATTCCGTACTTTCGTGCTAAAGCTAAAATTATCAAGCTCAAACTATGAACAAACTGGTGTTACTTCGTGGAAATATCTACTCAGATACTAAGTTGGTGTTACTGGGTGGAAATATGAGCAAAGTTATGGTGCATACAGAGACAGATGCAACATTATTCTTGTGTGATAACAAGGCATTCAATTATAAGTTCACAACTTCTCCACCCCTCAAAATTAGTTGGCTCATTTTCCCTTCACATTACAATTACTCTATTATTAAGAGAATTACAATGGCTTTTCTACAGTGCAAAAATTTGATAATATCAGCAGCCTCATATGCTTCATGATGTACACATTCTCAAATTTTCTGCCTTCCAACCTCTGTTAACTTTATCAATGAATTCTTCAACCCTTCTCCTCAGTTCATCATCATCTTCCTCACTTTCACAATCATCATCACCATCATCAACGTCGGTTACTTCAGAGTGGATAATTATAGCATGGCTGACAGAAACTGCTTCTGTAACTTCATCTGATTCTTCAGTAACCTCTTTCATATCGTCGCCCTGGCGCCAATGTCCAGTATGGTCAGCGAGAGAATCCTTTTTAAGTGGAATTGGAGGGTACTCTTCATACCTGTCCGGACTAGTATTGCCTCCGGGTTTGGAACTAGCCACGAGCAGAATGGCTATGATCAAATTGCAGAAGCAAAATGCCACAAGAGAATTGGAGGGAGCCAGATTGATCAAGTCGAATGTGCAAGATTGCAATACCATTTTTATGTTTCTCTTGATAAAATGCAAAGTGTGAACCTAAAGCAGAAAGACAATTTCAATTTTTGCAAACCTTTCAGAGGAGAAGAGAAGAAGAAGAAGAAGAAGAAGAAAGTTGTGAGGTACATAATTTTGAAAGTGGAAAGCGGTTGTTTATAAAGGGGTGTTCGAAAAGATGCAAAAAAGTGTGCCGAGGAAGCTCTTTACTTTTGGCGCAGGCCCGAAATGCAGGATGATGTGGTGTGGTGCGAAAGCTAACGAAGAGTTGACATGTAAAATCAATAATACTTGTATATTTTTTTCATTTATTTTCAATTATCCAAAGAAATAAAAAATATATTCTGTTCTTCTGGTCCTCCCTACTAAAAGGACTGAAGCGTGGGTCTTCGGCTGATTTTAAAATTGCGGTCTTCGTAAGCATCAACGCAAACCCACATGCCAACTTCATTTGTTTAATCCTTTAGGCTGTTATTAGTCTAATCCCAGTTATCATCAAACTTTTAAGGCTTCCAGCAGGTGCCCTTTTTTTTCATAAAAAAAAAAACTGGGAGGGGAAAAGAGATGTTTGGAATGCTTTTTTAGTGTGTGCGTAAGGGGATTACTATGAGTGTCTAAAAACTAGATTAACAAATTGATAAAGCAACAATGGACAAACACCTCCATTGGTGTGAGCTTACAGAATACTTTACTTCAGCAGTAACGGAATGGTAAAGGCCATTCTATCCGATGAAGAGACTCTGGTTTACGGATCACTGGCTACATCAGCTCTAAAACGTTTGCACACCCATATAAAACCAACTTGACTATAAGGCTGACTAGATCGAAATGTCAATTTTTTCCAAAGTACATTACTACAAAATCAAAATCAGAATTCAAGCATACATAAACATCTCACCAAATTTTAACAGAAGGCCCCAAATAGGAGAGAGACCATTCTAAAAACATGTCTTGCCCATCTCCAGACTATTTCAATCCAGCCTGCTTGACGCAATGCATAGACATGATTTGGGAGGAAATCACCTCTTCCTTTTCTGACCAGAAAAGTTGTTGAAACCTCTCAGATCACTTGTTGTCTCCGAAGTGTTCTGCTTCTTTAAGCCTTTCTTTCCTCCAAAACCAAATTTGGAGTTTCTCACGTCCCGGCCCTTCTTGTTTTTATCCGGTCCTCTATTCCCCTTTCCAAAAGTTTTCCCACCCTTCCCTCCAGAACGATCACCAGGAGATACCCCAGGTTGTTTCTTCTTTGATCTCTCGAAAGATTTTCCATCTTCAAAAGCAAAATCTAACTCTCCGTCTTTGCCATTGTCAGCAAACCCACCGCGTTGCCGTTGTTTCCTCCACTTCTTGACAGATTCAATCTCCTGTTTTTTCTGCTTAGCCCGCTCCTTCAACGTTTGAGCTTGCACCTCTTTGGCTATTTTCTTATTCTCCCTAGCCTTACGCCTCTCCTCACTTTCCTCAATCTTTCTTTTCTCCGCTAAAAGCCGACTTTTGACCTTTTCCATGTGAGTATCAGATTTCACCATTTCAGCATAGTAATCTGATGGCCTCAAACAGGGAACCCCCATAGACTGCAACTTTGGGATGGCCTGCCTTGTACCCTCTAACGCCTGAGTATAAAAAGCAAGCTCCCGGGTCAAGTCATCATTCACATCAACCTCTTCCTCCCTATCAATATCCACAGAAAGCTTATGTATCCACTCCACAGACTCTGGCCAGCTGAAATCTCCAAGCTTGTCCAGCAAACCTTCCCTGTTATAAACAGCAGTTTTTGAAGGTTCGGCCAACTTCACATCTTCATCTTCTTCCGACTCTAGCTCAGATTCACTGACTTCAACTTCAGAATCCTCCATTGTATCATCAAACTCGTCCCTCATAGACATACTTACAACGTTTCCTGAACACACAGATCACAATGATAAGAAAGAAGAATAAAGCTCACTCAGCTCGACAAGTTTGAAACAAAACAAGAACATACCACAACCAATTTTGCGCATTACATAAAAAATCACATGATCAAGTAAAAAAAATTAAGAACAGGAAACTAATGTTTAATTAATTGACATTCAATAACAATCACAGATTCAATGCTTAACAGCTGGATTAATATCATTGTATAAATTGCATCCCGTAAACAACAGTCCGCCCCTCTATTTTAACAAAAATCCAAAGCAATTATTCCAGGTAAAAAGGATGAAAAGAAATCTACAACATATTCTTACATCCTGCCAGTCAAATACAGGAACGCCTACAATTTTCCCTAACTAGACCCATCCATCATCAATCGCCAGCGCGAAAAACATAGTAAAAAAATTCACAAGGAAAACGAGTAGCCTCGTTACAGAATCTTAAGAACCATCAACAATCAAGTCACATAGGAAACCATTAACCATTGATTTGACCAAACAAAACTTCAAAAGGGAAAGCTAAGAATAGGCGATTGAAATGGAGATTTTACCAACCTGGATATGCTGTATCCAAAACCCAATAAATGCTTCAAATTTCGTTCCGAATCCGAGGGTAACAGCAGTCTTAGTTGGATGGGTGCGTGGTGGTGATGCGGGAACGAAAGGGGATGTTTACTGCCGAAACCCTGCTAAAACCCTATGGTTGAACACGCAGGCAGATAAAATCTAGTCCAGAAACGAAGACCCGACCCGAACCTAGTCCAGCAAACGAAAGCCCAGTCGTCTCATAAACAAGCCAGAACGTCCATGCCTGTCTTTTAAAAGCCCAGTTATCTTAGCTCTACGATACACCCACCCCCCCCCCCCTCCCCCCGAGTTTAGTCTAATTATACCCAAATCACTTTAATAGTTACAAAATTATTATCCAGGTTGAGATTTCAGTTTTAATAAATTTCAAATATTAAAAATAAAAATTCAAATTGAAAAATAATTTTGGGATGGAGGGAATGCTACTATATTCTCCCTGAGCAGCTTTGAACATTGAAATGACTAAAATGACCACAATTGTACACTTTATTTCTTTTTCCTTTTTTTCGATTTTTTTCTTCGGTTTTTAACCATTAAAAATTAAAAGAACTTAATTTTTCAGTTTTTCTATTTAATTATAGCATAAGTTAATAAATAAAAATTAATCCATGACTAATAATATAAATATATTATGCTTCTGAAAAAATAATAAGTGAATCAATGAAGATTATTTTTTCAAAAGACATGATATAATTAATTTCAAATATTTATTACTATTTAAGTGCATTAATATAAAAAAAATTAATATGGAGTATAATTTAAAAACATTCAATTTTTATAATTAAAAAAATAAATTGTAGGGTACTTTTGACCATTTTCACAAAATTAATGATGATGTGAACATGTTAAGAAAGTATTTGATAAGTTGATTACGAGTCAAGGAAGGAGGTATATGGTTGTATTATCAAAAATCGAAGGGTTTGTGACAGATTGGGCCAAAATTTGGAGAGTAAATATAATTCGACCAATTAAGAAACGGTGATTACCAAAAACAAAAAACAAAAAAACAAAAAAAAAAAAACCTCTTGGAGGTATTAAAAATTACCCCAAAAAAAACCTATGGTCAGGAAAAGATGTTCAACCACAAGGAAATGGCGGAGTGTGAAGAAGATCGAACAGTTCGTACCCTTCTTTCTTTCGGTATGTATTTCACCAGACAGCCCATTTCGTTTCAGCCCTGATTTTTCTTTTTCCTTTTTTTTTTTTTTGGAACAAACGCCCTAATTTAATTGAGAAACCTATACAGGAACAATAAATTGACAATTTAGACTGAAACTGGTTCTGTTAACCACAAAAGGATCAATGGATTTACAAACAAAACAACTGGTGCAATTGTATTTACGGTGTCGAGAAGCGCTATATGGGCATGGAATTTGATAAGCAATTGTTGTAGATGGGACCTTGGAAGGAAGAAGAAATGGGTTTCTAGAATGCAGTTTTCACCCTTTGCCAAAATTGTGCACTTTTTACAGAGACATAGGAGACAAAAGATCCAACCTCGCCGCTGAAACCTGTTATTTCTTATCGTCACTCGGTACGATTATGCTTTATGACACGGATGAAAATTGAAAACTTCTATATGTTCAGGCATCAATGACATTTGCAACATTTAAAAGGTTAACTATCGAGACCCACAAATGATAATCAAATAGCTCAAAAAAAAAAAGTTTAGGGACACTTGAGAGGATAACAATAGGGCACAAATTGGGCTAAGGTACAGCAAATGTTTTGCTTGCTTTTGTTTCTCCTAAAACCAAGAACAAAATTGCTTAAGATAAAGTTAATAGGGTATAAAATCCCGCAGAATGACAGTCGCCACTCATTAAAAGGTTCTACCAAATTTCCCCTACATCCAATCAATTTACACGGGCCAACTCAACTTCAAAAACCAGCCAAGAGTTCGGTGGTATGGCAGCTCCAGCACCTTTATCTCCATAGCTGCATCAAGAAGTCATTACTGTAAAAAGGGTACTTTACGAACAAATAAAATGTTTATGCTAATCAGCAAGTAGTAAAACCAAAAGCCAAAAACAGATACCAGAATGGTACTATATGTTTGCAGTTCACGAAGGAGTTGTAGCAAAAAACCATAAGTATGAGTTAAGAGTATTCTCCTCATCAGTAAGAGGGGAATTGAAGTTACCCAGGCACCCCAGTATCGCTACGAGAAGAAATAAATTTATTCAGAAGCGACCTTCCACGCAGTAGACGAAAAAAACTTCAGGTTGCAAAAGTTTCTAGGATACCCAATTTTCAAGAGCAATAATTGCAAGGAACAAAACCAAAAAAAAAACAACAATAACAACAACAACAAGAAGCCCTTTTCCCACAAGGTCGGGTCGGAACGGCAAGGAATAAAAGGCAATAAATAGATAAGCAAGAAAAACAAAAACTTGATGAAGCCTACCCCATGGATGGTGGAATTGTCAGTCTTCTTTTGTCCCCAACGCGCATTCCTAAAAATTTGCAGAGTTGAGATAGATGAGAGTGCTAATATGCTACAAAGCTCATAAGCTCATGAAGTAGATCTCATTAGAGGAAAAGAAAATTACCATCAATACCAACATCCCATCCCTTTATGACTTGTCCGATGCCTGTTAAGTTACAGGAAAGGATTAACAAAGGAAAAAATCCAACGAATCACAGGTATATGGTCACCAAACAGCAAGTAATATAATATAATACCTAAACGGAATTTAAATGGTGCTCTGCCGATGTTGGAGTCGAAAACTTTGCCAGACTTCTTCAGCTTTCCGATATAATATACCTCAATCTGTTCGAACAGAAAAATTCTCAGCTCATACACTTTAAAACCACTAGCGAAGCGTAGTCTAGTGTTAAAAGTCAAAATTAATAATAATCGGGCCACGATCATATAACATCATTAAAAGCAGTGGCCTAAATGAAAGAGGGGAGGGAGGTAAGAGGCGATAAAAACACAATCGGTAATTTGATCAAAGAAGCACTAAAAGTTCTTCTACTTTAATATGTCCTGAAGTGTTTTCCTCCAGGAAAGAGAACTGTACAGTTATAAACAAACAATGAAGACTGAAGAGTGTGCATCAAAGGATAAAAGAATCACCTTTTTCCCTGCAGAAGCCTTTTTCCCGGATGGATCGCCCATGGAGAGCTCCTCTATGACAAACCCATTTCCGAAGGACCTCACTTGTAATTGCTTGGTTTTAGCTTTCTTCCCTGGCTCTGAAGGGGTCAGACTCTTATCGTTAACAGGTTTCTTGGCATCTGAAGGCACCACTTTCTCATTACTATTCTTCTTATTCGTGTTTTCCTTGTCCCTGAAGATTATGCATTATAAAACCATGGTGAAATTGAACTAATTAGAACAAAGTCTTTCCTGCTGACTAATCTAGTACTGTTGTAATGGCCAAAAAAAAAATACCAATACTGGGCACAGTCATCCATAATTAAATTCAGAAATGCCATAGTGAGTAGATATTTCTATCCTCATTACGGCCAGATTGACAAGGAAGACATATATATCTCACAACTCACTTTTTTGTCTCTGGCAACTTCACTCCATTTTGGGACTCAGCTGCCTCCTTCGAAGCACTCCCGTTGAGATTATCCTGATTATCCTGGTTGGCTGTTTTTTTCTTCTTGTTCTTTTTCTTTTGCTTAGAGTCATTTCCAGGATCAGTACCAGTAGTATCAGCTCCACGGTCACTTTCCCTACTCAAAAGTAACACATTGTAAATGAAAAACGTCTCATCAAGGAACTTTATGACAATATCTTCGAATAAGCTAATTGTCTAGACGAGGAATAAAATACTGGACTATGTGATGGATGTTCATCACTTGCAGGTATATTCAGCTCCTTATTTCATAAAATCAAATTACCTTGCTACATCACCATCTTGATCGACAACATCGATCTTTCGTTTTAAGCTTAAACCAGAATCATCCTTGCCCTTCTTTTTCTGGCCCTTCTCAGGATGTTCATCTCTAGCTGAATCTGATGATCTGGAAGTCAAGTCTTGAGCTTTCCTCTTACTGGGAGAAGAAACTGGAAAACCATCTTCATCTTCACTTTCCAATACAGGAACACCAGAAGTACCCCTGACAATCAGCTGTTTTCCGGAGTTTTCACTGTTCTTAGGCTCATCTTTCTGAATTTTCTTCTTCTTTGACTGTTTAGATGCAAACTCGTCTTTGGTAGGCTTCTCATCATCCAATATCTCCTCAATTTTAACTTGAGAGAAAATGAGATTTTAGTTTATAAGTGTAAACAGAATTACAGAAAGACAACGAAGCAGGCAATATTATTCCACATTTCCAATGGTTTCTATAGTTTTGATGGTGAACCAAAATCTATGACAAGATTAGTTTTAATCATTCAAAGAATCGACAAACATGGAAAGCTCAAAAGAAGCATTACAATAGCAGAAACTTAATGATATATTTCTCCAATAGGATAGAAGATAAGTCTATAACATTGGCAAAGGCTAAAATGAGGAAATTTTAAATTGCAGAAACAAAAAGAATCAGGTTCTAAAGCACAATGATAGATTATCCAATTTCAACACCCTAGTTTCTTATTGATGCAGAGCCAAAGTTTAAACTCAAAAGGTGAAAAACTCAAGGAGAAGTACCTCCACTATTGGGGACCGGAGAAGATTGATACACGTCCATACTATCATCATCATCATCTGAAAAGTCATCCTCGTCTTCATCTTCCAAATCAGATCCAAGAGAATCGTCCGATTCACTATCCATCTCGATAGCTTCCCCTTCGTACGGATCCCTTTAACTCACAGTTAGGGAAATTTAACCAAACAAAACAAACAATTTCGATTTCACACATTTATACATGTGGTTAATGACACCACAAGGAGATAAAAATAAGAAAAACTGGATTGTTCAATTATGCCAAGAAGGATACGAGTCACCTCCGTCTTCAGTCCCACCTAAGAAGAAACCAGAGAGATGGACAGTCTGTTGTCCAATGACAGAGAACGCTACCTCCTCATCTCCCTCAAACTCTATATTCAATGGATAATTATCCACCTTCCCAGGTACCAAAGAGCATAGATAGATCGGCTTCTTATCTCCAACCTTACATTGCACTATGGTCTTTCCTTCTGATTCACCTGATCCTAGTGTAGCCTAAATCCAGGCACAACGAAAACAATCACGGGAAGAAACAAAAAGAAATGCAAAAAGTACAAGTTGGACAAAAAAATAAAAAATATAAAAAAATCAGGAGGTAATTAGCCTTTTGATGCAAAAACTATTATTACTTCAACCTCGAACTCTTCCACAATCATTCAAAAATGTCTGTCTAATTGATATTAACCAACAATTTCACACAAGTACTAAATCACAAAACCCCATGGTTAACTGGGTCTCAAGGGTCCCCAAAGCAAAAATTATCCAAACCATAATTCAACCCCCACTAGAATATGCCTATTACACAAATCATTATCATTAACATCTCAAAGGCAACTACAAGCGAGAAAGAAATGAGTCTAGAGATTACGATTAATAAGTATTCAGCATTCATATGCCAAAACAAAATCCTAAAACGCTGAAACATAATCAAAACTAACTACAGTTCTAGAAAAAAGAAGGGAAAAAAAAAAAAGATAAGTTGTAATCACATAAAAAGTAAAAGTAACGGTACTGGTTGCGAACCTGAGATAAGTGCAGTCTTCCCTCGTCCGCATCGAAGTAGTGAACGTATGGTTTTCCAGGTTCCAATTCAGTTCCTGAGAAAAGCGAAAGCAAAAAACTCAGCTTAATCATCTAATTCGAAACATAGACTTCGATGTTTTCAAAGGATTGACTGGAACATACCCCAAAACGCCATTGCCGGAGAGCGAGGGTGCGAATAGCAGCGCTAAAACCCTCCCGATTAAAATTGTCTTTTAGTATCGGATCTTAAACCCTAATAGCTTAGACGGCGGATGACATGGTAAATGAGACGCAACGTGGCACCTATCAAATAAAGAGGCACACCGAAAGTTCTAGACCTAGCAGCAGGGAATTCCCATATTTAATAGCCTACCAATTATCAATTTCTTTTTTTAAAAAATACTAGTAAGATGGTAATGATTTTGATTTTTTTTAATAGAATGATTTTGAATTTAAATTTACACAAATTCTAATTAATATAAAAATTGATTTATCAACTGACTATTTCCATGATTTTGCAAAAAAAAAAAAAAAAATTATAAGACAAACATCTTAACGACTAACTCGATAAATTGTTCACTAAGAAACTTTGCCCTCCATCAACTTATTTATTGAACTATTTATCTCGACAACTAGGCCGACAAAATTTACACTACAAAATATTTGTTTTTCATCGATTTATTCACTTTTTATTCTCACAATATATTCAAATTTAAGAGCTAATTATTTTTTGTCATTTTACTTGTTTATATATCAAATGTCATTTTTTTCCCACCGTGGCAATAGGTGGTGGCTAGAAATAATGCTTGAGATAAATTTTAAGATATAAAATAAAATGTTGTATGGATATGATACTATCTCTTTTTTCACAATGTAAGTACGTTTTGATATGTGGGCATACTAGACTAGATAGGATTAGAAATGATGATATTAGAGAGAAAGTAGGGGTAGCTCCAATAGACGAAAAAATGAGAGAAAGCCGTTTAAGATGGTTTGGGCATGTGCGTAGGAGACCGGTAGAGGCTCCGGTTAGGAGGGTAGAGGCTATAGAATCAAGATTTCAAATTAAAAGGGGTAGGGATAGACCTAAGAAAACATGGAGAGAAACTATAAAAAACGATTTGAAATTTTTAAATTTGTCCGATGAGTTGTGCACCGACCGTACACGATGGCGACATATGATCCATATAGCCGACCCCACCTAGTGGGAAAAAAGGCTTGTTGTTGTTGTCGTAAGTACGTTTTGATTGGCACAAATATTAAGAATTAAAGATCAGCAAAGATAAAAGATCCACTTATAAAATAAAATTAAAAAAAGAGATAAAAGTCCACTTTAACCTCAATTAATAAGAGCAACTACTACTTAACTCAAAAGCTATTATATAGACAAAGGTAATTTATACAAAATAAACAAAAATTATGCATTGGGATATAAATCGGACTTAAATTTGACATAACCAAAAATATAACAAGACTTATACTGTGAAAATGAGGTATTTGTATTGGGATTTGAGTTTAATTTTTATTTTATTTTATTTAATTTGGGTTTGAGTAAAATCTCAAGGACTTAAGCTCCCCAATGTGAAGTAGGGAGTTATGTGAAAGAAAGTTTATTATAGAAAGGGGGGGATGTAAAAATTGAGTCAAAGCGACAGACCAATTTCATTGAGATTTTTTTTTTCCTTCCTTTTTTTTTCTCGATTTATTCAGAGATTTTAATTTATGTTATAACTTACTAGATTTTTTTATCGTGTGCTGCATGGAATATGTTAAATATATTATTAAATTGATATTTAGATGTAAAATTTTAATTACATTACTTTTAAATTTTTTTTTTCTTTTCATATAGTTGTTTGAATGATGTTAATATTAGAACCACTGAATTTGAATATAAGGAAAATATTTATTTTGAGATTATTTTATAATTTTACTCATAGAGTTCTAAGTTTTTTTCCCTGGCATAAATAGTGAGACAACAATTTTTTTTAAGTGGTGAAACAATATCATATGAGATTGCAGATAAATTATTAAATTTTTTTTTCAAAAATTCATTTCAATAAAAGTTAATTTTTAATGTATTTAGTTAGATTTTTTTTTTTAAAAAAAAAGCAGTATTGACTTTATATGTTCTAAACATGAAAAATTAAATTATAGTATAAAATATAAATTTATTTTTAATCAAAATTATGTAGTTTTGTTTTGGAGGAAAAACGTTTCATGAGAGCGCGCCAATTTATCTCTCATGGACTTTTGCTTTAATAGAGTAATACTCCCTCCGTCCCATAATTATTGTCCAATTTTACTAAAATGAAAGATTTTATTTTTGGTCAAATTTAACTATATTTTACCTTAAACAACCGGATATACCCCTACATAAGTAATTGTTTAACCACTAAGATTTTATGGATAATGTTTTTTTACTAAGGACAAATGTGTAACTTGATCTATAAAAAGTCAAATTAGACAATAATTTTGGGACAAAATTTTTTGGGCAAAGTGGACAATAATTATGGGACGGAGGGAGTATATTGATAGATTGATTGGAGGCAATAATTTTTCCCCTTCTCAAACTAAAAAGGAAATGAGGTAAAAAGTGATTTTAATTATTTAAAACTGGTTTTAACTACATCTCAAAATTAATTTACTCCATTTTTTTAATCCTCCGTGGGTTCAAATTATTTTGGTGTAAGAACAATTTTTATTTTTATTTTTTGGTGTAAAAAAATATAATGGACTAATCAACGGTTTCAAACGATATTCCTGGAACGGGAGTTCCATGATTGATCTAGTCGTATAAAAAGAAAACAAGTGATTAGGCGATGTTTCCAATTAACCACTTAATCCCAAAAATGATTAAACATGATTTAGCCATCACCTCCAGGGCTCCATCGGATTTCAAATCAGTTAAACGACGAGAGCCACGTACATAAAACATAATCTCCAGAGTCTTGTTTGTTACTCTTCATCAAATCACAAGTTACCATTAGTTTTTGTTAAACCATGATTTTCTCACTTGGTTCTTCCCGTATCATTATTATTATTAGTATAGCTACATTCCATACTTCTTTCTAGTAATCAGCAGGATCCTAAGAAGATGATCGATCTGCTCCTCCACTTTAGTGGTTGACAGTTGGAATTCTTCTTTCACTAATTATTGTTGTTAATTTGGGTTTGGGTGCAACGGTTGAGAATATTAGTATTCGTTAAAAAGTGGCTTACTTTTATCCAATTAATTCCAAATCCCCGTTTTAACCCACAATAATGCACCGGCACTTATTTCTTTTGTGTAATTAGTCGAGCTATGATGTTTTATATTCACTGCTACTACCATCATAATTAATCGATTATGTGTGATTATTGCACGGTGGATATATTGATATTTGAAATAAAGTACTTTGTAATTATTTTAATCATGTCATATGCATGTTACATCAACAATGGAATCCAGTTTAAAATTATACTTGGCACTCATCTATTATTAGTTTCGCATGATTTGGACAAGGATACACACTTGATAGTTCTTTTTTGGTGTATCTTACGATGGGGATTTTATTCATTTTATTTGTTGTTTTGGAACTGTTGTGGCAAAATGTCTAATGTATTAAAATAACACATTATTATGCAAGTAAAAGGAGCCGGGCATATCACGAAATAATCAGAATGGAACTATTGAAAAGTGCATTACACAATCTCGTAAAACCACTAATCCTTGGTAGGGGAAAAAAAAGAAGAAGAAGAAAGAGGCGAAATTAGATTCATATCATTCATGTTCTAATTCCACAGTGCAATTTATTGGTTAACATATTGAATATTTCACGAACTAAGTATCTAAAACTTTATCAAATTATTTACCACTTAATTTTTATTTAAGACACTGCACTTAGTATTTCTTCTTCTTCTTTGGAAGATACTTCTTCCGATTTTTATTATACGACAATTTGATTTGTCACAAGTTTCATTTTTATTATGCTATTTTAATTAAAAAATAATGAATACTTAAAAATGTATTTTTCATAGTAATGTATTCTTCTAATTATTATAAATTTTTTTTAAAATTTCTTGTTTAATTAAAAAACATAATAGATAAAATTTATGACAAATCAAAATATTCCCTCCGTCTTTAATATATATGGCATTTTGATTTGTCTTAAGTTTTACCTAGTACACATTTTTTAATGATAAAAAAATCTTAAACATATATTTTCATATGCGTTGTGTTCTCTTGATTGTTATGAAATATTTTTAAGGTTTTTTCATCGATTAAAAATCCATACTATGTGAAATTTAGGACAAATCAAAATGTTTTATATTAAGGACCAGATAATTATTACTTTATAATAGGGACTCTCATGGTGGAGTAGAAGAGACTCTTCCACCTTTCACCATAGGTCGAGAGTTAAATCTCGTCATGAGCATTGAGCAACTTTAAATACTTTGACCAGCTGAACACCCTGCAAATATTAAAAAAAAAAACTCTCTTGGAGTACAATCCACCAGTAGATATAAAATAATTATTAAAAATTTTGCTTTCATTATTTGCTGCTTTACTGCAAAAAGTTCGTATATTGTTTATCATTTTGGTGGGAGCCTCATTCTGTAAAAATCAATATGTGTAAGGTGGCAATGATAACCATTCGATGTAACCACAATAATAATATTAAAAAAAACAAAAAAGAACAAATAAAATACTAAACAGTAGTACTACCTTCCTAGGCGTTAATTTATATGTCTGAATGAAAATAATAATTTTTGGTTGAGAAGGAGTTGGGGGGTGGTCTTTTTTTTCTAAAAGAATGAAGGTTTTCCTTTTTTCGTCCTCGTGCCAAAATTAGACAGTGCGTTGCAGTCCAGAGATGCAGAGCTTAGCAGTCAGTCACCAGTGTTGACCACACTAAACGAGTCAATATTATTGGCTATTCTCTGGACCCCACCCCTCCCCCCTGTTGACAATCTTTAAACTCCATTGGTAGATTCTGCACACGCGCTCACATCAGCACGTGGTACCAGGTACCACTTCCTTTCTCTCTCTCTCTCTCTCCTGTTCTTGTAATAACATAAACAAAAAGTCTACAACGACAACAAACGAAAGTTTTTACATAAGACTCGTCCCCATTATCCACCTCCCCCCCTTCTTCTTCTTCTTCCAGCATCCATTTCCTCTCCTTTTACACTGTTTTTTTTTGCCTACTTCACTTTCCATTACAATTTCAGATGAACCATCTTTCAAATAGTTGACAAGAATTTAACACTGTTTCTCTCCAAAGTCATTATCTTTTTTGTCCTGAGGTTTAATTTCCGGTCAAGCTGCCATTTTTCACCCAAAATGCTTGCTACTTTGACAACTCCGGAAAAGGGTTTTTTTCTGGATAGATTGATCTGAGAGTTGAGTTTTTTTTTTTTTTGCCTTTTGGCCCAACTGCTGCTCATGGCTGCCAAAATGGTTCTTTTTAAACCCAAACCAAACTCACACCTGCTCATCAGCTACCTCAGACCGACAAAAAAATTCCAAATTTTGACGTTGGGATTTTAATTGAAAGCTCCATTTCTCCTCCAGTTCCCATTTGCTTATTAAAACTAAATATTTGCAGTTTCTCCAAAGATGTCAAACACGAACTTGAATACTCCATCTGAGGTGGTGACCTTAGGCGACGACGTGGCGGTGAAGGCGGTCAACAAGCGATATGAAGCTCTGGTAACCGTCCGTACAAAGGCCATAAAAGGTAAAGGAGCTTGGTATTGGGCTCATCTGGAGCCTGTTATTCTTAGAAACCCAGAAAACAGTCTTCCCAAGGCCGTAAAACTCAAGTGTGGTCTGTGTGATTCTTTTTTCTCTGCCTCCAACCCTTCTAGAACAGCTTCTGAACATCTCAAGAGGGGCACTTGCCCCAACTTCAATTCTGTTTTGAAGCCCATTTCCCAATTGCCTCCATTAGCTTCACCGACTTCCCAAAATCATCGAAAGCGCAGCTCCCAACAACCACCGGCCACGAGCACTCCTTCCAGTTCGTACCAATTAGCCCTGGTTGATTCTTCTCGATATCTCAATGAAATGAGCTATCCCCAGGTACAAATTCCGCAGAATTCTACCATGAATTCCAGTCCGGGGTTGAGTCAACCGCATTTGGTGTTGTCTGGTGGGAAAGAAGATTTAGGTGCTTTGGCAATGTTGGAAGATAGTGTGAAGAAGCTTAAGAATTCCAAAGCTTCCCCTGGTCCAGCCCTGAGTAAGGATCAGGTTGATTCTGCTTTTGGTTTGTTGGCTGATTGGTTCTACGAGTCATGTGGGTCGGTGTCATTTTCAAGTCTCGAAAATCCCAAGTTTAAATCTTTCCTTAACCAGGTAGGTTTGCCCTCAATTTCCAAAAGGGAAATTTCGGGGCACCGGCTTGATTCCAAGTTTGAAGGGGTAAGATTGGAGGTGGAAGCTAAAATTAGGGATGCAGTGTTCTTTCAAGTTGCTTCGGATGGATGGAAGGGTAGAAACTGTAGGTGTGGAGATGAAAGCGTGATTAATTTCTTGGTCAATCTTCCCAATGGGAGTAGCGTTTTTCAAAAGGCGGTGACAGTTGGAGGTTTGGTGCCGTCTCAGTATGCAGAGGAGTTAATGTGGGAGACGACGAGAGGGATATGTGGTAATGTTGTGCAAAGATGCGTAGGAATAGTTTCAGACAAGTACAAAGCTAAAGCATTGAGGAGTTTAGAGATTCAGAACCACTGGATGGTTAATTTATCATGTCAGCTTCAGGGTGTTTGTAGTTTACTTAAGGACTTTTGCAGAGAACTTCCCCTTTTCCAAACTGTAACGGATAATTGCTTGAAGGTTGCCAATTTTTTTAATACCAAGTCTCAAGTTAGAAATATTTTCCATAAATTTAGGCTTCAAGAAGTTGAGCTTCCTGGCTTGATCAGAGTGCCTAATCCTAGAAGTGATTTCTCGAAAGATGTTAGCTCTGTTGTGCTGATGATAGAGGATATACTGAGCCATGCCCGGGTTCTTCAATGGGTTGTATTGGATGATTCTTTTAAAGTTTTATGCATGGAGGACTCTATTGCCAGAGAGGTTGCTGATAAGATTCAGGATGTTGGGTTTTGGAATGAGTTGGAGTCTGTTCATGCACTTGTGAAATTGATCAGGGGAATGGCTGAAAATATTGAGGCCGAGAGACCTCTAGTTGGGCAATGCCTTCCTCTTTGGGAAGAGTTGAGAACTAAATTAAAAGAATGGTGTGCAAAGTTCAGCATTGTGGAGAGTCCGATTGAGAAAATAGTTGAAAGGCGATTCAAGAAAAACTACCACCCTGCCTGGTCAGCTGCATTTGTACTTGACCCTCTGTACTCGATGAGGGATGCAAGTGGGAAATACCTCCCACCATTCAAGTGTTTGACTCATGAACAAGAAAAAGATGTGGATAAGCTTATTACAAGGTTAGTATCAAGGGAGGAAGCGCCCATTGCACTAATGGAGCTTATGAAATGGAGGTCAGAAGGGCTAGACCCATTGTATGCGCAAGCTGTCCAGGTGAAACAGCGTGATCCCACGACGGGAAAGCTAAAGATTGCAAATCCTCAAGGCAGTAGGATTGTTTGGGAAACTTGTTTGAAAGATTTTAAGTCACTGGGTAAAGTTGCTGTCAGGCTCCTCTTCCTCCATGCTACTTCACGCGGATTTAAATATAATTGGTCAATGACGAGATGGCTTTGCGAGCAAGGGCATCCTAAGGTCTGCCTGGACCGAGCTCAGAAGATGATTTACATTGCTGCTCAAGCAAAGCTTGAAAGACGAGATTTCTCCAGTGCTGAGGAGAAGGATGCAGAACTGTTTGGCGCCGCAAACAGTGCAGATGACATGCTACATGATGTCTTTGCAGATGCAAACTCAGTGTAACACTTTACCTTTTGACTTCTGTAGAATTCTGATGTAGGAATTTTTTAGATCCTTTTTCTTCTCTTTATGTTTGTTGTAACTTCATGTATCTGATTTTGGAGATACGGTTGCAAGGGGAGGAGGGAATTAGCAAACTGTATTTTTAGACACTGCATAATGACATGATTTCCTAACCCAAGATGGGAGGCACAGATTCTTGGTGTAAAGACTATTGTTTTCAGTTATAGAACATCCCTTCGAAAATTATATATGAACCAATGGGGGGCGAAATTGATGGTAGCATTAACTTTAGAGAAGGAGTTTTGTTGAGTGTAGATTTGAAGTTTATTTTGCTCACAGGCAAGATCTTGCTAAGCAAACTCAACTAATTGAACTGCCTCAGGGTGTATGTGTATAGTAAGTTTATGTATTAGCTACAACTGACTGGATTTTTCTGGGGAAAATTTGGATGCACATTCCTGGTTCACTGAGAGGCAGCAATGTGTCCATTCCAACACTCAGCAATTTCACAGTCATGAACTAAACAAGTGTGAATACGTGACGATGACTTAAGGCCGATCAATAGGAAAATGCTGATGGTCTTCCCACATTGTTGATTATCTACCATTGTTGTGTTTTTTAATTCCATATCCATAAATAGCCACTTGCACTGACTACATGAATCTCACATTTTCAGTTTCACATACCGTATAGTGCCTTTTTACATTGCTGGTACATGCATAGTTTGTAAAAGATTTCTTAATAATTCGCAGATCGAAGCTCCTTTTCAGCATTATCACTCTGAAATTCTGAGATGTAATATTGTTTTGGGCCTTTAATCATTAGTTAATATGAGTGCGAGTGCTGCAGTGAAATCCTGATTCAAAACTGAAATCACAGAGTCCCTCTGGTAATGAGGCTTCAAAACATAGAATCATGCCTGCGAAACAATATAGCCTGCAGCAATGGCTTGGTTTCCTCTGTTTGTATGTAGCTTGTAATGCTAACGAATATCCAAGAGGAAGGAAAATATGGCATTAAGTTTAATCACTCTGTAGCTTTGAAGGTTCCTTCCTGGCATGAAACTTGGTTTCCATCTGAATGCTATCTGCGTTGGAAGGGCCTATGAGGTGCTTGTCAAAATTGTTTAACTCTGGTACTTTTTCTCATTCAACACATTTTTAGTGGTGTTTTATACTTATCTTTATGGTAACTTGTCTTTTTAACGTTTTGAATTCCTGCCAACCAAATGGGCCATTTGCTAACTTTTCACCTGCAATGGTGAAAATTTGAATTCTGAACAGCACTTCGTTTGTGTGTCAATAAAGAAAGTTATCAAAACTGTAAGCAAGGAGTGCTGTCAATCTTGCAATTGCTAAAGAATGTTGCAAGGTCTCTTTTAACGAACTTGATTTGTATTACAGGTTTCCGCTTTCCTAAATCAGTCGCCATCATTCCTCAAGTCAGCAAGAATACTGGTAGTAGTGTTGGAACTTTGCTTTTCTACGTGCTTGTAGATCAAACATGATTGCACATCTAGGGTAGTATGTTAATTCTTTGAAGTTTGACATTTGATCCATGCCTTTGTAGTTGTGCTTCTGATACTATAGGGATGACATTTGGAACTGAAGATCCTAAGGTAAATTTGTTACCAATTTGAAATTATTTTTTTCAAAGAAACTCTTCACCATGATATCTGTTAATAGACAATACAGAGCTGGTAGCTTTCACCATCATTCCATCATATGCTAGAACTGTATCAGGTAATGAAGAAGCTGGTACTTAAACTGTTACGCCCTTCCGGACTTATCGTTGATTCATCATCATAGTTTTTTGAAAACTTAATTATGAACAGTGACAAATGGTACAAGGAATGGTAGAAAAGGTAAGTTGATGAATACTGAATGTAGGACAACATCTCAAATGGGCTCCTATGAATTAGTCATCATCCCGGTACCTCAATTATAGTGTGAAAAAGTTGTGGTTTCCTTTTCGGTTTTCAATAATTCCTTTACTACACTTTGAATTGCAGTGCCAGTTGATTTCCTGGAAAGCCATACCCCATTGCTACTTTTTCATTATTGAGCCTGGTTAAGTAATTTGAATTACTCCCTCCGTCCCAAAATGAGAGTCCAGATTGTTGTGCTAGACTGAGGGGATATTCATCTTTGAACCAGAACTACCTTCCAAATTTATACAGGATTTTCAGAAGCAACTTAAGAGTACCTGTTAGTTATGACTTGTCAAAATGTAAGTACATATACTGAATCTGTAATTTTCTTTAGTTTCTTGGTTTTGATTTGGGGTTTTTGTGTTTTTCTGGTTTTGGATACTTAGTGGAGAAGCAGACAATCATGCCAGTGAGGTTAGCAAATAACCAATGCTGACTGCTCACCAACTAGTAAAAACTTTTTTCACTGGTATGGCATAACAGGTGGAAGAGTGATAAAGGTGATTAGCAGTAGAAAATCAACCTTTTTTTTGTGTGTAGTGGAATCTCCCAACTTTGCATGTTCCCCCTTCATAATTATCCTTCCTTTTTCGTATGCTCCTGCTTCCTTGTTTGGTTGCGTATATTGTCATTAGTCATTGATCAATTTGAATTTTATTCCCCCAAAAGAACGTAAATCTGGAACAGCACCTGAATCAACTCTTAAAAAAGTTGACCAAATTCTTCTTCAAGTAATGCTCAAAGTTCCTTTAGCAAGTCAATTAGGAGACATGAAGAAAAGGTGACATGCCTGATGCATCCAGTTCTGGCCTTGTTGTTATGAATCAACATCGTGGAACCATTTCTGCCTTGTTTTTGTGAAAAAAGGGAAAAAGGTATGAAAAAGAGACGCAAGAAAATGACTCATCTGTATTTTAGGTGCAAACATAAACTCGTTGGTTCATGTGTATACTTTTTTAGCTTTAACATGAAGGAACAACATTGCTTTCCTGTGCATTTGTAGGCTGTTAATGATTGAGCATTATTCTCACTGTCCAAATGACGATTAAAACATAATCAAATGCACCAGATGCAGTAAAAGATGCCACAGTTTTCTCTTTTAACTAGCAATTGTATGTCACTATCTCATGCAACAACTAACTTAGCGGATTAGAGGGACCGAACCGAGTTAATACAACCCAGCTGTAAGAGCTTGTTGAAGAATTTGGTGAATGTCCAGGCAATATATTCCCTTAGCTGGGACTTTGCCTTGGTGAGGCAAATAGTTGGCTACTGTACTTCTTGACCCCTTTCCTTTGCAGTACACAGATGAGGTAGACTGAGATGTAGTAACATAAAAATGGTTGTACTTGTATATATAACTTCTACCGTCAAAAGATACTGTAAAATTGATTTGTAGAGTAGGGTTGATCTATTAGCAAAGAAAAGAAGAAACAAGGTAATTCTACGACAATTAACATGCCTAACTTTTAGACAAGAATACTGTACGGCAATTCATATGTGACCATTCTACAAACTAATCTTTGATCCTTTTAACAATTAAATCGGTGAATGTGACTTCATAGTCTTCTTTCACCAGATAGCAAAAATAAACATTTAAACTAATCACGGAAATCAATAGAGTGAGAATGCTTGTAATTATGAGATTGTGAGTAGTTACATAAGTCTCTATTATTAGTGCAGAATGTAGTTGAGGACCTTTGGGGACAAAGAATGATAATCCATCTGATTTGTCAAATCCATTCTCTCTCGCTGGGTTGAATTTTCTTGTTTCGAACAGTGGGGAAACAGGAGGAATCCTTGTAGGATCTATCTACTCATGACTTGCATATTTATTCCCCTGGGCGAAGGAATAGAGTTGTGCTACCTTCAGATAATCTACTCAATTAACTCCATATGTTTCTCTATGATGAATATGATACGCCATAATTGCCATAGAATTTATGCATCATTACGTTCAACATTATGAATACTATTATGAATCTCTCTTACTTTTCGACTTTTCTTTTGGCGGCAAAACTGGAAGATGGTCTAAATCCAGCATTTCTGTAAATCAAATCAACATCATCCTATGCAGCTTCAATATGAAGAAAATACGGCCTCTTGAACTGGCTGTGAGACAAGTTCTTGCAAAGCTGGGAATTGGGAAGCGTTACAAGAAGAAACGATGACTTCTATGAATGAATCTTAATATCACACGACAACATGAACAACATGCTATTGTAACAACGGTAGTCATGGTTTCTCCGTATTAAGAGGAGCCTCTTCAATCCAAACAACATATCTCGCAATTTGAAAAAGCAAGATTATTTACAACATCCGCTAAGTTACTTTCTAGTAAGAGAATGTAACCATAGAGCATAACCCGAATGTCAGCTCGTTCAGCACCCGTTTTTTCGTATAATGCTTATTTATGTACTTATGAAGCAAAGTTTCCTTCAAAATCACCCAGAAAACAAAATGAAGCTATTCAACAGAAATCTCCGCACATGATGCCTGCATCATCCCATTGCGTATCTGGTCACCTATATCGCGAACATGTCCAGGTCCATGGGGTATGAACACCGTAGTGTTCTTTGATGAATTCCCCAGGTCTCTGATTGTGTCAAAGTACTGAGTAATCATGATGAGATCCATCACTTCCTTAGCAGAGGTGCCTGCAACCTTGTCCGAGAAATTCAAGATGTTCTCTCGCAAGCCATCTGTGATTGCTTGTCTCTGCCTCGCCACCCCGACTCCGCCAAGGTACTTGGATTCAGCCTCAGCTTCTGCCTTTTTCACCTGCAGGATCTTTTCTGCTTCACCCTTGTACACACTGGCTAGCTGCATCCTTTGAGCTATTACACAAAATAAAATAACAATAGTTTGTCAGAAAGATATCAAAAGATTCAAATCCAAAGAGTCTGCTCTGCCCATCTAGTGTAATAATCATAAAGCACACATAAGGTAACATGAAATTTCTCCTCATATAAAATTCAAAGTAAAATAACTGGCTGCCAGTAAAGTCAGCACCATAACCCTCATAATACGGGGAAATCAAAATAAAATCATAATCTCTACACGAAATAATTAAGGGAAGCCCGTATACATATCACTTATTGAATGAGATTAGGTAAATCTTCAAATGAAACAAGTGATGCACATCAAAGAGGAACGATATTTATCACCAGAAACCAACTCCAAAATCAATAAATTTTACACACGCAATACAGCACATAAACAAATAAGTTACCATGTTCATACCTGCATTTATCTCATTCATAGCCTTGCGAACCGAAGGGTCAGGAACAATGTCAACCATCAATATTTGTTCTATGTTGTAGCCATATGCTTCCATCACCTGAGGCCAGATAGATGTGTCACATTGTATCTTAAATCAAAGATTCTAGGCTCCTAATCCAAACTATTATGCCACAATTTTCCAGTGTAAGAAGGTAATATGTACAAAAGAAAAAAGTTAAAGCCATCAAATCCAAGGCACTATACCAAAAAAGGTTTAAAAGCACCTAGAAATTCATGAGTGACTCTAAATTAGCCACCATAATAAGGAAACGGGAATGTTCAAGGTACTGAATATGGAGGGACAATCCCCAATATTTTTTCCAAAATCAACGAATAAAGCTTGTAAAAATGAATTCATACTTCAGAATGTAAACCCCAATAGTTTACCTTTTCCAGTTCTTCTGTGACAGCCTGAGCAACATCACCTTTTTGCTCAAAAAGCTCATCCAAAGTCATTTTTGGTACATGAGCACGAACCACTAATCACACAAGCAAAAAAACTGGTTATTTAACAGCAATGAGCACCAGTAAGAAGTGGAAAAGAATGACCAAAACTATGTATAATACATCAGAATCAAATTTACCATCGAACACATATGCTCGAATCTGTTCCGTAGGATTTTGCAGCTCGTAGAAAGCATCATCAGCATTTGCTTTAATCACTCGATATTGGATCGAGCAATGCATTTGCACAAAGACATTGTCCTGTGCAGTATTGATACAGGTTAGAACGCAACTCCTTAAAATAAACAGCTTACTGCTTTCCCAACTGAGTAACAAAATGTATTGTCTAGCATAGGCTTAATTCCTGATTATCACTTTATTCTTTCAGTAGCCCGCTGAAACTCATACTTGATGGCATGTCAGAAACTTAACGTAATACAGGTCTTAGTTAAGCTTACAGACTAAATCCAGTAAATAGCAACATACGGCAGCATTAGGGTCCATAACAGTTTTTTTTTGCCGATAACATAAGCCAGTTTGGGGTACGCATAAGAAAGATTTCAAGCAACTGAGTACTGACTAACTTTCTGAAACGCTCAAAGTAAGGTACGAATTCTGTGCTATTCATGAGCTTGAAGCTTTATGACTGACGGTCAGAAATCTAAGGTGTCAAATTCAGATCTAAAAGCAACTAGTTACTTCATATCATTCTTCTTCTTTTTTCAAGAATTTAAATCCATTTCCAATTGCTTTTAAAATAGTGCCTACACTAATCGATGAACTTCTGGATGTTCTGAAAACTGCTATCAACAGTATCTTTAAATTGGTGCTTGCAGGCGATTGCATGAGATACGTTCATAATTTCTTCTTATCAAGAAGAGGATTTCAATAACAATCATCTTACAACTAGGCAAAGAACTTGATCGGGCATTCACTTTCTTCATGTTCGAAAACCGCATCCAAACAAACAAAACAATAAGCACTGTATAAAACACGGTCCAGGAAATAATCACATAGAATCTGAGACAACCACGGGCACCAAACAACCACCAAAAACCCTAAAACGAAGATCGCGATTAAATAAAATATAAATTCGCCTTTCATGATTCAAAAAGTTCACAGCAATAATTACCAATACGTGACAGGATATATACGTTTATCATCGAATCAAATCTATCAGTAAAAGAAGGAACCTTAGTTTTGGTCTCGATTTTGACATCCAGAGAGTTGATCCTGGTGGAGAGGATTCCGGCAAGCCATTCACCGGCGAGGGGATTGAAGAAGTGGAGGCCTGGTTGCGCCAATTTCAGAAACCGTCCCCATTTTTCCACGACGCCGACGCTGGCCTGGTCCACGCAACCGCAAAATACGCAGAAAAAGTTCACCATATCCTTTTTCTTAACTGTACCTTCACACTACGCTCCAAAGACCAAGAAGACGAAGAACAGAAATTTCTGAAGTGAAATTGGGAAGAAGTCTTCAAGCGGTGGATTAAGCAGTCAATGACGGTGGAATATACATCTCCGATGTTTTTTGAGTTAATTGCAAGTTTGCACCAAAAAAATATCCAATGGATCCTCAGATTATTTAATTACAGTAATTCACCCCTCAATTATTTATTTGGAAATTGGAACCAAAGTAATCACTTATTCATATTGAATTGAATATTTGTCATGAGTTTTGTGACAGACTATCTAAAATCTTTGATAGCACAAAGCTCTAATATTTTGCAATGGCTTAATAACGCCTATAGTTGTTATATCATTGTTTCATCATAACGTAATTGGAATAACTTAGTTGCAAGACTTGAGTTTCTTTTATTGTACAAAAAAGAAAAATTTGAACTTATTGTTCTGAAATTATTGTTTATTTTGAATTTTTATATTTTATACAAATTGAACTAAAAGTGAAGTTTTAATTTGAATAATAATTTTGAGACAAGGGAAATATATGATAAAACTAATCCATAACAAATATGAGAGTTGTTCTCTCTCAATAATTATTTTGATAACAGATTCGATCATCATAGTTAAACTGTATTCGAATACTACAGAACTGGGACCAAAATGGAGGTATATATTGTCGTTTAACTACATATATACAGTAGTTGGGTGTGGTATTTGCAATTAGCTAAAAAAAAAAAAGAGCAGATCAACAATTATCCGATAAATAAACAATTGAACTGGATTAGAAAAGGATGCCGGGCTTCAGTGGACCAGCCCATTTTATCTGAGAATACATAATCTATAATAATACTAATAACGAAGGTCAGGGGAGCCCATAATGGCATAATCTATAGTTGTACTAAAATTCAAAGTTTCAAACTACATTTGTACGGGGATGCAGAAATGTTAGGGTAATGGTGATTTGAAAGCATTCTGAACTTTGAAGTGCCTGCAGAGTGCAGAGATTAAAACTTAAAACTTAAAAGCATTGCCAGTGGCAAATGACCAGCAGACCAAGATACCTGAAAATGTCAATATCTTGTTTTTGTTTCAGGACAGAAGAGTCGCTGGTTTGTCAAAATCCACAAAACACTGATAAAACATGCAGTAGTAAGAGGATCAACTCTGTGTTCCCCCCTTTCGAACTGCTAATAATACCGGATGTTTCCGTTAGGACGAACTGATAATTGAATGCACCCCCCACACACACACACACACTTCTTGTCCATCGTATGCTTTATTTGATTCGACTCGTATGGATGTGTTGTTCTCCTCATCCCAAATCCAGCCATTTCAATGCCAAAATGATACTCCCTTATTCACCCCGCCCCTCAAACAAAAAATCAGCCTTTTCAGTTAAACTGGATTTTTTTTTTTTAGTTTTTTTTTTTTGAAATGGAGAGAGTACTAATGATTGAATTTTAATTATTATATAGCCACTAAAAACTCTATAGATGAGTACAACTTTTTTTTTAACAAATAATCTCAAATTAAATAAGCATGCATTCTTGGTACGAACATGTTATTATAAAGGTTATTTATTCCTGAAATGAAATGATCTCGTTTTTCTTAAGATTTCAACCTCTTTCATTATACTAAAAAAAGTTAAATTAGACGTATGTGTAACTCACTCCGTCATCTATACATTTTCACTCAAATATTTCATTATATGCATCACTACTCTTTAATAACTATCCTGCAAGTAAAATGAAATTCCGTTTGCTAATTTTCTGGAGTTAAAGGAACAATTCAGTGCCAGGAGACTGCTTAATTAAACAAGATGTTGGCAACGTTAATCAAACAACACAAAAATGAGAGGCAAAATGCACCTTCTTGGGACAATTTTTTTTCTTCTTAATCATTCTGTAAGCTTGGAATTCTATGTATCAACCTGTGACATCGAGTAAGATGGATATTTGTTTCATCAATAATTGACAGCTCAATCAACAATTCTCTCTGGTTTCCAATAATCTAATCCTTAATATATTCATAATTTCTTAACGCCGATAATTAAGTACTTATGTTAATTACATCAAATTGATACGTTAGTGGACCACATGAATTACAGAGTGTTAATTTTGATTTGCACGTGTGCCTGAGTGGGATACACAGCTTGCTTTAGCTCAAATCTCCCCTGATCACTCTTTTAATTAATTTATTAAGCTTTGCTAACATATCATAAAAAAATAAAAGTAAAATAAAATTGTTAAAGCTTTGCACATTCTAGATGGCCTTAAAACCTTGTTGTAGCCATGCATTAATAATATCCTTGTTTCCTGCATCCCTTATTTTATTTAGGTGGATGATTAGTTGATTACCATGGATATGCAAGAAATAATTAATCATCACTTCAGAAGGAAATTTCCGAGAAATGCATACTTAAATCAAGCAGCTGAGGTAGGCCATTATTGCTGACAGTACCAACATTAATATTATCCTAGTTGCATAATCTCTGCAGCAAATATATACTTATCATATAGTTTTAGCAGAATCAGAGAAAATGGGAAAGACAGACAAGAGGGACAAGAGAATTTATACATGCTGTTCATATGTCAGTCAATGTGTTTTCATTGGGAAACAACTTGACTGGATCTAGATCTCGGGTAAGGTTTGGCACCAGGCAAGAATTACACTTGCCCATTCTTTCTCTGCAGAATCTCTCTTCATTTTTAAATGTGCATGCATGCTTTGATCATATGGGTACAGGTTCTCTAAACCAATACTAAAACTATTCACTGAATTCTCCACAATCTTACCCAGAATTGTTACATGTGCTGCCATATCTTTTCGGAAGTGTCTTTGATCGATAAAGACAATTGAGGGGTCAATTGACGCTCCATCTTATCTCACCTTGTACATGCATTTTGGATTTTTGGTTCTACCTTGGTATAAGTCATCAGTTTTGTTACTCGTTCCATTCTGAAATAAAAATCATGTTTGTTTTAAGGAGTATTAATGGAAATTAATCATTTATGATATGGATTACTGATGTACAGAGAAAAATTCTACTAGTGAACTTGATTTGGTTGCGAAAGAAAACCGAATAAGACACGAAATGAGGGTAAATGAGACCCAAGCTCTTTTCTCTTTAATCACATCTCTTTCTTTGTTAAGTTAATTAGCAGGGGTTAATACTCGATTCTGAAGTAGGAGTATCACATGCAAGATTGATGTACTGAGAAAAGAAAAGGGAATTGGAACTTGTCCTTGTTCGTACAAGGGAACATTTTTAGATTCGATATACGAGATATACGGACAGATTAATGGAAGAAACCTTGTATTAATTCAATTAATCCTGGTTTCAGAGGTTTTCCCTGATTAAGCCCGTAGTTTTGCTATTGTACTTTCATAGTTTCATTCTCTGATTGGTTGCGGTGGAATCCTTTTGGTACAGCAAGATAGCGGTTGCCTTGTCTCCAAGCATGAGCATATATTGATACAACTTGTACGCTGTTAACTGTGTCAAAACATAAACAAATTAGTGGTGGTTTTTTAACTGTCTCTCCAGTGAATGACATTACAGCTAAAATGAGTGATTCTCAATGCCATTGTGACAATTAAAAGAGTATTAAACTAACAGCTTGATGGACTTGAGATTTGATCCAAAAGCTGTGGATAATTTCATTAAAGAACTCATCATCTGTAGACTTTAGCGTCTCCAGGAAGCTCACCAAATTAATCGCCGTCTCAATTTTGAATGTGTGCCCACCCTTTTCTGTCACGTTAAGTAAATCATGTGTGTTCCTTCATGGAAGTAATTTCAAATGCAAGCAACTTTGTTCTGTTCGAATGGAGTTTCTCTTCTAAGTCAAACGGGTAAAAACTTGGGTGAAAATTCGTTGACTCGTAGCGTTCTTCCACAATACATGCATTTCTGATTTTCTCGCACTAATATTTACTAGCATTCACAACTGCAGATTAATACATTGAAGTTTGAAACCAATATATCAAAATGGATGTTAAAATTTTAATCTCAAGTTACTTGATAAAATTGCACACTTACTACCAGTAGTGCTACACAAGAATGGCAGTGAAAACTGAAATATGGGATTTTCATTTTTAGTTCAATTTGTACTAGAAGTGAAAACCCAAACTGGACAATAATTTTTGGGACGGAGGGAGTAATAATTTTGATTCGATTGTTTGCTAGCATTCAATACTATTTAGTTTTGCCAGCAAAGCGTCATGTGTTGGCCCTGGCTTCTTGCACGGCCTTTGTATATATAAAGGCAACACGCACGGCTGAAACCATAGATCTGCAACAAAGCTTTGAAAATTCTCAATTCTCTACCTAAGAAGTCTTTTACAATTAAACCAAAAGAAAGAGAAATATGGGTGCCTGGTCTGCTGAAAATGCCACAAAAGCATACCTCAAAACCATGAAATTGGTAAGTGTTAAGCCCGGCTGAACTCTTTAATTCCAGGCTTTTATGTTAGTGAAGATGTGTTCTGATGTTTATCTGTTTTCTTGTATCAGGGAAAGAATGCAAAAGAGCCAAATGGAGCTGAGTTTATTTCAGCACTTGCAGCTGGAAACAATGCACAGCTTGTTATCATTGCTTGCGCCACAATAGTGGATTATACAACATTAGCCCTCGTGGCTGCTGCTCAGCAAACCGGAGGCCGTGTTATCTGCATCCTTCGCGGTGAGGAAGAACTTCACATTTCTGAAAAGATTACAGGAAGTAACAATGCAACTCAGGTTGAATTCGTCTTGGGGGACGCCGAGGCGATTCTCTCGAATCGTTACAACGAGGCTGACTTCTTGGCCATTGATTGTAATCTTGAAAACTATGATGGGATCCTAAGGGCAATACAAGGAAGCACCAGGCAGAACAATACAATAGTCTTGGGTTACAATGCATTCTGCAAAGGGTCCTGGAGAAAAAGCGGACAGCATACTCAACTATTGCCTATTGGAGATGGATTGCTTATCACCAGAATGGCTGCTAATTCCAGAACTGTTCATCAGAAAAGAAGTCACTGGGTTGTTAAAGTAGATAAATGCACCGGTGAGGAACATGTGTTTAGGGTTAGATCTCCTCCTGCTAGATTTGCTAAGGCTTAAGATCAAGTTTCAACAACAGTGATCTAAGAGATCAAACTCTTGGGGAACAGTATCCTTTGGCCCTTTTTTGGTCAAACCAGTAAATGTAAGTTCAAAACAAAATGCAAATGTAAATAGTATTAGGAATGATGCAAACATATGATTAAATCATTGTTCACATAAATCTTTTACTAATTAAAGTATCATTTTTGTCGCCGGAGAAGATCTCCAGCAAGAGATGCAAGAAATCTCATTTGGCCTTTAAATTTCTCTATCTCAAATCATAGCGTTTTCCATTTTCATTCTGTTCCAATCACTATTTGAAAACTGTAGGAACGCAATTTGGGTGAATAGCAATATTACTATGAAATAACGGGAAAACCTTTGAGTGCTGGAATCGATCGATAGGCAAAATACTCATAAAGGAACATTCACAAATTACTTCTGGAGCTTTAATCCTCAGGCAGAGGAATTAGCCTTACAAGTTACAATGCTAATTGCTAAACCTCCAGAGAATTCACCGTCAGTGAGTGGTTAGTAACAATCCACCATCAGTTCATACATGGCATTCGAATGTTACAGAATTGATTCCTAAAAATATCAAAGTTAAGAACTCTGAGAAGTGGTACTGCAGCTACTGAGTTCTTGGAGGATTGTTTCCATGTCAGGTCTTTCCTCTGGAGATTCATGGGTGCACTTAACAGCCAGCTTAGCAAGGCGTATAGCTTCAACATCGGAAAACCTTCCGTGTAGATTTCTGTCGATAAAATCTCGGACAATCCCTAATTCAGCAGCAGTTTGCATTGCACTGGTTATTTTGCGCTTTCCACAAATGATTTGAAGCAGAAGTACTCCAAAAGCAAAAACATCACTTTTATCAGTGAACCGTCCTGTGTTAATGTACTCGGGAGCAAGATAACCCATCGCAGCACTAGCCTTAAGTGCTGAGTAAACAGTATCCTTGGTTAAAAGTTTGTGAAGACCAGAATCAGACAGCAAAGGTTTGTTCCTATGATCAATCAGCACATTTGAAGCAGAAATATTCTGGTGAACCAAGGCAGGTTTGTTCACCTTGTACCCATGCAAATATTCGACACCTGAAAATAAGCACAAGGAAAGCGTTAACTTCAACTCAAAATTTTGGCTTGATTACGTTTCATACTAGGAAACAAACACTACAAAGACCTGCAAGAACATAAAGCTCACCTTTTGCAATGCCATTGATTATGGCAACTCTGGTGGACCATTCAAGGACATGATCACTCCCATCCTCCAGGTCAAGATAACGCAACAAATTACCATTTGGAACAAAATCATAAATCAGAAAACATTCTTTCCTTCCTTTAGAGCAGCAGAACCCTCTCAACCTAACCAAATTTTCATGCCTAAGTGAGGTTAATACGTTCAGTCCCTTCAAGAACTCCAACTCTTCCGACTTGCAGCTCGTTTTGGAAATGCTCTTAACGGCAACTACCGATCCATCTCTCAGTGCACCTCTGTAAACAGCGGAGAAGTTGCTCTTGCCCAACAAATTTTTCTCAGCAAAATACCGAGTAGCTGATTCTACTTCTTCGATGTTAAACTTCAAATTCTGTATAGCCTCTTGGGAGACTGCACCAAAACGTCGGCCCTCAGCCAGTGGATCCCATCCGCTGGCGTACTCAAGGCTGATAAGGGGAGAACCATTCTTCTTTTGACCTTCCTTAGCATGATCAATGCTAACGCGGCCATCTGACGTATCAAATGCATTGTCAGGTTTCTGTTTACGGCGGTAGTGTGCAAAGGAAAGAACTCCGATCACTGAGACAATAACAGAGACCACGACAACCCCTACAATGACAGAAGCCTGTGAGGCCTTAGACGATTTTGAGCAGCCAGAACCGGTGCAATTTAACCTTAGATTGGCTGTCTCGGGTATATCTCTTGTTGGGAACCCATTTGTGCCAACTCCAAAAGGTTCTGGTCTATCCCGATTCAGATGATCTGAAGCACTGCAGGCACTCAAAGATGTAAACTCAGCTCCACAAAGTCCTAGATTGTTCTCATATCGAAATCCTCCAATTAGTCGCTTCAAAGCTGCATACACCATGAAAATGATCAAAGTTAATTTCCTTAAATGACTAAAAGGCAATAGATATTCATAGGAATCCGACATAGGGAGGGAAGAATTACCAATAGGGACATTGCCGGACAGGGTGTTGTTCCGAACATCCAACACTTCAAGGAGAGAAGCATCTGCTAACTTTGTGGGGATTGAGCCAAATAGACGATTAAAACTCAAGTCCAGCCTTTTCAGCAAGCCTAAGTTACCTAAGCTAGCAGGTATTGCACCAGTTAACCGATTACTTTGCAATGCCAGAACATTTAATTTCTTCAAAGCCCCTAGCTGGGTTGGAATGCTTCCTGTCAACTGGTTGTAACAGAGCTGGAGAACTACACGACAGGGGTAGAACCACAATGAAATTTTTAAAGTCAGTAGATATTCAAATCATGAATTTAATGAACAGAAGCAGCACTTAAGTACTTAACTAGTGAATACTTTCCCAGTAATACCAGTTTCATGTTGAAGTTTAAATACATTGGTTAAAGATTCCCCAATCTCAAAATGACCACAATGAACAATACTTCTGTAAACAATTGAAAGGAAATAAAGAATTGAGGCAAAAAAAGAAAAAAAAAAAAACCTCACAAATTAATTGATGAGCTCAAGAAAAAGTGCAAAACTTTCATATGCGCAAAATCAGGGGAAATTTGGCACAACTTTTCTTCACCAAAAATCAATAAAGTGGCAGCATGACAAATGCATGAGTTCATTTCAGACTTGAAAGCAGCAGGATCTTGAAATTAGTACTACAAAACAAAATGTTAAAACTTTTGGCAGCCACAAAGGAGGTGAACTCTATCACTGATTTTTCATGAAAAGACAAAAAGGAAAAAATAAAATAAAATACCTAAGCAAAACAGGTATACCATCATTACAAGCACCACTCTCAGGTTCGTGATAATATGTTGCACGTAAAAATGGGAAAAAAGAAATCAAAACTGGCAAGTGAAAATAATCTCTTACCTTGTAAGTTGGGCATATTTCCAAGTTCAGGTGGAATCTCCCCGGAGAGATTATTCACATTCAAGTACAAGTCGGTGAGCTCAGTCAGGCTAGCAATTTCTGCGGGTATCTTCCCGCAGAGCGCATTGTAGTGAAAATACAGTCCGGTCAAGTGCTTGAGCTGACCGACCGCCGGTGAGAGCTTCCCGGAAAGCCCTTTCCCCTGTAACGAAATATTAGCGACTTGACCCATCTCGTTACACCCAACGCCCTCATACGAACCATCACAGAGGTCACCCAAACCTGTCCATGACGTCAGCAGCTTCCATTCCGGGTCCAAACTTGACCTTAAGCTCATCAAAGCTTTCATCTCTTCATTCTCGGAAACTCCCAGTCCAAAACAGAGCATTATTATGACAGATAACAGAAATGACGATACACCCATTGTTGTTTTAGCTGAGAATCGAATTGTTTGATGCTTCTTTTGGCTCAACTAGTGATTTGTTTTGTCACTTTTTTTTTGTTTGTTTTTTTTTTTTTGTTTTGGTTCCTTCTAGTTGGTCTTCAGAGCACCAGAGCAGTGTTTTGATTTGCTGTCTAACTTTGTATTCTTTTAAGTTGGAAGATATAAATGGGAGCAAATGAGGTTCAAAAATGTAGGTGATGAGCGTGCCTGATTGAATATATGGAAAGTAACTCTTTCACTGTTTTTTAAAGAGATGAATGCTTTTGACAAGGAGAAGGGACAAGGATTCCAGACGGGTTTTCCATATTGATTTCTGTAATTTATGCGCTCTGCTTAAAATAAAAGTGAAAGATTATTATGGTTATGGATTCTATCGAATGGAGAGAAGGGGAAAAAAAAATCGAAATTTTTTAGGAATTAGTTTGGAGAATTTGGACGCCAGAGATTATGCCACGTCAAGGAAGGTCAGTGGACCAAATGAGTTGGCAAAGATCGGAGAAGGAAGATTAGAGCCATAGTCTCGTCTCGTGAATGATAAAGAAAGTTCGTCAACCGGGGACGTCAGTGGTCAGACGTAGAAATTGTCTGATTATGGTAATTGGTGCCATTTCAGATACAATATGAATTTTTTATTCTACACACTGTCCTTTCAAGATAGTGCCTTCGTATTACTCAGGCTAGGTTTGGTTCTAGTAGTATATCTTCATACCTCCCAACGGAAGTTGTACATACCTTGTTTATGCCGTGTGCAAGGTTAGTCTCTTGTGTGTTAATATCTAACGGGACCTTAGAATTTTGTATTCACTTTTTTCCGAAAAATATTGTTTAATTTAAATTTTCACTTTTAATGTTAATTGAACTAAAAACAAACTGAACAATACATTTTAATACATATATATGTATGAAAAATATTGTTTAATTTAAATTTTCATTTATAATGTTAATTGAACTAAAAACAAACTGAACAATATATTTTAATACATATATATGCATATATATATTTTTTTTTGAAAATACATATATATGTATATATATAGATGTTCGTATATTAGGCATCTGATATCCGAAATCATTATTATGATTCATCCGATGAGCATAGTAAGTTTTTTTATGAAAGACAAAATTCTATCAACAACTATTCTAATCACTACTTTATATTCATACGTGAGTTAAAAACAAAATACTATTTACTCCCTTATTTTAAAATGTAGATCGTTTTAATTTGGAGAAATATTTCAAAATATAGGTCGTTTTAGGATTTTAAGGCAAATTAAAGATTAATTTTCTAATTTTACCCCCAATAAATGATGCTAACTACTTTTCATCTAATTTTAGTTATAATTCCAAAACAATTAATGAAGGGTAAAATATATATTTAACACATAAATTAATCATTAAAATGATCGTCTCCTTAATTTACGTGTAGTTGCTGAAAAAACTTGAAATGGAGGGTGTATTATATACAAATAAGCAGTTAATACTAATTATTCTGCTTCGCGGTAGTTGGAACTTGGAACCGTAACTTGGTAGTAGTAGTAGTACTAAGAAGCTGAGCAAGTCAAACGTCAATTTTCTGACAGTCTTTAAGGGTTTGTTGTTGCCAGCATCCAAGGACCATCTGAGACTGAATGAATGCAAGGGCCCTGCTGCTAACTATGCATTATTTCATCTTCACTCAGTTAGTTGCAGCCGAAGTCGATATTAAATCATGATGTAATAATTTTTTTTTCTTTTTTATCCGCCTTATGAGTTTTCCAGTCCATGAAGTCTGAATTATGGTGTAATAATGGAGGAATCAAACGCAAGCATAATTACGCAGTATCAAATTAAACAATGAGCTAGCTACAAGTGCTCCGGTTAAACGGACGATTCTCATCCCTCCAGTATTGTGGCGTTTGTTGATTGAGCACGGTAGGCTAGACTGAAACTAGCATGTTAGCCTTACCCCGCTTTTAATTGGTGGAAATGTCAGAAAACTGACAAAATTGTGCCACTCCTATAAGGTTGGTGTCGTCTGCCCTTTCGGTATTATTGTTGTCATCACTCCCAAATCAAGATACGTCTACGGACTACGGAGGTAAACAAGGGTCAGCAGTTACATAAGAGTATATCGTGCTTAATGAACTTAAAATTCCTATCACATTATGAAACTTTATCATCATCTCCATTCTATCACGGCATTTTTTATCCTCTTGTTTCGTCTCTATTATCAAAAAAAAAAAAAAAAAAAAAAAAATTTCTAACCCAAATGCAACATAAGGAAAAAAAAAAGAAAAAGAAATACAGAGTGTGAATTACTGTGTGGATCTATAATATTAACTTTTTCAATAGTGTTAAAAAATCTTCAATTTAATAGACTTAAAAAATAAGTATTTGGAACTAAATTTGGGTCATTTATGTCACACTAAAGGGTTTTTAAACAATTCAACGGTATTAATTTATAAATCTAGCCAAATTATGAGAGAATGATGAATAAATGAAAAAAAGACTTCAGATTAGTCGAAAACTGACCTAAATTTTCCATTAAGTAGATTAAAAAATCATTAATCGGAAATGTAAAAAATCAAACAATTCCGTCACATTAAGAGGTTTTTTAATATCATTTGGTCGAATTGATCTAAAATATTTAACCGCAATTGAAAGGGAAAAAAAAACTTTTTATTTAATGAAATTGAGTTAAAATGTCGCAGAGAATGATGAGAATTTTATAAAAATCTATTTAAAAATCCTTCGATCATTAAGTTAATTAAGTCCCATTAAGAGATTACGGGAATTCCAAAATAAATAGTGTGAAACCTGTCTAGGTAAATAAATAGTAGAGAGGACTAGAGACAACAATTACATTTCTCAAAACAAAAACCTGGAATGGAACACAAGGACGTTGATTCTTCCAACAAAGTGGAAAACCTAAAAAGCATAATATTGATCGGATTACAAGATACTACGTAAAAAGGGTTGCACCGTCTGCTTGCCTAGCTATCGTGGTAGTAATTTATATATGTTGTTCGTTTCAATGTCTGTCGAAAGCCAGCATTAAAGGGTTGAATATTTTACACACTTACAGAACCCAAAAACAGAAAGATGAAAATCGATATCATTTTGCTAATCTCTAGTATATAACACAATGGACCATAATTTGGGTTACTAGTAAGAAAAACCTATGTGTATTAACTATTAACCATCGTCCGTGTTAGATGTTGCTTTCAGATTTCTGTGTGGATCGTTGTGAAAGAGCCATTTCGAGAGGATAAGCTGGGTAGGTCCCCAAGCTCGATACCCTTTTGAATCCCATTTGATAGTAAAACTCTACGAGAGCTCCATAGAGGGCCTCAAGGCTCAAAGTTGCCATCACATGCAGCAGGTCTGTTTTTTTGTGAGCAAAAAAATGCGTTTTACTTTTTTCGAAATGAAAGTAGACTTTTGAGTTTTGAGTAGCAATATAGTACTCCTCTGTCTCATAATTATTGTTAGTTTGAAATTTCACTTGGAATATAATTTGAATTAGAAATGAAAACTCAAATTGAACATTAATATGGGACGGAGGGATTAGTAGTGTAGTCCCATATATATTGGAATGTGGAACTTGGAATTTTTTTTATTTTTTTTTCTGGGGTTTTGTTGATGTGTTTGTTAATCTTGGAGACCTGTACATCACTGTTATCGAATAGCTCTCTCATCTGCAAACTGCAAAGTCACAAGCAAAAGCATTTCTTTACTTTTCTATACCCTTTTTCTGAAGCAAGAAATAAGTAACTTTTTAGTTTTGCTTTTAAGTCCTTTAAAGTTTAGTAAAGTTTTAGATTAAAAACTTCCAGACACGTTTGAAGATTCGATTCTTTTTTTTTTTTTTAAGAAAAGATGGAATGGGCGTGGGCTGGAGATCAGATTTGTAATGGTATATGTGAAGAAGAGGTCGGTGGGATTAATGCTGGACTTGTTGCGGATATTCAACAATTATTATGTCGAGTTTGGTAACAGAGTTCAAATATGAGTTTTGAGAAACAAATTTTGTAGTAAATTACCTAATTTTCAGTACATGGTCCCAGAAAATTACAATGACTCGATAATCCATCGTTGAGAGTTAAACCATGGCTTTAGCATGATACTATAGGTTCATATTCGTGCAATGTATGATGTATCATTGTAAGGCATGAGCATTTATTTACAGCAACAAAAAAAATAATAAAAAAAAAGAGACGTAAACTACTATTACGAATGTAAATATATTTGTTCACTTATTAAACATATAATAAATTGAGTTACTTGTAAATTTTTTATGTCTCATAATAATCTCCTATCCACTAAATTGTATTGAATGGTTATTCGAAAAAATTTCATTGTTAATATATTTGTATAGATAGATTCATATTCGTGTAAGGACTTGCTTCTATATACGATAATAGAAGTAAACTTTACGTGCTAAATTTACAGACGTCACATGACATAGTAGTATTTTTCACCCATAGCTTTGGAGTCAAATAATTGAAGGGTAATCCATAGAGTTATATATTGATATACAGTCTCTTCCAGCACTTGAACACTAATGAAAGAGGGTAATCCATGGAATTATATATTGATATACAGTCTCTTCCAGTACTGATAAGAGATTGAAATTCTAAAAAACCCATGAAATTCCACCTCAAAATCAATTGGTTATGAGAGAGTAGTCCATAGAGTCTATATATTGATATTTAATCTCTCTAAACACCGATGTGGGACTGGGATTCTTAACAGTGGCGGAGCTAGAAAAAAATTTCAGTAGGGGCACAAAATTACTAAGTATAAACAAATTAAAATGAAAAAAATGTGACTGAAATTAAGAAAAGTAAAATCCATATGAAGAAATGATATTAGTAATAGAGGGTTAAGTGTGTTTCTTTCGAATTTTTTTTCAACATTTTTCAAATAGAATTACAATCTTTGTCACTAAACTAATTTTTGTCGAACATTTTACACTTGATTTCATGAATTATTTCAAAACAATTAGGATGATCTTTCACAAAACAATGAAGATTTTTAACCCCAAATTGACATAATCATAGCTAATGATGTGCTTGTTAATGTGGATTTCAAATTTCAAAACAACAAATGCTGTTTCTTTTCTTCATATGAAAACCTGCAACTTCTTTGTTTTGAAAACCGATTCCGAGAAAATTTGAGCAAGACAAAATCCTTCTCTTGAATTGATTTAGTGATTGAGTGAGCTAACTTCATTAAAACTTAGATTCAAAACCGAGAGAAGCAGTGGAAGTGGACAGAAATTTCATAAGAAAGAAGAAGCTAGTTGATCCATCTATTTCTGAAATCATCAACCAATAGAATTCAATGCAGTAACTTATGCTACTTTCAACCTCCATACATGATCAGAATGTCAGTTAGTTTCGAAAACGTCAAGTTGCTGAATCAAATTAGTTGCTGAAAAGTAGCCATGCTATGAATTAAATTTCCAATAAAGCCTAAATCGAAAAAGAATCAAACAACCAGAATTATCTGGTGGAGATAGTAATTTCATTCCAGTATCAGTCACAAGGCAGAACTTTGATTCTAGGATATTTGATTTTGGGGGCAAAATTCACGGAGAATACATATACTGAATCACAGGCAAAATTCACGAGGACATTTGATTCTAGGACATTTGACTCATGGAATCAAAAGATCAAACCTCTGAATGCATCTAAAGGAAATATTGTGATTAGACTTAAAGAAACCAAAAAACGAACACCTTAAATACACATCAAGTATTTTAATTCTGGGCAAATGCGATGTTATTTATTTATTAACCACAAAGAAAACAAAATCTCAAATTTAAGCTCAGTTTCGAGCACCAATAAGATATCCATTTCACTGATTTTATTATCAACCGAAGACAGAAAAATTCAATCGAATCAAATAAAATTTGAATACATAACTCTACAAGTGGTCTAGATAACCTCAAGAAAAATGTAGGTTTGCCTTTGGGTGGAACCTATTTGTTGCCACTTGTGCTTATCACCAAAAAGTTAAGATGGCATCAATGAATTGGTGACTTTAGATAATTTCAAAACAACATGAATTGAAGAGGCAGATACATTATATCTTTTTTAAAATTCTAGGCATTTCGGTATGTACTATAGAAGCATTATCGTGAGCTAGAGAATCAGCAACATTATATCTTTTTGCAAAGTTTGAGGCATTTCGGTATGTATACTATAGAGGCATTACCGAGATCAAAGTTAAGTGTATCTCATGGGGACGTGGTATTGATCTCTAAACAGTACCAATACAATACTTATCTCAGAATCTTGGTTGGAACTCTTAGGCTCTTTTTGTTTGGTTTTTTGGATGGTTTTTTCAGATTATTTTTAATAATAATTGTCTTATCTCATCATATCTTTTTATATTTTTAATACACCTTTTTACATTCTCAATACAATAAAACACCTAAAAACACACACTACTAAAAAAAATAAAACAAACGTACCTTAGATTTTTCTCTTCACATTTGGTCATTTACACGTTACTACTCTGATGAGGTGGATCATGTTAGCAACAAAAGGTTTTTTAGTTTGATCTCTAATTTTAACTCTCATGTGGCAACCGATTTTGATCTCTAAATTTAACTTTCATGGATTCTACCACCAACTTGGTGTAATTTTCATTAGATTTTACTTATCTTGCACTGGAAATATAGGATGCTGAATTTGAGATGTCAGATGTAGATGAGGAAGAACTTCAGGACATAGATGCTCCCCTGATGAGAAGAATACCTTACTGGTTGAGGAGTATATCAAAGATATACATTGTTACTACAAAAAAAAAAAAAGCAGAGGTCATATCTACAATCATTTTTTATTTTTTTTTGGGTACAATATCTACAATCATTTTGAAGTGTACTTTCCAATATTCTTTAAGATTTGGTTAATGATAGTAAACAGCGGAGGATAGGAACAAAATAGTCAAAACAAAAGTAACATTTTTGGTTGTTGAAAAATTTAATGTGTGCTTGAGTTTCTTTTTGCTCTTTTACGTAGGTTTTTAGCTATGTCCCAGCAAGTTGTAGTCAATGAAAGAATGAGAAGTATTCTGATTGACTGGCTTATTGAGGTAACATTGAGAACAATGTTTGACTGCTTGATTACTTTAGTTAGTGTTTAGTTATCTCAAATGTACCGTGGCAAGTACTTCTTTTTCTGCATTAAGCCTTGTCAGAAATCAAAAGATCAGACCATAACCAGCTCTTTGCTCTGATTTGCTCTCATGAAAAGGGAAGTATTAAAGATTGAGATTGTACAGGCAGGTATAGTAACTCTTGACTTCTTGGTTAGGTTCTCGACTTGGATAATAGTTGAGGCTGGTGGATTTTAGGAAATGATGCACCTTAGGTTCTAGAATTAACGCTTCGCTCTTTGTTGATTGATGTTGGAGTGAAGTTACTCTCTCCTCTAGCATCCATTGCTACAGTACTCTCAGTTCTGGATGTAAAGTTATAACTATCACAGCCATGAGTTTGTTCTGATTGAGTTGATTTCTATTTTTGTGACTGGAAGTTGATGAAGATATTTGAAAATGTGTTGTAGTGACTGGAAAGATTGCCTGCTTTGTATGTTTCCCTGATTTGGGCGGATCTTCAATTTTAGTGATTACGGTCTGATGATTGAATGACATTTGGTAGTTTGTTTTCTCAAAATTCCATAATAATCATTTGTTTTCTCGAAAGAGAACTGTTAAAGCTTTCCAACACATAGGCCAATGCCTGACGAGAGCCTTCTATTCATCAACTATTAATGACAAAGGTTTGCATGATTACTTCATAAAAACCTGTCATGATGTTAGACTTAAAAAATGTCAAAGAGATATAACCACTGGTGGGATTCGAAGACATCTCATTTTACCAGGAAGCTATACCTGCGAATACTTTTTATTCACAGCCTTTTAAAATTGATTTGCAACATTGTGATGAAGGATTATATGTAATAAAATGTGTGTATTTTATATTCAGTTGACGGTTATAAGGTTACCACCTTCATTTTCCCCCTTGTTTTTCTGTTTTCACTCTAGAAACGATTAGCAATGTATACACTATTGACGAACAACTTCATCATATGTCAAAGTATATTCTCAAAACGGCACTCTATACGGAATGAAGGCGTATAAACAACAATCTATACGAAGTTGAGTTAGCACTTAGTTTACCTATATAATCATATAATTATTCCATATAAATATTATATATATATATATATATATACACGACTATAAATAAAATTATCCAATTCCAAATCATTTTTTACTTGCAACAAAATCTCGACCACCCTCTATTACCAAACGATCAAATAATTGCTGCTTTCCTAAATTATCGGGCTACTACTCCCCTAAAGCTCCACAACGTGCAGCACCAACACCTAGTTCAACTTAAAACAATATTTTAACTATTTTTTTTTTAAAAAAAATACCATTTTAAGTCACATTATCAATATCACAATTACGTGAAACGTAATTCATTTTGTCTTCGCAAATCTCACTTATCAACTAACACTAAAAAGAGGTTTTAAAAAATGGCAGGTATTCTGAATAAAATTTTCTCTCAGTCTCACCAATTTAGCCTTCTCAATGTTTGCGGATAGTGACATGATTGTTCTTTCGTGGGTTGAGAAGTCGTATATGGTAGAATGTAATAGTTCAATCATAAGATTATGTAGCTCAATCTTTATATTGTACTGCTCAACCGTATGATTGATCTATTTTTTTAATTTAAATGTGATTATCGCTTTTCACAAAAAAAAAAAAATTCCGAATAAAATTTTCAAAACCGGAAAGTAAAATTCAATTTCCAAATTTTTGGAGTCAGAAACTAAAAGGCTTGGGAGGGCTAGTCCATGACAGAACAGCCCAGAAGACGACTTAACAGAGCCCAGCCAAGCCCATTTCGCAATCAAAATCCCGTTAAACGCCAATACAGTTCCCAGATTTACATTTCTGCCTCAATTGTTCAAAAACAGACACCAGAAAGGAAAAAGGCAAGCACAGCCAGATAAAAATTAACGAAGAGAAGCCAGAAAAAAAAGAAGAAGAAATTCAAGAAAAAATGGGGAAAGATCTGAGCGACGACCAAATTTCCTCCATGAAAGAAGCTTTCACGCTTTTCGATACCGACGGCGACGGTAAGATCGCCCCATCGGAGTTAGGGATTCTCATGCGGTCATTGGGCGGAAACCCGACCCAGGCCCAACTTAAGTCCATAGTCGCCGACGAAAAGCTCAGCGCGCCGTTCGATTTCAACCGATTTGTAGAACTCATGTCCAAGTACCTCAAGCCCGAACCTTTTGATCGCCAGTTGCGCGACGCCTTCAAGGTCCTCGACAAGGATGGCACCGGAAGCGTCGACGTTAAAGATCTCAGGCACATTTTGACTAGTATCGGTGAGAAGCTGGAGCCGGCGGAGTTCGATGAGTGGATCCGGGAGGTAGATGTTGATTCTGATGGCAAGATCCGTTACGAGGGCTTCATTGCCAGGATGGTGGCGAAATGATTATCTTCTCTCCCTATGTAAGCAACGAATATATGCCTAGGGTTTTGATTAATTTGAATGCATATGCTATCTCTGCTGTTTGTGATTGCATATTGTTAAAGTCGATATTTTGTGAATTCGGCATGCTTGAGATGCTTGCGTTATATGTGTTGATGTCTATTGGATTTTCGCTTATAATGCTGATCGTTCCTTGTAAAAATAATCGAGAAAAGAATAATGACATTTATTAGCTGTGGGCTCAATTTATGACTCCTCATTACCTGTGCAAATTAAACATTGGGTTTTCATTTGTGATTTATTGAGACAACGTTTTCATTGTTGAAGGGGGGATGTGGTTGGGGTGGGGGGGGGGAGGAATTGAGAGTGTGACATAAGTTGGCAAACCGACAATGCACAGTTATGGTTACTTGAGTGATTGTAAGGGAAAAATGTCATTTCATTTATGCCAAATTTGAAGTCATTTCAACCAAAAGTGTAACTAACCAAAAATGTAACTAACCAAATTTATGTCATTTCAAAAATGTAACTAACCAAAAGCATCCAATCAGTGGTCACAAACATGTATTCTCCATCTATGCTACCTTGATATTTGACAAAATCTCTTGATAACTGCAAAAGTAATGTGTTCAACTCTTAGTATGATACTTCCACTGGTCCTAATTATAGTTTAATTTGAACTAACTTTAGTGTTAATTTGTGCCTTATAATTAGGACCAGACGGAGTATTTGTGTACACTTTTCTTTTTTTCTTATGATACATCTCTTTATATGCGCTGTATATTCTTTTCATCAGTTGTTTCACACCCACAGAACATAGGTGAATACCTTACTGCAGTGCATAGGTAGATATTAAGCTGTGTCTGTAGCTGTCTTGCTTGTTTTTACAATAACCCAAAAGAAAGAGTGAACTTTTTGCTTTGACAATTTGAATATCATATCGTGGATGCCGTGCAACCGGTTGATTGTCAGAAGCTTTATGTTCCCATGGCTTCATTCCTTATGAGTTGCATGGCACTTTATGCTCTTGTGACTTCTAACCTTTTTGTGAAGCCAAGAATAAAATTCTCCTTGAAACCAATGCTACTCTTATGTTGCATATGGACGTTAAGGGAATAACATCTCTGCATCACTAAATCTTGATTAGTGGTCAAAACTGGTACTATTTGTTTTAATCAACTGCATAATAATGAGCTTGTAGACTTGGCCATTTTGTTGACTGTTATTCAGCAGTAATATTGTTATTGTGAGTTGGCGATCCTGTGCATTCAAGATATCTTAGGTTATAATGGTCATGCAAAATGGGAATTTGTCCAATTGTCCCTACTTGATGTCTTCGAATTGATATGGCCTTTTCTATTCGTGTTTTTGTTTGCAGGTGGTTGGATTCAGTGGCTGTAATGTTGATTAGCTCGAAGCCAGTTCCAGAATTTTCTTCCCTAGCCTAGTGTTTCTTTTGTGTTGCTGAAGTGCATTTTCGACTCGAGTCTTGCCTGATCTTTAGTATCTCAATATTGTTTGTGAGTTTATTTGTGTTTAAGATGTTTGAAAGGTATCTTGTATCTTGTTTTTTTAGAAATTTGAAACCCTTGAATTATTTAGGAGTTAGAGGTACTCTCCTTGGATTTGATAAACCTGTGTGTACAGTTGAAGTTGCTTTGGGACCTAAGTTGGTGTTCCAGTTGCTTTAATCTCTTTAATTGTTGTTTATCTGACTCTGACCTACTATTCCCTTTTTTGTCATTATTTGTTGAGCATGATTGTGGCTTATGATTCATATATGTTGGGATAAGCTTGGCTTATCTAGGGTGCTTCTTAGTTTTGAAATTGTTGGTAGCATTGGAATGCTTTTCTGTTTGTGCTTTTGCCCTGTACTTAACAAATTTACTGTTCTGGTGCATAATAATTTTATTTTTCTTGGTTTCACTTATTTCCGTTGCAAGCTGTTTCTCAGAGTTGGTTTACAGAGTTAATTGTTTCATTTCTGTACCTATATATCTGGGAAGCAGTGGTTGATCGATTTTGGTCTCTCTGAGGCTGCCCCGCTACCATTTATCAAGGAACCCCGTACAAGTGTAGCTAGTATATTGCTAAACATCAGTCACGTGATGATAACACAGATAATATAAATTTCTGCTTTTAAAATCCGTAATTTGGAGAAAAAGAGAGTAAAATATTGAAGTTGTGCTTTGTTCCAAAAAGCGAAAAAATGTTGGGATGATCCTGTACTCATTTGCTAACAAAATCTGCATTGGACATTTAGACAAGCTGTCATGGTTGAATCGTTCGAACACCAGACGACTTGGATGCCACTATTGTCTTATGAAAATGTTAAATCAGTCCAAAACTCCAAATATCACCCAGATGTAAACTATTACGACGCTGATGTTGATACTAAGTGATTAGCAAAAAACGAGTATTAATCAGCAAATAAACAAGAAATTCCAAACCTTTTTTTTTTTTTTTTCTTTGGGAAGACAAATCTCTAAACTTTAAAGTGGCCTGGTGTTCATTCATAAGACAATAGCCAACGGAATAAAATTACATGGTTAGGGCCCAATAGGCCCAGGAAGAGTCTGAAGATGATATATCTATTTTTTCTTTAGGGTGAATAGGCCCGTTACTCAGTACCCTTTTCAGACTGATGGCCCAATACAATGAAAACCTGAAGGCCACCTATATATAACAAAAACCCTAATCGATGTCTCCATAAGGAGGAGTCGAGGGTTTGCGCCTGTCTGGTGTTGTATCAGTGGAGATATCCAAGAAGCCGTCCGGCGCCGAGTAGCTTCCGTCCGCCGTCACCATGGGTCGTATGCATAGTCGCGGGTAATTTTGATTCTTTCTTCTTGAACTCTCCGGCAATGCTATCTCATTTTCAGTTTTTATATCAAGCTAAAATGCCTCAGCGTGAAGAAATTTACTAACAAAATGAATTGTTATCAGGAAGGGTATTTCCGCATCAGCCCTCCCTTACAAGAGAACACCACCAAGCTGGCTGAAGATCTCCTCTCAGGATGTAAGCTAATGGCCCTATTGATTTGATTGAATTCAAGCTCGGCTTTTCTTTTCCCTTTCTGTATTTTGATTTGCTCTTTTTTGTAAGGTTGAAGAGAACATATGCAAGTTCGCCAAGAGGGGAATGACTCCATCTCAGATCGGTGTGATTCTTCGTGACTCTCACGGTATTGCTCAGGTCAAGAGTGTCACTGGCAGTAAGATTTTGCGTATCCTCAAGGCTCACGGTATGGACGAAATCGTAATGTTTGTCTTTTTTTCGTGTTTTATTAACCGGTTTTAGAGGTGATTGATGTTATTGGTTACTGGGGATCATTCTTAACATAATGTGATGGGTTTTTGTTTGTCAGGTTTGGCACCTGAGATTCCAGAAGATCTGTACCATTTGATCAAGAAGGCTGTTGCCATCAGGAAGCATTTGGAGAGAAACAGGAAAGACAAGGACTCAAAGTTCAGGTTGATTCTAGTAGAAAGCAGGATTCACCGCCTTGCCCGTTACTACAAGAAGACCAAGAAGCTCCCACCAAACTGGAAATAGTATGTCCTTTATCTCTGTTGTCCCTTATTATTACCTATTCGTGCTGCAATTTTACATTTATGAATGTGCTAATGAAATGTATATGGTCGGATTATCTAATTAAATTAAGCCATGCTGTTTTGGAGGATATGTGATTCATGTATATTGTTTGTTAAGTGTGTTTTGTTGAGGAAGCCATAAAATTGTGGCTGTGACACATTTTTATGTGCAGTGTATTTTATGATGCATTTTCCATCTTAATGCACATCTATTTTGATATCTGTATTTAAGTATTTTTCATTGTATGTTTTGGTTTCAGAAGACCATTTTCTGCTCATTGTACAGCTCAAATGGTTAATGCTCAGGCTTCTGGTTCTTGGCTTTTATCATTTGTTATTTTCTGGTTCACCCTTATCAAGAATGCTTTCTGTATCTTTTCAAATGCTGTTGTTTTCTTATTTGGCAACTTTGCCGGCTGTAATATGGAAATTGTCAAAATGCTTGAAGTTTGAAGTGTCAAATTGCTTTTGTTAATTAATCTTTTGCATCTAAAGACTTTTATGGTTCATGGTGTGGTTTAAAATGCCAAATTTGTGCTCTTAACTATTAACTTCTAATTTTAAATCTGATTCCTATTGCATACTCGATGTGTAATACTTTATTCGATGTGTAATACTTTATTGATTTTGGTGTATCGTATGATTGGGTCTTTCTCAGCAGTAAAAAGTCTTGTCTTCATAGTGTATTTTTATTATGCTAGGATTGAGTGTAGAATTCACATCAGAAACTCTGTTCTAATAGTTTGTGATTGAGCTTTTGGAACAAATGCTGATAAATAAACTCTTTATGCAGTGAATCCACCACCGCCAGCACACTCGTGGCTTAGAGGAGGAGGTGTCGGGGTTTTTCCTGGTAGTGGAGGTGCAGAAAGTTATCATAGGTGTTTCAAGTTTGTCGTCCATTGCCGGGAAATATTAGTTCTTGCGCCCAATTTTGTGATATGATTCAGTTGTGATACATTGTGGATTTAAACCTTAAGCATAGTTGTTATGTTCCTGATCATTGACTGAAATTCTCAGTTTTTGTTAATTTACTTAAGTATATTTAAGGTGACTGTTCGATGGCAGTGTTTAACATCTTGTTGAGGTCATGAGTTGGAGTTAATTAACATCAGTATGACCATTAATCGGGAAACGCATGCCGTAACACTGTTCATGTACCATTATCAGTTGGTGAATGAAGTTTTAAATAAACAAATCTGGTTATCTGTCAAATGGTGAATGGAGTTATAGCAATCCTCATCAGTGGTCATGTTTATAAGTTTTCAGCTGCAGTTATAAATTTCTTGTTTCTGGTAACGTTAAAACTCAATTATAAAAAAGATATTTGAGCTCTTGTTGATTCTCTTCGGGTTTTCCGTACTTATTTTGCTCAGGATTGCACACACTCGTATACATTCTTTGGTCATAAAAAGCCCGTTAACTTTGGTGTTTGGAGCTTGATGCCTTGGTAATCCTATAAGTAGATGTTGAGTGGGTTAACTTTGGTGTTTTGAACTTGATGCCTTGATAATCCTAAGTAGATGTTGATAATCTCGAAAGTTCATAATACAAATCGCCAAAAAGTTTATGTAATGCATATGGGTCAAAGATATGAAACACAGAAAATTCTGGCCGTCAAATTGAAGCAATCAATTAGTTTGTACCAGTACTACTACGGCTCCAGTTAATATAAGGAGCTCCTAGGAGATCGTGTGTTTCACGCACCAAAAAAAAAACACCCCCAACCTTTTTTTCTTAGATTTTTAATTTTTAAATTCTCATAACAAAAAAAATATAAATACCTAATAATATTAAATTTTTCTCTTTTTTTCCAGTTTTTCTTCATAACCTTCTCCTAATATTTTTCGATTCACGAATTCTTCAAATTTTCGATTTAGATTTGTCGTTAAAAATCAAATCGGTGAATCTCGCTTAAAATTCTCTATACCCCCGCTCCATGTTTTAGATCTGCAGTTCCAATTTATACGGTAAATCGTCGGATTCAGATCTGTTGGTAGAAAAAACAAATTTCAAATCTACAAATTCATGTAGAAGAATGGGAAAAGCAATTCATCTTCGGAGAAAAGCAATAATAGAGTTATAACATGAGTTTTTCGAAGAAAAGCACGTAAAAAAAAAACACAGATTACTCAGAGGTAATACATATTAATTTCTTAAAGTTTTGTATTTTATTCTAGTTGATGATGGGTTTCGTAGATTTAAGCTCTGTAGATCCAATTTGTGTTTTTTTTTTTTTCTTTGTAAAGAATTCATTATTCATCAGTATCAATTAGATTATTTATGAATTTTATAGTATAAAAAATTCGTAATAATTCATGGGTATGACAGCTGTTATTCATGGATTCATCCGTTGTGCATAGTTATTCATCCGTTGTGCATGGTTATTCATCATATTGTTGTCTGTTGAAAATCTGGGTTTTATAATCATACGATTTAACATTATTGTTGTTCATCAATTTGGTTATTCATCCGTTGTGTATGGTTATTCATCAGGTTGTTGTTGGGTGGAAATGTGGGTTTATAATCCTGGGATTTAATGTTGTTACCGTTCATCAATTTCATTATTCATCCCTCCTGTATAATTATTCATCCGCTGTGTGTGGTTATTTATCAGGTTGTTGTTGGTTAAAAATCTGGATTTATAATTATGGGATTTAATGCTGTTGTTGTTCATCAATTTAGTTATTCACCCGTTGTGTATAGTTATTTATCCGTTATGTATCGTTATTCATCGCGTTGTTGTTGGTTAGAAATCTGGGTTTTATAATCATGAGTTTTAATGTTGTTGTTCATCAAATTATTTTTTCTGTCATAAAAATAACCATTATTCATCAGTATCAGTTAGTTCATTCATGTATTCATCCGTTGAGTATTAGTGAACTCATTTATCAATATCATTTATTGTATAGTTATTCATCAATATCATGGTGTTTTTTCATTTATTCATTCATTACCATTAATCAATATTTTTGTCAAAGTAGAGTTTTTATTAAATGTGGAATCTCACTTATTGTAATATTTTCTTTGTTTGATCAGAATCAGATAAATGTTCATCAAGATAAACTCGATTGGTTGGGATACAAATATTTAGCAGAGTTGCTGAAATCAAACAATCAACATAGACGTGTTGAATATCGGTGATTCCTTCGAGAAATTTGCTAGCTTAGGTAGACCTTAAGAATTTAAAGATAGAAAATAATGACTATTTTTCAATTATAGTATAATCTAAATGCATAACTAGAAGTTTTATTAGTTTTGTTGGTGACATTATTAACTCATTGTAAAACATATCTTTGTTATTTCTTTTCATTAAAGTGTTCATTCTGTTGTCTGTTATTCATCCACTAATCATATACTCCCTCCGTCCCATAATTATTGTCCACTTTGCTCAAAAAATTTTGTCTCAAAATTATTGTCCAATTTGACTTTTTTTTGGATCAAGTAACACATTTGTCCTTAGTAAAAAATTATCCATAAAATCTTAGTGGTTAAACAATTACTTATGTAGGGGTATATCCGGTTGTTTAAGGTAAAATATAGTTAAGTTTGACTAAAAATAAAATCTTTCATTTTAGTAAAACTGTACAATAATTATGGGATGGAGGGAATACTATTCATTCAGTAAAGTATAATTATTCATCTAGCAAATTTCAACTTTTACATACAACCATCTAAGTATCGTTAATTATTCAGAAAAGTTCTGAAATTCATTATTAAAAGAAAAATTAGTCATCCGAGACAATAGTGTTATTTTTCCATAAAAGTATATTTATTCATTTAGAACAACATTGTAATTCACGTGTAAGATTTGCAGCCTTATTCCTCTACATGAATCTCGTTATTTTATTAAAAAATTAATAAAAAATTCAAAACAAGTGTGTGCTGGAAAATAGTGCACGTATAACTAAAATTTTTCAGAAAAAATATAATAAAAAAAATTAAAACAAATATGTGCCAGAAAATAGGTGAAAATGTAACTGAAATTTTATGAAAGATAAAATCAACTTGCTTAGAATGAGAGTGTATTACACTTGCTCCATAGGAGCTCCTTACATCGTGTTCCTAAAAGCTCCTTATTATTTGCCCTACGCCTCACACTACTCAATTGCTACTTCAAGAGACATATTGACAATAAATTTTTTAATTCTAAATTTACTCCGTAATTTCAAGCTTAGCTATTTGGTAAGACACAAATTGATAATAAATTTAAATCTAAATCCACTAGTAGTTATAAGTTTAGCTAACGCCATATCTGTAGTAGGAGATATTATAGTTGCTCCATAGGAGATATTACACTTGCTCCATAGGAGCTCCTTACATCGTGTTCCTAAAAGCTCCTTATTATTTGCCCTACGCCTCACACTACTCAATTGCTACTTCAAAAGACAGATTGACAATAAATTTTTTAATTCTAAATTTACTCCGTAATTTCAAGCTTAGCTATTTGGTAAGACACAAATTGATAATAAATTTAAATCTAAATCCACTAGTAGTTATAAGTTTAGCTAGCGCCATATCTGTAGTAGGAGATATTATAGTTACTTGGTTTTGGTCTCCTCGGCGTGACAAAGGAAATTTTTTTTTAATTTTTTTTTTTGAAACGATGACAAAGGAATCAACCTTGAAGTAGTGTACTTTTTTTCTTTTAGAACACCGGCGAGCACAATGCTTTGTACCATAACAGTTTACTAAGCATTTCCTACCCTTGTAGTTTTGGTCCAATCCCTGAACTGCCAAACACATTATTCTTCTTATCAAGTTTAGTACCCGCTAATGAATCCAACAAGAGATTCAAGAGTTAAGAGTGTCCTTTGCTATCTGGAATGGTTGTTGTATTCGGACAGCTAAAGCAGTCAAACCCGGAATATATATTTGCTATAAAGGGCCAGAAATGTGTATTATTATATGATTTCTACTTTAAGTAGTATAAATATCAAAACTCAATAAAATATTTTTTGAGAAATAGAATTATATATATGATTTTAATACATGTGAATATTATTAACTATGTGTATTTTTTTATTATTAGAAAGAAATAGTGTTGGTAGTTGATGGACAAAGTATAGAATCATTATTTAAGTTTTTTTTTATTTTTTATTTTTAAGGATGATAAGTAAATTACCGGAACATTGATTAAAAGGGAGGAATTTATCCACCCACTAAAATACCGACAAAAAGATTATTCTTTCATGTTGGCATTGAGCTCAATGATACAGGAAAACGAAAAGCGGCAAATTTGATGTAATAAAATTGAACTAAGAACTGTAGAAAACATTCGTTCATAATCGGTTGTAATTGTTATACTTCACAAATATTTTTTTTGAAGGTCAATACTTCACAAATATTTGTTGTACTGTAATAATTTGAAAGAGCAAATATCTTCCAATAAATAAATGTGGAAAGAAAAAGAAAATGCAGACCATAATGTAGATTAACTTTCTTGGACGGCCCAATTTAAGAACATAAACTTGGACTGGGCCCGTCACTGGTCATTTTAGAATGGGCTCGTTTCGCAAACCCTAGCCATCTGTGCATCTGACATTTGTATCCCTTTGATATAAATTCCTCGAATCACACTTCCAAAACCCTATTTCTTGAGCAGCTGTTGCCGTTGAAACCTCTATCCGCCCCTTGCAGCCTCCCGACGGTAACAACTCTTCCTCTCCATCCGGCTCTGAGAACAAACTATTTACTTCATTTCTGCTTGCGGTTCTTTTTGGTTTTTGTAATCTATGCACCTTTTCTGCGAAACGGATGTTGATTTTCGCTCTCAATTTGATTTAAGGCAGGTTAGAAGCAAAAGAAAATCAAAATGGCGTACGCAGCGATGAAACCCACAAAGCCTGGTTTGGAGGAGCCGCAGGAGCAAATTCACAAGATCAGGATCACACTGTCTTCCAAAAATGTGAAGAATCTCGAGAAAGGTGCTCACTTTTTTTTTCATAATTTCACGATTTGTGTTAAGTATTTGCTTCTTCGAGGAGTTGGTATTTCGATCGGGGTATTGTTGCTGTTTTTTTTTTTTTTGGTTAGACCTAAAAGGTATGGGTAGTAATTATGCTGATTTTTGTTTTCCTTTCTCATATAGTGTGTGCTGATTTGGTCCGTGGTGCCAAGGACAAGAGACTCAGGGTTAAGGGTCCCGTGAGGATGCCCACCAAGGTTCTTCATATTACCACTAGGAAGTCTCCTTGTGGTGAAGGTGCGTTTTGCCCTAGCAGTTTTAAATTCTTTATCTTATGCAAAAGTTTAGGTGAATTGCAATGTATTGTGTGACTTGTAGAATGAAAGTGGATTATTTGACTGATCTGTGGTGTTTCGTATTTATATATGATCTTATGATCATTTTCTGTCAATGATTCTATTATCAATAGCGTTTATTATTGAACTGCTTTATCTTTGTGTTTTGTGCAATGGGAATGGTCTTTTAATAATTCTGGTAATTTTGCAATTGAGCATTCTGTTCGATGGTGATGTTTTCTTACCATTTGCAGTGGTAGTCCTGGTGCAATGTTTTTCCAGGTTAATCAGTTTTAGGTGGAATGAGTATTTAGGTTGTGTTATTTCATGGCTTCTGCCCTGGAAGTTACTTTCTCCTTGTGTTTTTATGCTGATGTTTTTTGTGTCCAATAGAATGTACTCGTCCCTTGTTGCCCTTGCCAATTTGATTATTGTTGAGCTCTGTGAAATGCTAAAGTGAATCTGAATCAATGAAATGTACTTGACCAGAGTGTGTTATTGTATCTTAACTTTATGATTCTTTCTTGCAGGAACCAACACCTGGGACAGGTTTGAGCTTCGTGTTCACAAGCGGGTGATTGACCTGTTCAGCTCACCTGAGGTAGTTAAGCAAATCACCTCCATCACCATTGAACCAGGTGTAGAAGTTGAAGTTACAATTGCGGATTCTTAAGAATGGTTCTTCTCCTTTTGTTATGGCTAGACTTTTAATATGAGGATTCTGTTGGCAATGAATTTTGTTTTGAGATTTTAAGTGGAGTTTCCTCTTATACGCTTAATGTATTGAATGTCTTCTGTTTAATGGTGGATTAGTACAAACAGAATTAGTATGATTTTATTTCTAGCGATGCAGTTTCTAAAGTGTACTTTGGAAGGTTTTCTTTTCCTTCTGGGCAACGGAACAATCTACTGCTTTCTGTGTTCCGCATGTATCCATATACATGTCTTTTCTGTTTGTTGGAATGCTTTTACTGTGGTCAGTGTGGATTGCACTCTATTATGCCCTGCTGGGTTAGCTCAAGTGCTTCATTTGCTAGCACTTGTAGAGGGCTCACCTTTTGCTTATTCCTTGCTAATGAGTTAGCTGGCATTTTCAGAGTTGATGTCTTATCTTTTAACAAATAGCTGAAGTTAGGCTGCACATTGTAGTAGACTTGGAAATGTAGTTCGAGTCCCCAGGTATTTTTGCAGACTTTTCTTCAGTTTGTGTTATGAATCATTTGGAATATTAAATGTTTCTATGTCTGCATCATCAAATAGCTCAATTTAGTCCTTGCAGTTTAACCCGCGAGGCTAACTTTAATCCGGAAGACTCAATGTAGAATCCTAATACTCATTCAGTAAATATTTCATTTGGATCGTTTTGCGAATATTTCAATGCCAGTTTCTTTTTTGATCTCCATATCTCAATAATTCCTCCTTCGTACCATCATCTTTATACAGAATTGACCCTTGAGTAAGTTTGAAAAAGTCCATTTCTTCTGATCTTTCGGGTCATAGTTGTCTGATATGCAGCTCCCCTGTTCATCTTATCATTTTACATAAAAGTTAGATTTCAATAAAGGTAAGGTAAGGGATTACTATCTGAACAAAAAAGTTGTATTCCTTTTCAACTGATTTTTCAAAGAAAATCATCATAGAAAAAAGTGTCACAAGTAAAAAATTATTAATATTAGATCCCCTTGGAATTGTTTGGCAATCAACCACGAGCAACAGTCTAGTCCCCACGAAGTTATGCCGTAAATCTGAAAAGTTTCAGGCATGCTGTAGAAAGTTACTGATGAAAAACAAAATGAAACAAGCCCTTGATATTTTGAAGGCAAATAACTTGAACTCACCATTTCAGATTTGATTTGATTGCCAAAAGAAACAAGAAGGAACCCCACCCCTCTCATTTTCCTTATCGCTTAGGAAAATACCATGCTGAAAACCATCCTTTTGTGTTGGAACCTTAGACCATCCCAAGGCACACACCAAATCACCAAATGGGTACAAAGTGCAAGCCCAAGGGGGAAACTATTCATGTCACGAACACTTGCATATGAACAGTATTGCACCAAATTGGTGCTTGAAATTTTCATTAGTTTTTTTTTTACTTTTATTTAATTTATACAATTTATAAAACAACCCCTTTAAATTAACTAATGTATAATTTATGGCTATTGTATATTAATATAAACTTATGAAATTTATAAATATAAATTTGATGAATTTTAATTGATCTCATGTGTATGACTTAATATTTAATTTATAAAATTACAAAAAAATGTGGGCAAGGAGTGGTCATCATGGGAATTAATGTATTAGATATCTGTTTTGAATATTTTTTTTTTTGTAGTTTGTCTTTTTAATTTATAATGTTATTACAAGTTTGTATGTTTTCTTTTGTATAAGAAAATATTATTTTAATTATTTGTTTGATGAAATATGCTTTGTCAAATTTAATTTATTATAATATTTTTTTTGGTGTCATGTCGATACAAATATTTTGGCTACATTCGAAATATGAACAAAAATGGGTTATCTTTTGTAATTTAATAAACTTAATAAAAAAAAAAGAAGGATAAAGGAAAATTGATGGTTTGGGTATGGAATTTGTGTTGATGATTGGACTTCAAAATATTGTACTCCTTCCATTCCAAAATAAGTGTCGTCCTACACTTTGCACATAGTTTAAGAAACTCTTAAATAGGGTAATAAAATTACTTGAATATCCTCAACCAACCCCATTACAAAATTGTCTACTAATAGCATCAACTCTTTTGAGGGTAATTTTGGAAACTTTTGACAAAAAGTGCATTGAAATGTGAGAACCACACTTATTTTGGAATTTTTCCATTTTGCTAAAACGAAATTTATTTTGGAATGGAGGGAGTATTATTCAAGAAATTGGTGCTGCTCTTGGGATGGTCAAAATGGTTGGATTTCCATCAAACCAGAGGGCACAAGACAAATATAGGGCGTACTACTCTTTAAAATTCTTTTGACAATTCCGATGCATATATAATAAATGATGGAGAATCCTTTCGGCCATTTAACCAATCAAACTAATGCCCCTTTTGATCTTTAATCATTAAAGATAATTTGCATTATTTGGGTAAGCATCAGTCATTTCTTCATTAATAACTTCTACCAAATGACTTTGCTTTTCCTGTGACCTACTTTCGGACAGATCATTCGATCTAGAACAAACTATTTAATTAGCACAGTCCGAATAATCAATAATCAGTAAACTAATTTAGTTTTAAAGTGGATATACTCATTGCTACTGGCCTGCGGAAATTCATAGAATCGGTACCATTTTGTGCAGAGTGTTTTCGATACTGTATATTTTCTCTCACGAAAAGGGAAAACAATTGCAGACTGCTAATAACATTAACACTTTGATTAACGCTTCGCACAATCTTATTATAATTTCTGCTTTGGTGCAAAAATCAAGTCGAATTTTCGGAGAACAGAAGCAGAAACCAATTTAACAGATTAATATCTTTCTTTGTAATTTTTGAATGAAAAAATATGGTTGATTGATGTCTCATATTGCTCGCATCCTGTGCAGAATCTGTGAGGATCGGAATTCTTAAATTTTTTATTTTTTTTGTAATTTTATATGGATGGTTGATCAATTAAACCAAATGCCTCCAGGATAAAGTTTTTCTTTTGAAATGAAAAGAAGTCCCATGATTATTGTCAAAATTGACTTAAAATGCAGAGAAACTGCATTATGATCTTTCCTAACACGATAGTTTTCTTCTTCTTTTTTTTTTCATTTGAAGTAGTTTGCAGCATTTAAAAAACTGATACTTACTCCGTCTCATAATTATTGTCCAGTTTGAATTTTTATTTCTAATTCAAATTGTACTAAAAGTGAAATCTCAAACTAGATAATAATTATGAGACAGAAGGAAAGGAGTAGTACTTTGGAATAATAGAAGAGCCCGATCTCACACTTCTAGCATCCCGCTGCTTTAACCGTCCAAATTTCATTACTTTAAACAAAACACATATAAACTTTGTATGAAATGAATTCTGCAAATCAGCAAATGTATTCGAGACTATCAAACTTCAATACAACAATGCCTTCTCCCCCATACTAGATTAGTGAGTAAATTATGGTTCTCTATTTTGGAGCAATATTATATATATAATATCAAATCTTTGATCAGAGGTGGGAGTTTGAATCGAGCTGGGCATGAAAGCTTGTATCGTCTTTGATGAGAATTGAATCCGAATCATCCCAAATTCCCAATCAATGTCAAAATTATTACCAGTTGAGGTCACATTTGAATGGTTATTAAAACTTAAAAGGACGTACAAAATATAATTAACCAGGGGGCCACACCCGATATTGAGGTCACAGTTACAGGCTGCTGAACCCTTCAAAGTAATCCATATGTAGACCCAAACTTCCTAGTCAGAAGAGGGTCCACAATGACCAGCTGGCAGCTGGCAATTGATCAGGAGGCAGGGGGTCTACAGTCGATCAACCGGCGGAGCGTGCTCTACACTCAGCCACCATGAACGTCTGAATGTTCAGAGGAATCATCAACAATGTTCCCGCACCCCCTGTCTGTCGATATACCTGAACACAGGGTATATATCAGCGCGTGAAAATGGGCGATTAAGAGACAGTTCTTACTTCTAAGCGCACGCTTGAATTTGATCCCCTTCTTCACAGAGGGAAAAAAACAAAATAAGCTTCTGGCCCATCGGGCCTGAGCTGTGCCACAGTGATTGACTGTGAGCGACCACAAAACAGGCCGAAAAGGGAATTTTGTTCCAGCAGGGAGAGAAAAAGGTAGGGCCCGATTTATGACCCATTTAGATTGTCTTTTTTCCTTGCTGAGTGGACGTATGTTGTCCCTACAGAGGCCCAAAGATCGCTCTCCTGCTAAGCTGGGGGGATGATAACTCAAACTATTCTCTTTCAATCCTACTGGCTCCTGTTCATTCCGGTATAATTTAAGGGTCCGCGACATTCACTCCGCGATTAACATCCTTCCCTTCTTCTTCTTCCTTCTTGCCAATTGACTTCCCTCTTTGTCCTTTTTCTTGATGGAGATCTCAAACATCCTTAGATGAAGCTTAATACGTGTGTTTTATTTTAATACGTTGTTGAAAGTCTATTTATAAAGTTCCTTAGTGTGCAATTTTTTTTTTTTTATCCAAAGTGAAACAGGTGAATTAAATGATCATCTGTATGTGTACTTTCATTTTTCTATTTATAACCAATCTCAAAAATTAAAAAACTCGTACAAATGTTTTGAAAAGGAAAAAAAAATGCTACTGGTATAAAACTTTAGGCTTAAAGATATTGTTGATCAATATCTAATATCCACAGAATCATAAAAATGAGTACAATCAAAATTGGAGTGCCAGGAGTTTACTTTTTGGCGGGGATTGCGATGCAATAAATCATGGGAAGCATTATGAATTCACTGGCGTTCTTTTCCTTTATTTCTTTCTTTTTGTGTGTAAGTTTGGTTTGGTATACTGTTTGGCCGTAACAACAAGATTAGACTGATCAAATAAACTGACAATATCATAGTTACAACTACAATAGTTTTTTGGTCCGATAATGCGATCACTTGCTGGAGTTATTATCAGTAATTCCTCTCGGAGTGGAGTGTAGCTAAAACAGTGATGCAATCAATCAACGAAAAGATTTCCAAAAAAATCAGTCAATGAAAGATAAAAGGTGAAAATAACACATTATTAGAGGGTAGGAAATGACATTAGGTCTTCAAGCACAGTGAAATTTGATAGTAGTACCCTATTCGAAGGATTCTGTCTCCCTAGTGAACTCTTAACCTAAACTTTAATTATTTATTTATTTATTTATTTATTGTGAATTGTATGCTTATCCGTGTGAATTGTTGTTGTCACTTGGACAGTTGGAACACAACACACAATAGAGTTAGCAACTTTGCATCCAATAGCGAAGTTAAATATACTAGCTCAACTCCTTGGTATCCCAGAACAAGCTACATTAAAGTTACAATTCTGTTCCATTCATAAAGCTCAATAAATAAATCAAAACAATGGAAAGGTAATACGTACAGCTCAATCAATCAAGTGCATGCCAAAACACAACTATATGAACTAGCATTATTCCGCACGTTGCGCGGCATCTCAATTTTTAATAAATTTTAATGATGTGAGTAATTTTTGTCCTTAACTTTAAAGAATATACACTTCTTTTTTTAAAAAAAAATCTTTTTTCAATTATAATGGATCTTTTCTTGTTAATCGTCTGACCACAAGAGGTTTCAATTATACACTCTAATGGATCTTTTCTTGTTAATCGTCTGACCCAACAAAAAAAAATCAAAAATCAAGAATCAAGAAAAGCAAATTGACACAATTGATTGAGGTGGAAATCTTGCTTAGTCGAGAAGGAGATTGAGATGTAATTAGAGTTTTGCAATAACCCTTTCTTCAATTTCTGCCAAGCCTCTTCCCGTACCAAAATAAAATGAAACCTGAAATTAGATTTCTATTTGAAAGTGGTGTAATAATGCAAGCACCAAGTACCCTCCGACCCAAATTCCGTTTTTGTTTTTTAATCATTCGGAAACAAAAATAAATAAATAAATAAAGAACTTACTCAAGAAAGAGGTTTAACCAAGGAGGTGTGCCCAATTCTAAACATTGGAGCAAGAGGAGATCGCGGTCACACACTGAGCAATGAACAAATAAAATGCATTACACTTCTAAAGACCAAAAGGGGGGGAGAAAAAATACAAACAAACAAAGGAGTTAAGCTCTACAAAGTTTTTTTTTTTTTTTAAAAAAAAAGGATGAGAATAATTTCTCCCCGCAAACGTCTCAAACAAACCAAGGGTAACATTCCATAATGAAAATCTCTTTTCTGGCTTTCCCATTTTCTTGCCAAAATCAGCCCATTTAATATTGTTTCTCTATTAAGAAATCGATTTCGGATGCATTCACAATTTCTCAACATCATCAGCAATAAAATATCTCTACATAAAAAGGACGGATATGGACTACGTCAAATATAAATATTATATGTATATATTGCAAAACAATTCAAAAGTTTAAATATAATAACCAATAATGGGAAATCAACAAAAGTGCTAAAAGAGTCTATTTAAAGCCATCTGAAGTCTCTACCTTTAGCGGCAATAATAGTAAGGGCGACTCTTTATTAACGACGACTGAGTCGTCGTCAATTTTATTTAATGTAGCAATGAATCTAGTTGTGGAAATGTAATGCATAAACTGACCGGAAAAAATTGTACCCAAAAAAAAAAATTAAAATACAAAAAAAGGTAAATATGTGGATTGAATAAAAATTAACCGATGAAGTTTTCCATTGAATAAGAATAAGAAGGTAGAGAAAGGAGAGACCGATGGTGTGAGGAGTTGTTTTGTTTTTAGGAAAGTCAAAAGGAATAAGGGTTAAATAAACTTGTTAGGGAATAATTGAGATCATAATTCATTAATAATTGACGGATTCCAATTTCAAAGAATGAGTGATTTTGGTGACTCAATATATAAAGGGAGAGTCAGTGAAATTAATATGAAAAAAGAAGAAAAGAATCACTACATGTTTAGAATATTATTTTCAACAATAAATCACATTTGATATTGCTATAAGATACACTTATTTTATACTTATCTTTGTCATATTTTATTATTGTTTTAAAATTCAAATGTGTTTTAATTATCTTTTGAAACAAAAAAAAAAAAATCATTCATGAAGATAAAGACCACTCTATTTTTTATCCTACATATATAACAAAAAATAAAAATAAAATCCTTTTTGGATTTCGTTCGCACCTTCTTTCTCCATGGCTCCGTGCGTTTTTTCTTCATGCCAAACAACACACCGCACCGCGCCTTTTGTTGCCGGTCACCATCCCAATACCTTCTCCCCACCATCAGAGCTTTGCCATGGCAACGCTTCAAGAAGAAACATAAGCTTAATTGATTGGGTTATATGAAGACACCAACCTCTGCGCTATTCACGCTAAAAGAGTCACCATTATGCTCTTCTCATTCATTACAGCCGCTGGCATGGGATCTTCGAATTACAGTCGATGGAATTTAACCGGAAATGATTCGGTGGTAAAGTAAAATTTGTAAGCGGCATGTCCGGAAATCTTTGTGGCCGGAGAATTTTTCCCGGTCAAATTGATGATTCAGATGTCGTCGATGTCAAAAGTCTAATTTGAAAGAGTCATTTTTTTTTTGAAAAATACCATTTGACTTTATTTAAATTAATTATATTACTCGATAAAATACTCTGTAAAAGAAATCCGCAAATTAGAAGATGACATGTGGATATATAAATTTCTCTACAAATAAAAAGATAATACGTGTATTTAGAAATTATTGATGATATAATTGACTGACACGTGTCTATTGAAAAAAATTCACTAAATATACAGTAAGATAAGCATTCACGATGAAGATTAGTACATATATGACTCGACCCGAATATAGATCAGTGTGGTTAGTTGATTGGACGTTGTAGTGTAAAAGATACAATAACCAATTTGCAATGTTTCAATTTAGCATAGTCTACTGTGGACTCCATGTATGATATTTGTTTTGGGGGGTGTGGTAAAAATTTGCAGAGTGGACAGAGGACTGGGACAATGGAAGAAAAACATTGAATTCCAGATGGGTCAGTTTGGTTTAATTGCTCGAACTTCAAAGTTCAAACTAAAATGCTGTGCCTTCTTCCAAAGCCAAAAATAAAGGACATATAGCATCGGTCCCACTAATATAAAAAAAAATCAAAAGACGTGCTTTCTCTCTCTCCTACTATGAACTTCCCAAAATTACCCCCTACTCTTTTTTTTTTCCCGCGCTTCAAGTTAGAATGGAAACAAACAAATATCCCAATCTAATTAGAAAGTTGATGATCATGATGATCAGACGGTGTAGTAAGCTGCAATGGAGGACGAGGTCGACGACGATCCTGCCATCATGATCATCATCATCCTGCCCCCTCCTTGGTTGCCCCACCTCCTACCCCACCAGTGGCCCCACAATTTTAAAATCCATCTGTCCTCCATTACCATTTTCTCTCTTTCTTTCTCTTCGATGCTAATATTACGTACCCACTCCCCATCCCCGTTTAAAGTTACAAATTTAAAGAAAAATTTTTTAAGGGAAAAAAAAAGGAGCACCATTCAAAGTTCAAACATATTAGTACTTTCTTCACTCCTCACTCTCTACTTCTACAACTTCTACACTCAACAAACAAGCGCTGCTCCACTCTACAGCTACATAGTAGTACTTCTTGTGACTTTTTCTGTGTCCTATATATATATATACACACACATAGAGTCTTCAATCTCAGATTCTCATTTTATTTTACCCACATTTCCATTCATCCACCGTTTCCAACGACCATGCCATCACCACCGCTTACGGTGTTCCTTACAGTTATTTTCTTATCCCTTCTTGCCGGAGCGGTGCCGGCTGTTCAGTGTTGGCGGCCGTGGCCCAATCAGAAACCCAACTCCACCGATCTTATCTTTGGTGGGTCCAAGAAATATGAGGGCTCCTCTGAGTTTGTTAATTTAAGGTACCATATGGGTCCGGTGCTCACTGCTAATATCACCGTGTATCCTATTTGGTACGGGGTTTGGCAAAATTCCCAGAAGCGGATCATCCGGGAGTTTATCAACTCCATCTCCGCCGTTGATTCCAAGCCGCCTTCCGTTTCCGGGTGGTGGAAAACCGTCCAGCAGTATACTGACCAGACCGGTGCTAATATCTCCCGCCACGTCATCCTGGGGGAGGAGAAAAACGACCGGTTCTATTCCCACGGCAAATCCCTGACCCGGTTGTCGATTCAGTCGGTTATCAAAAGCTCCGTCACGGCCCGAACCAAGCCGTTGCCGATTAACCCCAAGAGTGGGGTTTATCTTTTGCTCACATCCCAAGACGTGTACGTCCAGGATTTCTGCAACAACGTCTGTGGGTTCCATTATTTCACATTCCCTTCGATTGTGGGATACACGCTGCCGTACGCGTGGGTGGGGAATTCCGCCAAGCTCTGCCCCGGGGTTTGTGCTTACCCCTTCGCCGTTCCGGCGTATATCCCCGGGTTGAAACCGGTGCAGCCGCCGAACGGCGACATCGGGGTGGACGGGATGATAAGCGTGATCGGACACGAGATTGCTGAGCTGTCGACCAACCCGCTGGTGAACGCGTGGTATGCGGGTCAGGACCCGGTGTTCCCGGTGGAGATTGCGGATCTGTGCGAAGGGATATATGGGACAGGCGGAGGCGGGTCGTACACCGGGCAGATGTTGAACGGGGCAGATGGGGCAACGTACAACATGAATGGGATCCGACGCAGATTTTTGCTGCAATGGGTTTGGAACAATCAATTGAATTATTGCACTGGCCCAAATGCCCTTGATCACTAGTAAATTGTTCATTTACTGCTTACTGTTATTGTGGAGAAAGGGGAAAGGGATGGGATATGGTTGCCTTATTTTGCTCTGTTGGTTGATATATGATTCTCATTTTCCTGCTTTGTTTTTTTTTTTTTTTTTTTTGCATTGAGTTTGTTAAAATATTAGCAGTTCATATATATAGCAATGTTATAGAATTAGTTAAAAATTTCCCCTACTTTTGGAATATTTACGTATTAGTTATATTATTACTATGATTACTACTAGTAATTCTGTATATACTACTACTATGGGATAGGGTAGATAAAGAGTTACTCTTGTATTTTGGACTTTCTATGGAAATAATCAGCATTGTCCTGAGCAAATTGTTTTTGGCCAGATTTTTGGTCCAGCATTTTGCCTGCCGGAATGAGTCAAAATTTCCCCAGGCCAATAGAAATGGAAACGCAAGAACAAGAACTAGTACGTTAATTAATAATGGTGTGCCCGCCCTTTCTTTTGTGCATGGGGAGGTTGACGTTTGCCACATCATAGTTTGAAAATTGAGCCTTGTTGCCAATAAAGTAAACGTTAATCATTAGACTCACGTTGCTGTAATTTTTTTTAAAGTAACCTTGGGAATTCTATCAGGAACGCCCCCCCGTTATAGCCAGAAATGTATAGTAGTAAAATTTTGCGGGAGGCTTTTATAGTTTTATGCTTCTAAATTCTAACCATGTAATTTCAGTGCGAAAAAATAATGAGGCGTGCAGTCTGAGAATGGTGAATTCTCACCTGGTGGGATTAGCTGTAATTCTGTACTGACGTCTATCGGGCATCGGGGCATCAAATATCACTCTTAAAACCCTTCTGGCCGAAATGAATACTTTGAATGCATTAAAGTTTCTAGTCCAGAAGTTGGCCGGTGCCCTGTGTCGAATGAGATGTGGTTATTTTTGGTTTTTGTCAAATTGCAGTAATTATGGCTGGCAAATACACCACCGCTACTACTAGTAATAGTATGTAAATAATCAAGTTTTGAAACCATCATTTTTTGGGTAGAGAAAATTTATACAACAAAGAGAATAATAACTTCTAAATGGAGATCGTGCCTCGTATTTTTTTTGTAAGGGGAAACAAATATGTATTTTGGATTTTTTTTAATCTAAAACCAAATATTATTACCACCAGGCATCGTTGGATTTGTTATCTGCATTTTTAGGGCATCATTCCAAATTACCTTCACGAAGAACTAACCACCAAACAAATTGCCATTGTTATTTCCTTTTCAAGCATTTCTTTGGTTTGTAGTCTCACAAAAAGAGAAAGTCTGTTTGTTGTGGTGTTCATTTTTTCTATAAGTATAATTTAATTAATCGTTCATTCTAAGCTCACCACATAGAAACAGATAGTTTTGCTTCTTAAAAGAGATTTGTGTGTCTCAAATTCATATTAGTCGAAGTAATAATATTATACACACAACAATAATCTCTGTCCACACTGTTTTATTCCAGTAACCCATGATCGAGGAGTTACAGCAAAAAGAAAAAGAAGAATGTTAAAAAATCTTTTAATTGATTTTCCCAGCTCCTTTTTCGAAAGTGGCACACTGAAATATGTACTCGATGTTGAACTTTGTCTGAAATTTCCAATTATTTATGTTGTAGTGTAAAGGCCAAACAATTCATCATTTACTTCTATGCTCTTTTTTTTCTCTTTTTACCCCAACGATAGACCCTTTTGATTCGGCATTGGTGTTAAAAGTTAAAACAATGATGGAACCTTTCATTTCTTTGATGAAAAACTAGATATTGGTCTTAGCAAAAGGTAAATTTCAATGCAATTTTTATCGAAGCAAAGTGATTCCAAATGAGACAAATTATTAGATATTTTTAATCATTAGTCTGGTAATGTGTTATGATTCAACACTAATTAATACTAGAACAAAAATGCTACTCCCTTCCGAAGGGGAGAGTTTTCTGCGACCCTTTTTTTTTTTTTTTTTGAAAATGGTATGTGTTGGAGTCAACTCTGACCCATTTTGACCGGCCCAACTGGCCATCCGACTTAGACTCATCTTATAAGCCTAAGAAATCCATTTATTCATTCCTATGGACCCAGCCGAGTTACAAGGAATTAACACATGTCTATTTACGCTTTTGTCCCTCTCGACACAGGGCCCACAGTTATTGTCCCATTGGGACCTATAAATACTCATTGTTCATTTATTGCTAATTCAATTCTACACTCCTGTTTCTCTCTCTAAGTGTGATAATTGCCTGCTTCTCTCCCTAAAATTGACTTGATCTTCGGAGTGCTAACCTCCGTTTTGCAGGTTCTCGTCTAGGTCGGACCGTTGACTCTCCGCCCCCGCGTTTTACAGGGGCAAACGTTGTCAAATTCTTCTGGAAGAACATTGTCTGCCGGTTCGGGATCACGAAAGTCCTTATCTCGGACAACGGGACTCAGTTTGAATCAAGAATTTTTAAATCCTGGTATGAGCAGCTCGGGATCGAACAACGGTTTTTGTCCGTGGCCCATCCTCAGGCCAACGGGTTGGCTAAAAATATAAACAAGGCTATCTTACAGGGCATGAAGACACGACTTAAGAGAGCCGAGGGGCTATGGCCTGAGGAGTTGGCCCACGTCCTCTGGGCCATCCGCACCACTATGAGGACAGCCAAGGGGACAACCCCCTTTAGCCTCGTTTATGGCATGGAAGCCGTTCTCCCAGCTGAAATAGAGGTGCCCAGTCCCCGGGTGGTCAACTTTGCGGAGGAAATGAACGAAGATGAAATCCGCCTCTGCCTTGATTTCCTGGACGAAAGGCGAGACCTGGCCAATGCCCGCGAAGCCAAATACAAGCAGCTCAGCGTCGTTCTCATATATCAGGCGTTCGGTTTCGCGAGTTGGAGAAGTAGGGTCGTCTCGCATGGCCGGACAGGGCTCGGGCCACAACGCCTCAAAATCATATTCCTTCCCCGTCTCTACAATGAAGGATATTGCGCTTTCCAAAGCTGACCAGCATACGCCCGAAGAGCCTCAATTTTGTCAGAGGATTGATCCCACTTCACAGCAACCAAGGCATAAGCCTTCCAAAGATGTACCAAGACACTCTCAAAATAGTTGCGGGGAATAAAATCCTCCGGGTCTGGTTCGGCCAAGCCCTCATCCTTCTTTTTCTTTCGTATCTTGGCTTCGAATGTCCGGAGGCGATTGTTAGCCAATATCTCTAACTGTATAGAGTTCTTCAGGTGATCCTCTCCGTAGGCCTCCGTGTCCCTCCATAACTTATCCAGCTGGTCGTTTTCGGCCTTCGCCTCTATGACGGCGCTGCGTGTCTCGTGCAGAGGCCCTGAAAGTTTCCAAGGCTTCCTCCAGCTGGCCCTCGAGACCCAACAGCCGTTCTCGGCTCCTGTCAACGGCCGGATCTACCAAAGCGCCACCGATGACCGCATACAATGGAAAGGTCGTCGGGTCGTAGTGATGGTCAGGTAACTGTAGGTCAATCCAGGGAATCCCGGACGTTTCCCAATGACCCGGAGTTGTGGGCACGCCTCGAGAGGTTTCCTCGGGCTGATGGGGGCAGTCCGAAGCCGCGTCCTTCCCCTGAAAGGAAACGCGTGCCAATTGGAAGATTAGGAGGCGCGGACTAGAAAGTAGCAAAATAAGATTGAGCCGACGAACAAATACTTGATAAACGAACATAATTATGATTGATAAATAAACGAACAAGTTTGAAACAAGGAAACTAGGGAATAACGAATCGGCTGTGAATAAATTAGAAATTCATTAATACTCGGTTAAAATTCATAAATACAACAGGGGGAAAGCCCCGAAGACAGGTGATCACTAGGAGGAGTCCTAACCCTACGCATCGTTCACCTTATCTCCGCTATTGGTGTTGGATTCTGTTGAGGTGCCCTCTCCTCCGCGACTTCTAGAGTTGTGCCCTTGGGGGGGAGGTGCATGTACAACTATCTCCGGCTCCTTATCGGGCCCCGGCGGCTTGCTCGGAGGCGTCTGCATCTCCCTCGGCATCTGGAAGACGAACGATGGGCTGCCCGGGATATTTAGAATGTCTTCGTGCTTTAAAACGGAGGGGCAAGTCTCGGCGATCTGTTACATGATGGGGAGATGCGCGAAGTCCATATCCCGAAAGTGCTTCCGGGCCTTGCACCGCAGCCTTACCGCGGACGTCTTCCCCTTCATCTCCCTATCGGCATATTTGTTGAGGATGGGTTAGATGTCCTCGTTCTTCCTCCGGGCCGCCTCGATCTCCATAACGACCTTCCTCGCCCCCCTTTCCATGGCGGAGTCCATGACGTCGTTTATCCCGAGGGCGAACTCGGACGACCCCAAGTACCTCTGGACTCCCGCGAGAATGTACGCGTCCAGACGAGATTTGGGGACGCTTGTTGCCAGCAGACTCTCCATTTGAAGACTATGGGTCAGTTCCATGCCTTCGAGCTGCCCCTTCATCCTCGTGACCTCCTCCTCCAGTCGCCCCTCTCTTCTTCCAAGGCCTGGAGCCGTGTCTCCGTCTCTCGGGCTTTGTTGGCCTCACTGACGGCCTTCCTCCTGGCCGAAGCCAGCTGTCCTTCTAAGTCCGCGCACACGGACACGAAGGAGTTCACTGCCAGCACAGCCTGCATGACGGATACCCTTGGTCATTAAGGGAACCCTCCCAGTACGAAGAGTAACTACTTAGGCAAAAAAAATTTTTACCTGTCTCATGCCGTCCTCCAGCCGCGGTGCTTCGGTGGTGGGCAAGTCCGCACATTCGACCCGTGGAGGGTCGAACGTCAGTAGGGCATGACCCTCGGGTACGCCCTCGAATTGGCCTGCCCCCCGTCCTTGATCCTCGTATCCCTCCTTCAGAAGTTCGTCAATGAAGGATAATTCGTGGATCGCGGGTAAGCTGAAGGACAGAGGGTCGACCTCCACCACCTCAGGATCCCCACGCTTCCTTTTTTGATGACCTGAGGTTTGGCCCGAGGGGTTCCTCTTCCTCGAACTTTCTGTGCGTACCCTCGTCATCTGACTGGAGGGTGCTTGTCCCATATCCGGTTAGGGAGTTCCTTGCGGCCTCTCCTCAGGATACTGCTCCTCCTCGTCTGAATCATCAAAAGCCGAGTGTTTACCCATCAGCTTAGCAAATATACCTATCAACAGAAAAATAACCAAAGTTAGTCTTCGGGTAAAATACCTTGATTACGAGAGCTGATCGTATCGCTTACGACGCGAATTGCCTATAGGTATAGGTTTTCTTCCACCCGACCAATTTCTCTAAGTTCCCCCTCCGGGCTTCCATGTCTTTCTTATCCTTCTTGGTCCACGGATCTAAGCTGATCGTTCCTCCCTCATCCGGCGTCCATGGAAAGAGGGAGATGAAGTCCGCGTCCACGAAAAAAAAGCCCGACCTCCAATGCTTGGAACTCTCGTTCTTCGCTACTAATGCTTTGGACGGCTCGTGTGGATTTTTGGTGAAACTGAACCACCCGGAGAAACTCTTCCCGCATCAGACGAGTTTGTAAAAACATCTAAATAAAAAAATGCCTGGCTCTACCCCCGTCTTGTTACATACGTGTACGATGGCTAACACTATGGTTATAAGGTTCGGGGTGTATTGAGCTAAGGGTCGGCCGTAGGCTTTCACTATCATCCTGAACATGGGCATCAGAGGAAAGTGCAACCCGTATTCCAAAAAGTTCTCATAAATCGTGATTTTTTCCGGAGGAGGAGTGCTGGCTCTTTCATGACCTTCCGGTAAGACGGGGTTGATAGCCGTAAGGCTATAGTGATTTTCTAAATCACTTAACCTATCTGGGTTTAGCGAACACTCAACGTCCTCTACCCTAACTACCTCTTTGGCCATGTTGGAAACCGAACGTACAAAAGAAGAGGGGGGCTTACTCGTTAAGGGTCGACTAGAAGCTGCTACGGTCAGCCGCCGGCTGTAATTCCGATTTTCGAACGGTAGTATGCTCTGAGTTGCGAAAGAGGGAATAGAAGAGAAGAAGTCGGAGTCAGCTTGTTGGAAACTTGAAAGCAAAAGAGAGAAGAAAAAATGAAGTCCGGTGTCCTGTGGGGGAGTTATACACTCCAGGGGAGAGGAACAGTCCCCTCGATTTTCCATCCGGCGCCATCATTATGGCACAGCCTCTCATGAAATCCTGCCCGTCCATCGCATTTGAGCGGGAAGAAACCGGAGCCGTTGGATCTAGGGCAGTTGTAAGGTAGAAGATTCCAGAAGTTGGGCCGGTTTGCTGGGCCAGCAACTCCTTTGTGTCAAGCCCAATCTAGCTTTACTGCAATGGGCTTGACAGGGGCGTTTGTTGGGGGTCAACTCTGACCCATTTTGACCGGCCCAACTGGACATCCGACTTGGGCTCATCTTGTAAGCCCAAGAAATCCATTTATTCATTCCTATGGGCCCAGCCGGGGTTACAAGGAATTAACACATCTATTTACGCTTTTACCCCTCTCGACACAGGGGCCCACAGGTATTGTCCCATTGGGACCTATGAATACTCCTTGTTCATTTATTGCTAATTTAATTCCACATTCCCGTTTCTCTCTCTAAATGTGATAATTGCTTGCTTCTCTCCCTAGAACTGACTTGATTTTCGGAGTGCTAACCTCCGTTTTGCAGGTTCCCGTCTAGGTCGAACCGTTGACTCTCCACCCCTGAGATTTACCCTTGATAATATGTATGGTGAAAAAGAAATTGTGATGTCTTTTGGTTTGAAGAGCCAATTTAAAGCCTTGGTTACATCATGATGTGGTTGGTATTTTATATTAATGGATTGTAATAATTGAATTTCGCTAAATTATGCCTTTTCATTGTAAAAAAAAAAAAAGAAATTGTTTGAAAGAAAATAGTGACTGATTTTGAATATTATGATTCCTTAATTTATTGGTATTTTCACGTTAAAATTTTATTTTTATTGGCACCTTTTTCCCACTGTCTTTATTCTCTATCATTGCTCTTTTTTGTTTTTTGTTTTTTTTTTTAGTTTAATGTGTTTTTATGTTATTTTTTAGTAAGCAAATGCTATTTATTAACTAGTTACGTTAAGGTATAGATCAAAATCCCACAACCCGCGGCTTATCTTAATATCATCACCTTGGTAGCTTTTTATTGGCCGAAACTTGGGTTGGGAGAAGCACTTTTGAGGAGAAGCATATGGACAGAATAATTTAAACAAAATGGACACCGTAGTTTTGCATTTTCAGCAACAGGAAAAAATATAAAATGAAGTGAAAAAAAAAAAACATAGTTTTACGCCGAAAGGTGATTGGAAAAAAAAAAGAAAGCCAAGAAACAAGTGAGTAGAAAACCAAGGCGTGGTACTACGATTACACAGCACTTTTGTCAATTTTGGGCACCAAACCAAATGTGCGCACAGAAAGGAAGAATGATTGTTTTTTGGCCCCCCATTAAGCCATCATTATCAACAAACGAATCCCTGCTCCATTGTTTAAGCGTCAGCAACAAATACAACCAAAAAAAAAAAAACGTATTAATACAAAAGACTGATTACTAGTAAGTATATAGTTTAGATCTTTAGTCACACTAATCATGAGTACTTTACTAAAAGAGTAAAAAGAGTCAACAGCAGCGAAGCTAAAATAATATTGTCCCCGCCTCAAGCAGCTGTTTGACCTCAAATCAACACAATTAACATTATTTAGGATTTGGACGGCCCTCAATCACTTGTCCTATTGTACACGCACTCTGTTTTTTCTCCTGTCCTTTTTTTCTTCTTTTTCAAGTTGATTTATTATCACAATCTAAATGTCAAAAAGTTATGAAAATTGTAATTACCTCCTTAATCAGGTAGATGAAAAGGAGGATTAACAGGTTTTGCTGTACATAAGGTATCGACCTGTTCTCGATCCTACTACCTACTCTTTGTTGTTAAGCCGCACTTCCGATACAAGTTTGTTTATTATGGCTAAACTCGTCTTATGCTTAGTAAATTTTCAATGTTATGATAATTAACCCTTTGTGATTTCCTCCGTAAAGGGGGAAAAAAGAGGAGTTCGGAACCAGAAAGGAAGGCAGAAACACTGAATACTATTGCACTGTTTCACTCGCACCATAAATTACCAAATTCCTGATCTCATGTACAAACGTTAAATTCAATAGGCTACTAGCCTCCCACAGGCCTCAGTAGCAGTCCTATAATGTTGTTCAGACTAGTTATGAGGACATTAATATATCATGGTTTTTTAGGGAGAACCAGTTGACAAATTTAGCCTAGCCTAGTGGATAAAGAGAGCTACTTTGCCTTTCCCATGAAGTGGTGACAAGAACTCAGCAAAACGTTGCTCAAGTCCACGTTATGGTTCAAAATTTTCAAACTACAGTACACAGTACCAGTAGACTCTACAACGGGACCAATAGGCAATGGGCATAAATTATAGTGGTCCCAAAATGGGATGCACTTCTTCACAATCAGAGCACCGGATAATGCACCATTACGGCCAAGATCAGGAGGAAGCTGTTTAAGTACCTCAAATGGCAACTTAGAAATGTTGACATTTTTTTCCCGAACAGGAGGAAGCTGTATTTACACGAACTAATTTGGCAGATGATAATTAACTATTGGTGGATACAAGTTTCAGACTTTCAGCCGCAAAACTGTTGGGTTCTAATTGATTCCCCAACCATGTTTGTTAAGCACGTTGAATTCATGAAGTTCCTTTCTGAGCTGACAAAGTTGCTCAACTCAGAATCTACCTACCCTTCCTACCACTGTTTTCAGAAAAGTTCATATGTAAGTTACTCAATAAGTTGGAAGCAATGTCATCTACAGGAAATGGAGTAGGCCTCTGCGACTCGGTGCAATTTCCGTATTAAAATGCTACCATATGCATATTGGAATCTTAACTCTACAACGAAGAAGTTAATATTGGTTTAGGACCATGCATAAATTTCGGTCATGAACGTGTGAGTGGTCCTTAATTAGACTAGGTAAATTTAAACGTAAACTAGGCTTTTACATCATACCCACAGTTAATGGCAGAACTAACATTTTGGCTCAGCAAGTTAATGCAAAAAAAAAAATGGAAACCTCCATACCAAAAGCGGAAAGATCTTACCGATAGGTGAGAGTAGTCACATGAAAGAAGACACTTTCTAAGCAAAACCTCAACATTGTATAAGATGATCCTCATAAAAGCTGTATTTCAATTTTGGTAAGCAGACAAAACTGTTATCACTGTCAGCCCAGGGATGATATGTGCGGCTCACTACCTTTTAGAGCATTTTCTCCATAATTAGTTGATGTGCAAGGGGTTCACAAATCCGGGACCTCCTCCAATTGCAAAGGTTGCAATCATTTCTACTATGTGCAGGTTTTATAATAATGTAACTCATAGATAACAGGAAGCTGCACACTAGAGAGTCATGGCCGATTGATTGAAAAGACGAGCAAGCCATCCAGGACTAGTTTACTGTAAAATTTACCTTCCTCCTGCTGACATGTTGAAGTTATAAATCTCTCCAAAGAATTTTGGTGTGTGCTTTTAGTTAGATCATGCAGTAGGTGATTCTAAAAGTTAGCACGGAGGCCTTCAAATTCTGGTACAAATGTGGACGCATCAAATCACCTTTTCATAGTGAGGCTAACATAAGGGATGAGTTTCTTTGATAGAGCACACATGGCTTCCGATAATTTGATATTAGATTGCTACTTTGTGCATATGGAAACACGGAGAATTTAAAAATGATTATTAATAAGCAAATTGTTTCCGGAAACTCCTGTAACAGAGGAATCAGCACTAAAAGAATCCAGAAAGTCTAGCATAGTTTTAAAGGCCTAATTTTGAGCAACTATCATTCTTTATTTGATCCCAGAGTTAGTGGTACCAAGAAGGAAGAATGTTAGCAAGTGCCTATCACCACCATATCCAACAATGTTCAGCATTGAAACATTGTTAATGACTGTGTTATATTGCATCTTGAACAGAAATGGGCCCCTAAGAAGGTTTGTATCATTCAAGTATAGCAAACTAAATACACCAGACTGCCCAGTTCCAAGCGAAAACATGATAGGATCTTAATGCAGAGAGCAAAGGTTATATCTCTGCCATTAGTCCAAAGCCAAAATCAGACACCATATTCATAAGCCATAATGTGCCCAAGATGCTACTTGAATAATTTTCATTTATATAACGCGACAAATGCACATCTTGCTGGGATTGATTAGAAATCCATATTAGAAAAGAGAGATTCATCTGAAGAGATAGCTCTCAAAGTAAAGTTAGCAAGTGTGATTCAACAACAATATAGTATATTTGTGCAAACCAATCAAAAACTGCACTTTCTTGGTATGGGGAAGGGAAGGTGGATGAACAGCATTTTCTACATTTTATTATCACTACAATATCCTCAATGACTGTAATTGTAACAAGAAGCAGGCAGAGGATAAAACACGATGAACTATACTAAGGTCACCTCCTTTAATCCAGTGAATTTAGATACTGTGATGAGATATCCACCTGAAATGGAAAACTATTCCACATTCTTAAGATTCTCATTTTGCAGGTATTTCAGCACTCCATATGCCACCGTTCCAGCCACAAACAAGCCAACCGTGGGAGTGAAAGTTGGGTAAAGATATTTGGCAAAGAACCTATCCACCTCTTCAGGAAGAAAACCTGAAAGCAATCACCAGTTATTATAAGGCATGCCTTTTCTCTGATAAATTATACTCCCTCTGTACCATAAATTATACTCCCTCTGTACAATTTAAACTAGAAATAAAAACTCAAACGGGACAATAATTAAGGGATGGAGGGAGTATTTCATTTTGCAATGGTATGGTAAAAAAATTTGCTACCGTATATGCATATTAAACTAAGGAAGGGAATCCAAGTTCCATAAATTCAATTCAAATCACAGACTTTAGAACTTCCAATTAATCTGAATCGCCAGGTTAATGTAACAAAGGTTACCTGAGGCTGCAAGAACAAGGCCCTGCACAAGAATAATAGCGCCGAGGCCTAACCAAGCAAGAAGAAAAGCACTCTCGTTCTGGGATTGTTCCTTAGCTTTACCCTCATCATTTTGTGCAGCAAAACTGGGTTTCTCCAAAGGGGCTCTGCGGATTACGGAAGCCCTTTCTCTCTTGCCTTTTTGTTTCTTCTTTGATACCGTCGGTGGGGACGAAGTCTTCGTAGAAACCGCCGATGAACCGAAACCTAAGCCAGCAGCTGAGTTGGGTTTTTTCTGGGGAGGTGGTGGGGCCACCGCGGATGAGGATGAGGAAGTTGTGGACTCTGTTGATTTAGAGGGCTCTGAAGTTGAAGCAGAAGAAGAAGAAGAAGAGTCTTGAAATTTGACTGTGAGATTTCTATGCTTTGGAATTGAAGGAAGATTGTGGCACTGCAGCAGATAAGGTGGATTATGGAGTTTCTTGATGGCAAAAGATGTTGTTGCTGGTGATCGGAGTATTAGCGCCATTTTTTTTTTCAGTCTACTTTGATTAGCTTCATTTCCTTTTTTGCTTTTAGTTTTTAACCTCTGTTTCCTGCCCAGATATTTAATTGTGTCATATGCATATTCATAAAAATGGTGTCAATATTTAACCCGAAAAAAGTGTTAATATTAAATCAATATCTTTAACATCATTTGGATGTGTTTAGAACTAAACCTAGGTGGTTTATAGCACACAAAGTTGCTAAATGAATCAACTATCAATCCTCTTTTTAGAGATACAGTAGTTCTATTAAAAATTATACAAATTGTAATATTATAAGTACACTAGTAAATGTAGTAGCTCAAAAAAAAAAAAAAAAACCCTCTAATACTGTGTATGTTAACTATACAGTTTGAAAAATAATAGGATCAAGATTTTCGGCAAATTTATGATTTTAATTTTTTTTGAAAGTGAAATTACTCTCAAATTCAAGCGCCAATAGTAGATACAAATCACACAATCCCCTTTTATTCGTCGTCGTGTCTGCTTCTCCACCTCAACACCTCCGTCTCTGCACTTTTGTTTTCTCTCTCCAAATCTCAACTCCTCCTCTCCTCCACAACATGAAAACCCCTAATCATTCCCAGATTCTTTCCCCTCATTCTCTCTCACACAGACACACACTATAACTATCTGCGCACAAAACCTTTAGCTTGTTTCCGTATTGATGGACTTCAATTTCATCTCAAATCAAATTAGGTTATGGCGCTGTTCACTTCCCCGCTCTTTTTCGATTACTCACTATTTCAAGGACATAAACAGCACTCTTTTACTTCCGGCGAACGGCTCGGCGGCCTACTCCGCCGAGCTTCGCCCGTGGTGAAGATTCAATTGTCGGCGCGGGCGACAATGCGGTTGGAATCAGGAGCCGGTGAGAGCCGCAAAGGTGCGGCGATCCTCTGGTACAAGAACGATCTTCGTATCGATGATCATCCTGGCTTTGTTGCTGCTTCTAAGCATCCGACAATACTTCCTCTTTATGTATTTGATCGACGCATTGTTTCTCGTAAGTTACTTCTGTCACCAATATTTTCTTTCGCTATAACCTGCTAATTAGGACTAGTACCTTTTTTTATGTTTCAATGCATATGAGCGAACTTCGAGAGTTACAGCTAGTACTAAATAAACGGAGAATTTTGGCCGTGAATGCTCGTTCACTTATTAGATACTCATACTTTTCTATTTTCGACTTTTTTTCCCTCGCAAAACCTCGTCAATTTGAATTCAGCTAAGATACAATTACTAGCCGGGGAAACTTTTGAAGTTGTAAGTAGTTAGACAAAACTATTGCATGCATCCTTCCCCTTAGGACACGACGATGCAACCAATGGATATTCAGATTGGGAACGTGTTGATGCTTGTATGCAGCTTGTGCACACTTCTGGTTTAAATGAGACCTTACTATAATTGACGAACTTTAAAGCAGCATGCAGAACTATGCGTTCAGTAATAAACAGCAGTCAAATGATGATTGTTGCTGCATTGTTATCTGTCTTGACATTTGTGGTTTGGTGCAGGTCTTCCTGATGAAATGCTTGAGCTTCTCATTTTTGCACTGGAAGATTTGCGGAAGTCACTCAAGGATAGAGGTTCTAACTTGATGATCAGGTTTGGAGATGCTGAGGGTGTCATTGAAGCACTTGTCAAAGAGGTTATTACATTTTCGCAATCTGCTCATTCTGTTATTTATGAGGCCTGGAATTTGGAGAACCTGGAGGACTGTTCAACTCATTTGTTGAATTCATCAATGAGGGTTGAAACAGGTGAAGGCAACAAATATATATGCTGAAGAAGAGGTGGAGTACCACCTATGCATAGTGTTAGATGCAGTGCAGAAGGTTGTGAATTCAACTGCTTTATCTTCTGCCGAAGGGCGTCCCAGATTGGTGGCGTGGAACTGCTCGTTGTATGACAATAAAGTAATTCCTCCACCCTTATCTGTTTTTTTCATGGTTTTGATTGTTTTCTTGCGGGTGACGCTTTCTTAATAAGTGATCTTTTTGGTTCTTAAATCCAGAGCTTGGAAGATCTGCCTGCTTCAAATGATGACTTCAAAAAACTGCGGATACCTGTTGTTTCACCTGTCTCCCCGAATGAGTTACCAGATTCTAAGATGGATTTTGTTTGGGGTGAAGCCAGAACTTCCAACTCTTTTTCGTTTCACTTACTCCTGTTACCACTTATTCTGTCTACAGTGATGAAGATAATTATTTTTGTTATTTGACCAGGCGATGTACCGTCTTTGGATGATTTGCGGAAGTTTGTCGAGAACAATGTTGTAAGACTAGAGGATGAGTGGACAGCGGCCACGATGATAAATGAGCGTCTGAAAGAACAGTTTGTGATTAACAGTTCCCCATTCAGGGGTGTCAAACTTGTAAATGTAGAGAAAATAGAAAACGAAAGCAGCCAAGTGGAAGAAAGGAAGAGACCAGAACGATCAGCATTTATCACACAACAGGGGACCTTTGTTGCTGGTGGGACGAGTGCTGTGTTGAATGCTTTGGCTGCATATTTGCGTTATCTAGAGGGTACTGCTCGAGGTGACTGGCAGGAGTAAGTACTTGCAACCTGCGTACAAAAATGTCTGGAATTCTTCTGTTCTTCATTGTGTAGGAATTTTGTAACTTATTCTTGGCCTTCATTCTAGTTTGTATGCATCTGCAAGTATCTCGACAACATTAGGTATAAATATAATGTAGTACGTGATGTCTGATTCTTTTTCTTTTTGTGTGTGCGTGTGTGTGTGTGTGTGTGTGTGTGTCTTACTAAGGCGGGCTCCTTACCCCCTCCTGCTGTTTTTGTTTGCTACTTAAGGGCCACTATAGATCTGTCAGGAACATGACTTTAAAATGAGACTTTTTGAAGTGTACTGCAGTTTTCATTAGTATTTCGAACATACTTGTGAACCCCCATAATTCGGGTAGATATATCAGATTTGGCTGACTGCTCTAGTCTTGAAATATGTGCCTAACATGTCTGCATGTTAACTCCTCTATGCTTCAGATTACATGTTAAACTCTGTGAAGCAGAAACCAGGGAAGGAGCCTCATTTGGTGCCCTTTTTGGACCTGCCCTTCAATTAGGGATCATATCAAGAAGAAGAGTATATTATGAGGCAATCAAGTACGAGAAGGAACGGAATGGTGGTTTTCTATCTCCCTTTGGATATTCAGCAGCCACCATTTCTGCTGCAATTGATACTGTCTGTTCAATGGAGGTATTTTAACTCAACACAAGCACGCAATTCTTTACGGTTGAATATTTTGAGACTTCTTCACTCATATCAAGAGGCCTATTGTAGTTACTGCATGGTTAACATCTTTTCCTTTGCTTGGTAGTGGTATCGGCTTTTGGCTTTAAAGAGTCAAGTAGCCGAGGAAGGCACTTTCTCTGTTAGGATATGGAGATGGAATGGCTATTTAATCCATGTAAGTTGATGAAACTACTTTTACTAATGAAAGTTTCGGCTCTGAAGTCAATGTATTTAAGGTAAAGATCTTTTAGATGTTCTGACTTGACTCCTATGATGCTTTCTTTTTCCAGTATACTGTTTCAGGTGAGGGAGGTCCTGCAATTCTTCTTGTCCATGGTTTTGGCGCTTTTCTGGACCATTTCCGGGACAACATAGGTCAAGTAGCTGAAAGTGGAAACCGAGTTTGGGCTATGACGCTTGTGGGCTTTGGCAAATCAGAAAAGCCAAATATTGTTTACACTGAGATCATGTGGGCGAAGCTGGTTAGAGATTTCATTATTGAAGTTGTTGGGGAACCAGTGCACCTTGTTGGAAACTCAATTGGTGGTATGTTTAGATATCTAATTAATAATTTAGGCAGAAATCGAAGGTGTAATTGAGTAAAACTTTCAGTTAATGGAAGAAACTTAAACTTAAATGCAATAGACTAAGATAATGTGTTCGAGTTCTCTGAAGTGTTGGATATGTTTTCACTGTCAGGCTACTTTGTTGCTATTGCTGCTGGACTTTGGCCTGCCATTGCCAAATCCGTGGTTCTTGTAAACAGTGCAGGCAATGTCACTCCTGAGCCTTCTGTTGTCCAACTATCTGAAGTAAGTGTTTTGTGCCTTTTCTTTCGATTTGATCCTTCCTCTAGCTAGTTTTAAATGGCTTCCTGCCACCTCCCACTATCTACCCATCTACCACAGTTCAACGAGAAAGGGTGAAAAGAAAACCGAAAGATTCCTCGAAGTTTTTTTTTACGCTGCCAGTTTTTCTTTTTACAAATTTTCAGGACAGGCAAACTTCTGGGGCGGCATGGCTGGGTGCTAGGCTCCTTTTGCTATACCTGAGGTTGAATATCAGGAGCATATTGAAAAGCTTTTATCCGGCAGTAAGTGTAGATAGTACTTATCATGCAATTACCACACCACATGACTTCAACTGCTCATTATATGGTCTCAACCTATCCTTACGCAGAAGATGGAGCGAGTTGATGATCAGCTTATTTACGAGATGCTCAGAGCTGTATCCTCATTCTGAAACTGGGGACTTTACTTTGCAGTACTCTTGTCTCTACTAATACTTTTAATATGATTCAATGCACTAATCATTCCCGTAAAGCCATTGAGAAAAAACTGTGGTCATTGCTCACCTAGAAAGTCAACAAGAAAAAAGATCACAATATTACTGCTTAGCCTTAATGAGGGAATTTAGTCCCATGATCCTGGGGTTCTGGTTGTTTTGGAGTGCATCTTCGGCTTCGATCTTTCACTTCCTCTTAATTCTCTATTGAAGGGGTTTGAGGGGAAAATCCTTGTAGTTCAGGTTAGTACTTGTTTTTAGCTTGGATTCTTCAAACTTTGTGAATCTACTTTTTGTTAAATGTTGATGGTTGATTTCTTTCCAGGGCATGAGAGATCCCCTGTCTGACTCCAGATCTAAGTTAGCTGTAATTAGAGAGCACTGTAAAGGGATAGCTATTCGAGAACTAGATGCAGGTAAATTTGAGCAACCCCATTAACACACACACCTGACTTCCCTCGTGTTCTCTTTACCCTTCAAGTACTAATCTCTACCTTGGTGCAGGCCATTGCCCGCATGACGAGCTGCCAGCAGTGTTCAATGCTGTTTTAAAGGAGTGGGTACTGACTGTCGAAAGTGAGGTTGTGTCTGCTGGATTAACAAGGTAACGTTTAATTTGAATTAAATGGTCGAATATAATTCCCAAGGGGAAATAGATCAACCTGGTTCTTCATCATTTCCCAATTGCGATTAAGTGGTTATGTCATGCCCTGCAAAGCACACGATATCAAATCAAAGAGTCACGTCACTTCTATCCGCCGAATGTTTAGTTGCAAAGTGAACGCGTTAAGAGTAAAAATTTCTACCAAAAAATAAAATAAAAGAAGTAATAAAATTACTCCTCCATTTCTTGTTCAATCATTGAGACATTTGTTTTAAGGTAAATGGAGTATTTGTATTTATTATTTTTCTCTCGTGTTCCTCAGACAATTACATTCTTACAAGACTATAATATGTCACTCAATGAGGTATCAATTTTAGATCAAGTATATTTGTAAGCATGTCTTTATAATCACAGAGTATTTTTTTGAGAAGCATAGTTCTAATAGAAATTACAACTGCAAGAAAGCTATTATAACGGCTTTTGGTTTTTGCTTGTGACTTTGTGGGCTAAGGGTAGAGGAATTAACGTATAGTTTGTGTTGAGAAAGTGGTAACTGCGGCTGGATGTATTTTTTTGCTTCCTTCTATAAATATAACCGTGCAATTACAAAAAACTCGCCGAATAAATGATCTCAATAGTGGTGGAAAATGATTATATTCATGTATTCAATTCTGTCTTTTTTTTTTATTACTCCCATTTCTTTGTTTTTAAAGAACTAATAAAAAGGTTGGCAATTAGTTTGTACCTTCTCAATTTAAGAATTCACTGGATGCTATAATAGGAATTGAAATTGAAGAATATGAGAAGTCTATTTCAACCAAAGTAACTGAATGCATTTGATCAAATGAGTAGAACATTTTTCTAAAATGTTCGAAAAATGTTCTACCTTCACCTATTTAACTGATTTCGTATTATCCTTTCTTGCGGTAATGAATGAAGAGTAAGAAGGAAACTGGAAACATCATCTCTACTCTTTGACACGTCTATCGTCTTGCAACAACATTTTTTACCCTTTTTAATCCTCACCTAACATTGAACAGGCCTTTGAACAGCCTCTAACATACCATTATCATTTTGCAAGACTGTCAATTCAATTAAAAAACATATTCTAATTTTTCCGTTTAGCACAGCATTTGCGTAGAAAAGAAGACAAGAAGTTTGGATATAATGATATGGCAAGTAGAACTAGTAAATTACAAATTTGATCATATCTATTAAGGATCCATATTTTTCCCTAGTAAATACTACTCACTACTGAACAATACAAATTTTAATGACAATTTAATTTTTCTCCTACGAAAACCCTCCATTGACATCAATTGATTTCACCTGAATGCATTTCGCTGCAGGTGAGCACAGGGGCGTACCTTTGCACACCAGGAAATTGCTTCTAAAGTGATCTGCCTCTTCAATTGGACATCATGAACTCACGATTCATAAATCGACCGACCAAGTTTATTTTGCAAACACTTCTAAAGCTCCATTGCATGACATAAGCTTCTCACATCAGGAATCATACCACTACCACGACGAGTTAATATGCCTTCACCAACTAGATCATTCAATATGGCGCTTGGGTCTTTAGCTCCCCCATGCTGCAAAAACTTTGTCCGAAGAGCGGATCCCGTCGTTAACGACAGTGGATCTTCTTCACATATCTTTTCCCAGATTGTTGCCGCGAAGCATTTGGCGTACAAGTAGCTATAGTATTCTTCAGGAAATATAAAAATCTCTCAGTAATCAGAACTTAATTTCCGCAAAGTAACAGTCAACAAAGATGATTCTACTTAAACAACAATCTTCTGTTGTAAGTACTAACTTTACAATAGATTATTTATTACTCAACAAAATTTTAGTTCTTTCACACCGGCTTTGCAATTACCACTGATGCACGTTAGCTTAATTTTCACCACTTGAACCCATTCAATAAAAATCTTTCATAAATTTAAAATCGCTTAGCATTTCTCATTGCCAATTTGTAGTACTAATTGTTTAGGATGTGGATTACATGAACAGTTTATGTTATCCAAGGTCAAACAAATAAATAAAAAACGCCATGGAAAAAACACAATTAACAAAATCATCTCTATGAGAAGTGAATGGGAATGTGTGGAGCGGACACATAACTAGGAAAGCCAATTCATCTCTATGATAACAAAATCAGAACCCGGAAGTTAATAGTTTGAATCTCAATTAAGAGAGTAACATAAAACTAGCTATTAAGGAGGTCGAAGACCAATTTAGACTTCTCAAGTAAGAAAATTTACACTTCATGACAAATACTGGGTTCAGATTGGGTGGAAAAGTGGTATAAGAAGAGATATGAACCTGTTGGAGCGACCGCACAACATGAAGCATTAAGATAGGCGTGTTATAAAGACATATTCCACTCAATTTAAGATAGACTATGCACAAAACAAAAAATTTCTACTATCTTGTATTTCTGGAAGTACCTGCACCATAGGTTGCAAGATGACTGAAACGAGTGTGCCAATGCGTCCCATCAACATGCTTCCAACTGGTATATTGTCTTTTCAGTTCCCCTTCAAGAGCAACAATATCCCTTTCAGAGGATGACTGCTCCCCAAAAAGTTTTTGATCAATCAAGGCATAGAAGATCTGCGAAGAGGATAAACCATCAGTCAGAACTCAATACATTTAAAGCACGTACATTCAGCTGTCTATGACCTCGGACAACAAACCTGCCGTTGCAACTCAGTAGCAGAAAACATCTGTTTAGCTCTCCTCATTGACTTCACCAGATTTTCAGGTATTACTTCACCTGTAGAATAATGTTTTGCAAATTTCTTCAAGACCCGGAAGTCCCAAGCATAGTACCTGGTACCAGAATTGGAAAATAACACAACTGCAATTAGAACTGTGACCTTCAAAATAGCGCCTTAAACAACATTGTTATGCATGATTGTCATTCCTCACCATGAGTTTGGTTAGAAAGAAAAAGAAATCCTCCCTTCGTCCCAAAATGATTATCCAGTTTGGAATTTCACTTTTAATGACTGGACAATCATTTCGTTCCAGAGGGAGTACTAAACCATAGTTGACAAGTTACCCTGAAGGTTCTCTCATCCAACCAATGATGATATCATTAATGAGAAGGCATGATCAAACATTTTACTTCAAATTTTAAAGAGATAATCCCCATTTCTTGAAACCACGCATCAAGAATGTTTGAAGAACACTCACTCAAAGAGATTGGAAGGTGTCTCGGCAAAATCAAGAACAGCTCTGGTCCCTGAAAAATGTTGGTATTCCTGCAAAGAGAATAATCAAGGGAATACAGACTAGATAGAGAAAACTTATAATGGAACAAGACAGTTAATTATTTATCAATTGCATACCGTCCTAGAAAGCAATGAATGAAGAGCATGTCCAAACTCATGGAAAAGTGTTTCCACGTCACAGTGATTGAGAAGGAGAGATCCTGGTTTAGACCCTGAGAAACTGCAAACAAGGGCTACGACCTGTAAGTTTAAAGCACAAGCTGTTACATCCATGATGTCATCATATAGATAGGATATCAGATTTCTACTGAATATAGAAGTCCTATATATTTTGCTTTGATCTATTTGCTGTAGATCCATAGAAGTTTGAAAGCATCACTAAGAGAAGTGCACTTCACGAAAGTAGCATCCAGTGGAAGCAAAAAAGATCAACACGCAACAGTAAATCATCGAAAATCGCTTGTTGATCATAGGATATGAATACATAGCAGCATTTTCGAAGGTTGGAAGATAAAATATAACAGAAATAACTAAACGCATTCACGTACAGGCAGTTGGTAATCCGTTTTTGAGATTCTTCGCCCTCCTTGAATAGCAAAATGAGCACAACCAGGATGCTTATTCTCTCTTGGTTTCAGATCAAGGTATAAGTAGCCTAAATCACCCTGCATTTTGAAGCGTGTCATCACTTTAAAAATGGTATTAATGCTCGTAGATAAAGCTTGTAAAAGAAATGGTAGTTAATTTTTCAGTTGTTATCAAGACACTTAAAATGCTAATTAATCATTATTAACAAAGCAGCGGAAAGGGAAAAATGAAAAGATACGAATCAAGTGACTTAAATAAATTGAAAATCATATGTTGAAACTGTGGTGAACAAGATATTGAAAAGAAAAATTCATAAGCCCATGGAGAGTTCACAATGATTTCAATTATGCACCTCATCTGGATGATGAAAAGAGATTTTGAGGACATCAGGATGCCATGATTCACCAGGAGCAATTGGGACATAATGACAGGTTACACCAAATAACGACTCAGCCACAACCTTCAACCCTTCAATACACTTGTGTAATGGAAAATATGATGCAGCCACCTGACACGAAGAGCCAATCAAGCCAATTTACCTATGAAAGTATATTATAAGATCTAAGAGAATGAGTAATGTGACAAAAATATGAGTAAGTATAAGATATGAGCTATACGAGGACATACTATCGTGCAAACAATCACGCGCGTTATGCCGATACAACTCTAAATGCAATGTCACAATATTACATTCCAATCAGGTGCACCATTGATTGTACAATTTTTCTTGGTTCCAGGGGAAAGGTTTCTGCTGCCTCTGCCTTTTCCACATGATATGCTTAGCAAATTTCAAGCCAGTTGGAAAGGGATAAATTTATGAAAATATATAAGGTATCCTTTTCGTTTTTATAAAAAAGCTGAAAAGGTTTTAAAACATGGAATATATCAGAAAAGAGAAAAACTTGTCTTTAAGGGTTATCAGTTTGTAAGGGGGAAACAGGCATTCCCACTATGCCTTTAAAACAAATTGGAAACTTAACAACAGCAAGTAGGTGGTTTTCCTCATTGTCAGGCATTCATTTATTTGAAAGAGATCAACCCTGTCTACGCACTATGTAATCAACAATGGCACACCACTAACTATAGATACCTATCCATGCTTTTTTTCCAGTATGAGAGTACCAAACTTCTACAGATCATATAAATCTAGCTGGTATTAATAAAGGCAAACAAGTGAAATTGATTGGTATACAGTGCAAATAAGATGAAACGAAGAAATTAATTTTGGTCAATATACCGCAGGATTTGAGTCATATGCATTTGATTTCATCAATCCAGTATAGAATGTCTCATCCCATGGCTCCAAGTCGTCATGTGGTCGGCCAGATTTTTGCCTCTTGAAATCCCGAATTGCGACAAACTCCTGCAATTTAAAAGCACTCATGCAAGTAGAAGGAATGACAAGCGCAAACAATCTAACAATAGAGCAGTAAAAACCATACCTCATCAGCCTTATGCCTGACAATCTCACTCATTTCCAGTAAAAATGACAACACGACATCCGGAGAAGAAGCAATAGTTGATTGTAGAGCAAATTGTGCATAAGAGCTATATCCGATAATCTGCATTTGTTGCCAAGCAAGTAAACAACATGACAACCAAATTTCTGTAACCCATGTCCAAGAAACCAACAAGTACTTACTTAAGAAAAACCAGATTCACTTTCAATTAATGTTACATCCAACTCCCTCAATGTGTCTAAATTATCTGTAGCAATTACATCATGGTTCACAATCAACAACACCAGCATTTAGTAGCAAAAATTTGGTGAAGGAGAAAAAGGAAGAGATAAGATCATAAGTTTCCAGGAAGAAGGCTTTTGCAAAATCACAATTGAAATAGCTGGAGAACAGCAAAACCGTGTTTGCTGATAGGGAGAATGATCCCGTGAGCATATGTGAATGGATACATCACTGTTATATCAATGCTTATTTACCTGTCCCTCACCCCCTCTCCCAAGGCAACCACACAAAAACAAAAAAGAAGAAGAAGAAAATCCTGTGATACAATGAGAAACGAAAACTTTAAGAACATGCGGAACAAACAAGGTTCGAAGATTGGGCTATACAAAATTAACTACTCGGGATATATACAGCATTCCATATTAAGAAATTTGTCTTCTCCAATAGGCAATAGCCTTGAAATCCTTTTCATGCAATGGAAAACCCTAAAGAAAAAAGTACAGAAAGCTGCCTTAGGACACTTGCATATTATAAGAATGAAAGCTATCACTGCCACACCGGAAATTATGTGTCAAAAACACCATCCAACAAATTCAAGCAATCATCATGATTGATAAGGAGACATACTCCCAAAAAGGAAACACATACACAAATGCAAACGAAACCAAGCAGATTGACTTGCACTTGCGGAATTGAATGCTAAACAGCAGAGGGGAAATAACCTGAGAAAACTCATGACGCGCTGCAACAAGCTTATTGAGAACTCTAAGATTCGCATGTGGGACTGAGTTCCCTTGGATATAAGCCATTTTCCTAGCCTGAACAGAAGTATGCCAATATGAGTATGACAAAAGAAATAACAGTTTGAACAAGTAGGTATCCTGTCTTTTTTTCAATTGGTTTATTTTTACTGAGGTTGAAGATGCACAAAAATTTGACAATGTATCAGAATAAAATTCGAAAGTATAAGTCAGATGTTTGAAAAAAGGATAATTTTTTTTTCCAATGGTTTATTGTCATTAGTTTTCTTTCCACCAATGATTTCACAATTTTAAGAAGGATAATATAAAAAATGTTACTTCCCATAAGGTTTTCCGACAGAATTCTAAGTTTAGTTTGTGAAAAATTATGATACTTGGTACTATATCTGCCTTAACAGATGCAATGCATGTAGTTTCTACCTCAGCATCTGGTACCCATTGCATTATTGAGAACAGAGAACTTGGATCGGTAGGCAATCGGAAACCTTTTTCTTTCATTTCTTCTGATGGCCATATTGATTGCCTGGCTATGCCAGATGATGTCCGATAGATGGGCTTCGCGAGATGATGCAACCTTTTAGGGATAACTGATGCTGGAAAGATATCCACATGACCCGGGTCAGTCATAATATTCTCACTGAACCTGATAAAAACAAGAAATTCATACATGACAGTAGTGGAATAGAAAAAACTACTGCTTCATCTGCAACTTATGCTGGAGCTCAATAAACCACAATAAGGAATAAGTGACCAATTAACACCTCGGTGCATAAAAATAGGATGCCTAATTGCCGTATCATTTAATAAGGAAAAACACAAATGGATATTATGATGTGTCCAGCTGGTGCAGCATTAATCCTCTTTTCTTTCGACCCAATTGAAAGTAAATATTACTAAATTCATAGAATGAACTTCCATCTTCAAACTACAAAGTGCAATTTTGACATAGATTTAGCTCCATGATATACAATATCTGATATAACTATCTTGATAAGATCTAATACCATCCATCAACTATAGCACAAAACATCAAATCAACGAGCTCTCAAGCAGAAAACAGGAAAATTGGATAAACCATCAATTTAAGCCTGGTGGCCATCTTTGCTTACACCTCAGTCTTTCGTAAGATTTCATAGCTATTGATTTTTACCAAAAAAGTGACAAGAAGAAGCGTAAAAAAACCTTAAGCTTGACACCTGACATAATGAACTCAAATGGGACGAAAACAGATCTGAAAACACGTTAAATAGACTTTTCTACAACTGCCGATAACTTAGACCCCTAGGGGAGGCTAAAACAGATTAAGGGTGTAATATAGTAGGGAACAAAACATCAAACATCATCATATCACAAAACTTAGTGGTATTTAAATTAATAACAGGTCCCTTCTGCATGGTATTTTTAATTAACTGCAAGGTATAATAATAACTTCAGAAAAATATCAAAGCATTAAGGAACTAAAAGTTTGCAAAACTTTTTTCTGTCTGGGAATTAAATATCTACTTACTCTCTACATAGCTGAAGAATATCCAGATGTAACCGATTAGCTTGCTCCAGTTTTTCTGCAGTACCATGGACATCTCAGTTAGCTGGATTAGGTATCAATTGCAAGGAAGGAGCTAGGCGAAAACAAATAAGTACCAGCAGGTAGATGAATGCCCCCCTTTTCAAAGTCACGACGTGAATACTGGGCTACCCTTTGAGCTTCTTCAGTCAACAAATGAGCATCCTGTTCAGCTTTCATTACCCCCTTATACAAGCTATTATTTGTATTAAGATGCTGAAAAACAAAAAACACATTCACAGTGAAGTTTAAAAAATTGAGCTATCAATTAAAATTAACTTCACTCTTCCAAACCTTTGCGAGAATGTGGCACGTCAAATGTGAAAAACTCGAAAGTATTATGTACGAAGAAACATCATCTATCAAAGCATACCTCTGGTTTATTAATCTTAATAAGATCTGATGTGCTTAATGTGCATTTCAACCAATATTCACAAGCACCCTAAGTAGAGGCTGTTATCAAATCTACTCATGCAAAAATGAAAATTGTTTGCCCCACAATAAGACCATGGCTGTGCATGTACACTACTCCTTCAGCACCATAAGTTAATATATCCATGTATTTTCCATTCACAATGGTTTTTCAGTTCAATCTGGCACATCTATGAATTGCTTGCCATCATTATATGCACATGCAACTCATGGGTATACCTAGATGAAATTAGCAAATAAACCACTCGCAACCTCACATGTATGTACTCATTAATCCTCAGAGAAGCCTTCTTTCCCTCCATGACGAATTCCCTAAACATTCACATAACAGGAAAAACATTAGGCAATTCAATAACAAAATAGAAAAAGTTATTCAGTATGTGCTAATCCTCACTCACCTATCTGGATGTGTGGCCATACATAATTCTGCAGAGTCGCTCACTTTACAAACCTAGAAAATCAATTACACCAGTCAATTCTTACAACCTCACAGCATTTACTCAACACTTTACGTTTCTAATTAAATTTAATTGGTAATTACACTCATAAAACCTTAAACCTACAAAAAAAAAAAAAAACAAAACAAAACAAAATGATCTACAATATCTTAGAACTACTTACGGTATCCGATATCTCATCCATAGCTCGAATAATTTGAGGTGCAGGCGGCATTCCGGAGATAAATGTCACGAGTTCATCAGACCTAATAATATATTTGGTACATTAAGTCATCAAAAACTAATTTCTATGAGTACACAGTACACACGCACATCGATTGAGAGCTTAGATGCTAGTTCATCGTTGATGAAAAAGAAAAAAAATGAAACAAGTCAATACGAAGCATATAAATTCAGGAATTTCTTTTCGTCGTAAGTGTTTTGAAAACGTAGTAAGAATTTTAACCTTTCTATGGCATCGTCAACCATGCGTCGAAAGCCTTTGGGAGTCTTCAGGTGCTCGATTCCGTAGAGACCGGTTTGTTCAAGGGAGTGGGCCAGTGAACTGTGGAAATACGAGCTGCGGAGATGGCGGTAAAAGTTAAAAGCCGCCGTGCTTCGACGGAAGAGCGCGGCAGACATGGCGAAAACGAACGAATGAATCGGAGATTTTAGTCTCTGCCGCTCTTTTCAAATTTCTCTAGTTATGCTGCTTGCGAATGCAATTCGCATTAATTGATTCATTCGATTGCATAGAAGTTCAGAGAGTCTTTCGAGACAATGTGCTCGGGTCATCTTGTCATGCGGTCCTCCTTGTATTTCGACGTACTAATACTCAATGTTAAGCTTGGGCTTTTTCTTCGGATCGATATTGGGCTTGAGCTTGGGCTACTACAGAAAAACTGTTGATGGTCCTTTTACTTGAAGGCCTATACTGTTTAATACTAGGTGGTGACATTCCTTTCGAGTTTTTGACCTAAACAATTTTCTTTAAAAAAAGGTAGACCAAATTAATTTTTTTGAAATTTTTGTGGACAAATCTATATCCTTCGGATTTCAAAAATCCGAATCCGAGGTAAACTCGGATTTCGGAAATCCGAATTTAATAGAAAACGGATTTTGAAAATCCGAATTCATTTTAATTAAAACTAAAACTAATTATCCGAATCCGAGGTAAACTCGGATTTCGGAAATCCGAGTTCTCAATTTTAATTATAACTCGGATTTCGGAAATCCGTGGGATATATTCATGTCCACAAATATTCTGAAAAATTTAAATTTGTCCACCTTTGTTTTAATTAAATTTTTTAGGGAAAAGACCCCATTTCTTTCTTTCTGTTTTTTTTCTTTTTTTTTTTTTACATATTTGCAAGGTGGTCCGCAACAGTGACTAATCTCTCTTGCTGAATTATAGGTACCTTAATGGGTGGGACAACTGGTCAAAATATTTAAGATTACTCCATGTCCATAGCGAGGTTCGAACCCTATGATTAAGGGTGGAGGAATCCCTTCCACTACACCACAACCACTTTCATGATGAACTTTTATGTTTGTTTTTTGGATTTTTAATTAAATACTACTACCGTATATTTTTGTACAAGCTCATTACATATACTACTACCGGTTTTTTGGATTTTTTTTTTTTTGTTTCAAGAAGGAAAAGTGGATAAGTTTGGATAGTGTCGTTTTGTAGTGGAGAACACGTTCCAAATGAAAACCGTCCCGTTTTTTGAACACCAACTCCGGGTCCTTCTCTAAAGCCCCGCTTCCCGCGAAAAACCTCTCCCTTCCCATTCTCTCTCTCTCTCTCTCTCTCGTCTCGTGTCCGCATTCTTTCTTCCTTCAATCTGAAAAAAAAAGCACGATATAATTCCAGCACATTGACCTTCTTTTTTCCCCCTTTTTAAAAAAACTTTAACCCTAAATTAGACCAACATTTGAGTGCGATCCAATCCAATTTCAATCTCAAGTTTACGCATTATAGTACAGATTTTGTTTGGGACTCGAGCGAACCTCAGAATCCGTCGATCGCTCTTAGAATTGTGTTCAATTGGGTCATCTGTTTACAGAGTTGAAATTCAGAAGATGCTAAAATGTCGAGTACAGGTAATGATAAGAATCCCGAGAGAGACAAGCCCTCCGCCGAGTATAATTCGTCAAAAGAGGATCCGAATGCTGACCCGCCACCTCTGCAGTCGATCTTGAAGCTCAGAAAGATGCCTCAAATTCCGTCACGTCATACGACTGAAAATTCAGACGACGGCGATGATGACGGTGGCGGTAAGGACGAGGAGGAATCTACGAGTGAGGAAGAACATTCGCCGATTATCGAGGCATCTACTCTGGGTCTAAATCACATTCGGACCCGCTCCGCTCCGTTGCCTCATCTCCGATCAGCCAATTCGATTGGGACGCCTTCCAATTTAGGTTATAACAGTGAACACAAAATGAATAAAGAAGGAGCTCATCCCAGGCCCAAAATTTCATTTGTTCCTCAACCGCCTCCTGCATCCACATCCACGGATCAAGACCAAGGTCATCTATTGCCTTGCATTCACTTTATTCCTTTTTTGGTTGTTTGAGATTTTTTAGTGCAGAGAGTATTCATTTTGGTTTATATTTGGAATTTATATATATGGTGTAGAAAGACTGAAATTTTCCCATCTAGCTTTTGTTATACCAGTTGTTTCACATGCAAAGAGAACAATTGGTTTGATGACTTCACAAGTTGGCAATGATCCTAATTTATTTGTGGATATTTTGTAGGTAAAAGGGTCCATTGGAGCCAATCAAAATCATTAAAGAACCCATCACCTCGCAATTCAGGGTCGGAGGTAACTGGCTGAATAGGCCATTGGTATCTTTCCTTTTTGGTTTTGATCACTAGAGCCTGAGTCTCTTTGACAAATACAGTGCTTCAACTCATGCTATTGAGTATCATGCAGGGTCATCATGCTACTTTATCCAAAGAAATGCAGTCCCCTAGGTTCCAGGCTATATTGCGTCTCACAAGCGGCCGAAGAAGAAAAGTGCATGACATCAAGAGTTTTTCACATGAACTGAATTCTAAAGGAGTTAGAGCATTGCCATTTTGGAAATCCCGTGCATTTGGGGGCACTGAAGTATGTGAGCATAGCTTATACATAGTTCCTGATTAAGCTCATTTAAATTTTCCAATTCTTTTCCGAGCCAAAGTTTAGGCACAAGAAAGTCGAAGTATTTTTTTTTTTTCTTTATTGATTCAATTTGCACATAGCTCTCCCAGTTTTAAGCAACAACAATGCTCCAATTTTCAGGAGATTATGGCAATGGTGCGGTCAAAATTCAATAAACTGAAGGAAGAGGTTAATGCTGACTTGGGTATCTTTGCTGGGGACTTGGTTGGGATTCTTGAGAGCACTTCAGAAACTCATCCTGAGTGGAGAGAAACTTTGGAAGATTTGTTAATAATAGCCAGGCAATGTGCAAAGATGTCACCTGATGAGTTCTGGTTGAAATGTGAAGGCATTGTTCAGAACTTGGATGATCACCGGCAGGAGCTTCCAAATGGAATACTAAAACAAGTACATACACGTATTCTATTCATACTCACTCGTTGTTCTAGACTGGTGCAGTTCCAAAAGGAAAGTGGTTATGAAGAGGAGCATATTCTTGCTTCCCACCAGCTTAGTGACCTTGGGGTCTATCCAGAACGAATTTTTGGGGTGGTCAACCAGGAAGTGTGCAGCACAAAAAAGAGGACTCAAAAAGGCCAGGCACATGATCAGGAAGACCATGCAGAAGAAAACTATGGAACTGAAACAGAAAATTTGGAGGTTAGTACAGCTAAAAGTGTTGCTTCCTCCAGTGGAAGCTATAGAATGTCATCATGGAAGAAACTTCCATCTGCAGCTGAAAAAAATAGCAAAATCCAGGGATCTGTTGACTCCACACCCAGGGAGAAATCTGATCAGTTGCATCATAGAGAAGAAACAGATAGTGTAGGAATTCTGGAAATTCCAGTTCTCAACCCTGAACGTTCAGAAGATTCCTCGAGAGGGCGAAATGTGACCTGGGGAATTTGGGACCAACAAAATATGACCTGTGAAGACTCTCTCATCTGCCGCATATGTGAGGTCGAAATTCCAACTGTTCACGTAGAGCAACACTCAAGAATCTGCACAATTGTGGATAGATGTGATTTAAAAGGTTTAACAGCCAACGAAAGACTTGGAAGAGTTGCTGATACTCTAGAAAGGGTACTGGAAACGTGGACGCCAAAAAGCACTGAAGCTGGGTTGGGAAGTCCTGACCTTTCGAGAGATTTTTCGCCGGAAGAGTTAGATCCGCTGTCACCTGAGCGGAACTCTTGTAGGGGTCCTGATAGCATGCAAGATTCTGCTTCTGAGACTGAAAGTGAATTTAACGTGGATGGCGACAATAATTTGCCTTCTTATCCGCTTGAAATGCATTCTCCGACTCCTGATATGTCTAAGAAGGCATCCCCAGTTGAAAGTCTAACACCTCGGTCCCCATTGATAACCCCACGGATGAGCCAAATAGAGGTGCTTTTAAGCGGACGGAAGACTGTGTCTGAACTAGAGAGTTATCAACAGGTGATTCTTCCTCCCTTGAGAATTGTACTTCTGTTCCATAGTAGGATTTCCTCTGAACTAGCACTTTCACTTCCTTTTTTATTTCGACTTCTACCATTTAAGGCATCACTGTATTATCAGGTAACCAAGCTATTGGATATTGCCCGATCTGTTGCCAGTGTAAACAACACTGACTATAGTACTTTAGAATATATGCTTGATCGTCTAGAGGACCTAAAGTATGTCATTCAAGACAGGAAAGTGGATGCTCTTGTGGTTGAGACCTTTGGAAGACGCATTGAAAAATTGCTGCAGTGAGTTAATTATCAGATATTGAGAACCCTTGCCAAGTTTAAATTCTTCTTTCTGACGTTGATATGCATGTGTTTTATCTTTACAGGGAAAAGTATGTGTCACTTTGTGGACAGATTGAGGATGAGAAAGCAGAACTCCCGAACGTCATTGCTGATGATGATACTTCAACCGAAGAGGATACAATTCGAAGTTTGCGTGCAAGCCCTATTAGTCATTGCTCCAAGGATCGAACATCTATTGAAGATTTTGAAATAATTAAACCAATCAGCAGAGGAGCCTTTGGTCGAGTTTTTCTGGCCAGGAAACGGGCAACTGGTGACTTATTTGCAATAAAGGTTAAAGCTCTAGGCCTGAATATAAAAATCTTTTTTTTAAGAAAAACTAATATTTGTAACATTTTTGTACTGTTTTTCATTAATAAATGACATTTTCTTGCCACAATGGGTTTCAAGTTATGAAACACTATTCTGACTATTTTTTGTGATTCAAAATTTTGACAGGTTTTGAAAAAGGCTGACATGATTCGGAAAAATGCAGTTGAAAGTATCCTGGCTGAACGTGATATCCTTATATCTGTTCGCAATCCATTTGTGGTGAGCTGGACATTTCGGTTACCTTCTATTTATGGGAATTACCTCGACAAACATAATCCACTAATTCACAATACAAACTATGAACAGGTCCGTTTTTTCTACTCTTTCACCTGTAGGGAAAACCTTTACCTGGTGATGGAGTACTTAAATGGAGGAGATCTTTTTTCAATGCTCAAAACTCTAGGATGCTTGGAGGAAGACATGGCACGAATATATATTGCAGAGCTTGTAAGGATCATCGATACCTTTGTCTCTAGACATGATACAACTGTTTCAAGCTCTTCCACAGAGTTGTAATATCTATTGACATATTATTCTCAGGTACTTGCTTTGGAGTATATGCACTCCTTAAATGTCATTCATAGAGACTTGAAGCCAGACAACTTACTGATAGGTCCAGATGGTCACATCAAGGTCAATAAACAATAACCTAGTTCAACTGCTTTTCCAGTGCAGCCACTGCTATCATCCTATTTACAAGAATGTTGCATTATTACGAGATAATTTCAATTGTTATTTACTGGATCCATAACTGCCTCATGTCAGTTTGAACTCTGATGGATGTCAAAGGATTTTATTTCCTTATCACAACTTTGGTATATGCATACTTTTGTACTTGACATCACATCAATGAGGGCATGGACTGTTGAGCAAGGAAACATTCATTAGAAATCTTAATAGGCAGATATGGGAACATTCTTCCTTAAATGGAATTTCAAATCAAGTTAGTCCTTCCTTAAGCAGGGTTTTTATATCACATTTCTGTGTGACAAACAATGAGTAGTTTTGGGCTGGGATTTTGCTTATCCTGAAAGAAATATATTCTCTGGATTTTCTCAAGCTTGTCAGCTCTTCGAGACATTAAGCAAGCTTCTTTGTTCAGCCAACCTTCTTTTTATGCCTTTGCTTTAGATGGTATTGTTTGCACAAGACAAAATGATTTTGTTATCGGTTTATCTATGCTACATCACACCAAATGAATAATATTTTTTTGGCTTTCTGCATAGCAAAAACTTTGCATTTGTGACATCTTAGATGGGTCTTCACATAAAGGACCTATATTTGTAATGTCTCAATTTGTTTACTGCCAAGGATAAATATTGCTACGCAACAGAAAGGAAGGCTGGTTGCTTCTATTAATGTTGTTGTTTTGTTTTTGTCCTTCCGACAATTCTCACGAGCTAATCTTTTCATTTACAGTTGACAGATTTTGGGCTTTCGAAAGTAGGTCTCATCAACAGCACGGATGACTTTTCAGGTCCATCGGCAAGCAATACAAATTTCCTTGCCGACGATAAGCCCAAGGCTGCAGAAATTTCAACAGCCAAAAAGGAAGAACGGAAAAAGCATTCTGTTGTAGGCACCCCTGACTATTTGGCTCCAGAGATTCTCCTTGGAATGGGACATGGTCTAAAATTAAATAACTTAAATATTTATTTTCTAATATCCATATCAATATTCATTGCTGATTGTTCTGTTTGCTCATTGGTTTTCCACCAGGTGCTACAGCAGATTGGTGGTCTGTTGGGGTTATTCTTTTCGAGCTTCTAGTGGGTATTCCGCCTTTCAATGCAGAAAGTCCACAGGTTTGTTATCTGCGTTTACCATGTACGGACCTAAACATGAACACAGTACTTTTTATGACATAACATGGTTATGTATGTAACCTCCAGATTTTAAGATTGTATCATTTCAAATTTGGAATAGTAAAATTCATCACAAACTTTTATACCTAGTTGGTGCTTAAAATTAGATAACCTATAGTTGATCTTTGTAGAATCTTACATATTTGAGAATAGATGGAGCTGGGTTCAACATAGTCTAAATAAGCCAAGCTTAAGAATCCACCAAGTTTCTAAGCTTTCTTATTTCTTGTAACAAAAGGGAATATTTCTCTTGCAAATGATCTTATGTTCCTATGTCGTTGCAGCAAATTTTCAACAATATCATGAACAGAGACATTCCCTGGCCCAAGATACCCGAAGAATTGAGCTATGATGCTCATGATTTGATTGACAAGTAAGTTCTGAATATATGGCAAAATATCTGCATTAATTTGGTGAAAATGGAACTGACGAATCATTACTACGAGATGAACCTCGATATGGAACTAAGGTCAATTATTTTATTATGATCTCGTGGAAATGCTATATTAAGTTTCATACTTGAGATCTCAGATATCAGAATCAACCTTTTATCCTGAATTGACTTCGGGATTTGACAGTTCTTAATCTACATGAGCCAAGTATCAGCTAGCATGTTAACATATGAAACTTCCTCTACATAACAGGTTGCTGATTGAGAATCCAGTGCAAAGATTAGGAGCAACAGGCTCCAAAGAGGTCATTGCTCTCCTCTAACTTTCTACTTCAGTTCAATAGATTATGATGATATTCTTAGAACCTGAAAACATCCATTCTTGTTTTCCAGGTCAAATCGCATCTGTTTTTCAGGGATATTAACTGGGATACCCTGGCTAGGCAGAAGGTGAATTACTAATTTCCTGCCTGTTGCATTGGGTACACTCCCTTACGTTTTAGAAAACTTTTGATGACGCTCACGTATTGTTTGTAGGCTGCATTCATTCCTTCAGCTGAACCCCTTGACACCAGTTACTTTATGAGTCGTTACATCTGGAATCCAGAAGAAGAGAATGTGCACGGTGGTAGTGATTTTGATTATTTGTCTGATTCGGGCAGTGGTTCTTGCAGCAGCAGCTCATTTAGTAATGCACATGATGAAGATGTATGTTTTTCTAATGGTCTTTTTCTTTCAAAAATCTTATGCGTCATATGTCATGTCCAACTTTCTTATCAAACAAAATCTATAGATTAAAGTTTAAAAGCAAGTTCCCTGCGCAAAAAGTATTGATCTTCTTGTTGACGGTTACTTATTTCCTGTTCTTGGAAAATCAGGGTGATGAATGTGGCAACTTGGCAGAGTTCAGTGCACCGTCACTAGATGTAAAGTATTCATTCAGTAATTTCTCTTTCAAGGTAAGAAATCTGAAAAATAGCTGAGTCCTTCCTCTGGGCAGTAAAGTTATGTATCTGACATGGCAGTGAATGAAGATCTAACTCATTCATATCTTCCTTTGGTTTTGAAATCAGAACTTGTCACAGTTGGCTTCCATAAACTACGATTTGTTGGTGAAGAGTGCTAAAGAATCAATGGAAACGGATAAGATGTCCGTTCCATGACGAAGAAAGGATCAGTAGCAGGTTGGATTCTGACTCAGAATTGGGTTGTAGCTACCTGATTGGGCTGGAAAAGAAACCATATTTGCTTTAGGCTGGAAGTACTAAAGTGATCTCCTCGTCATGTTAGACCTCCAGGTGGGTTCTACATTAGTTGATCTTCTGCTTCCTCAGAGCAATGTGAATGGAGCAGAGATCAAAGATCTTGGGCAGTTTTGATCTTCATTGGTACCCTTATAAAAGCAGGCTCAAAAGAGGAGTCAAGATGCTAACAATAAGCACCAATGAAGCTCTGCCAGAGTGCTCTGCTCCCTTTTATTTTATGGGTTCTTATGGAAGACATTTTGATTCAGTCTCCCTTCTTGGCAAAGAGTCGTCAAGTCAGTTAACGATGAGTGGCAGCTCCTCAATCGCACAGTATGGTCGCTGTAGACTTTTTTTTTCTGTCAGGAACGCAAGTGATGCGTGTAATTAATTTAATGAATGTATAACGTGTATAATCTAAGCTTTTATTAATTTGGTCCTTGCAACACAAAATTCTCGCTCATCTTTTCCACTTTTCGGTTGAAATCTTAACGATCCTTTTCTTTCCACAACAAGAATACTTAAATTTTAGCACAAGTGCTAGAATGTTTAAGCTAACTGCACCTATTTTGCATTTGATCGGAGAAAAGAGACTCGCGGAAACACGCGCTTTCGAAAATTTTCCGCCGCCGTCGCTGGTAGAAAGGCTACCAAATCTTCTTTTTTTTTTTTTAAATTATTTTAATTGGAATTTAGAGGGGAAAGTCGTTAAAATGACATCAGTATCCTTAAAATGTCAGAATGCGCAAATACACTAATTCCCTTTTTCCAAATTCGACTTGGTCAACTCTGCAGTCTGCATCCCATGTTCTAAATGCAGAGTAGCACAAATGCCACAGTCGTCCTTGCAATTGGAAACTTAGATCTAATAAATATAGGAGGAGTTGTTTTTTCTTTTCAAATAATCGCATTGCTAAACGATAAATTTTTCTAATGTCAGATTTGTCCTCTTTTCTGCTAAAATAGAATACTACATTAAGAAATGAGAACTAGGAGTAACATTACATGTGATTTTCGCATTAAGGAGGAAAGATGGGAGGGAGGTTTTCGTAATTACGCAACAAAACAAAAAAGAAGAGTCGTCACCGAATTATTATTACCTGCTCGAAAACTGCATCGGACAGCCACGCTGAACGATCTCTCTTCTCCAGAAATATTCTGCAAACCGAACAACTGAAACGCTTAATTTTGATTGCTAATTTTCTCCTTCCTGTCTGAGATTCATGTGAGCCTGAAATAAGAAAATTAAGAAGAGATGTGGATGCGAAGGGGAGCAGCTTCACTGTCACCTCTGTTTTCTTCATCAAAATGCTCTCTTCTCAACCAGGTATGGTCCCCATCCATCCAATCCCTTTTTTCGCCTTCAATGTCAAGCTCAGAATCAAGAGCCCATCCATTATTTCTTCTCTCCGTGTTTTCTTCCCCAATGATGGCGATATCAATTTTTACATGGAAATTTCAGCGAAACGAAATTTGATTTGGGTAATGGTGTAAATCACAAGTGTTTCATAATATAGTCACAAGTCTGTTCTTATAATAGGTGCAAGGAGCCTGTGGACTGAGGATCTGGAGAATGTTGAGTACTGATATTCAGAAACTGGTATGTCTTTCACTGTTTCTTTGTAATTTTTTTTTTATTTTTTTATTTTTCATTCTGCCAATGTAGGGTTAGGTGTTGCCTGTCTTCTTCATTATCTTTTTAGATTTTTTCTTTTTTTTTTTGGCTAAATGGAAATTTTTTTTCTTTCTTTTTGAGTGATTTGTGGTTTGTCTGATTGGGGGCATTGTTAAAAAGTTGCCATGTGATTTATATTTGTTATGCGTATTTGGGAATTTCTACTAAGATTTTGCTCTTTTTTTTTTTTAATACGTTGGACAGTAGCTTTTAGGTCTTCTTTTCTGATTGATGTTATCACTGTATAAGTGCTTGATGAAGATGTTACCTCTCCCAGCAATTCGTATTCTTTTTCTTCCCCACCATTATCTTCATACTTGATGGTTACAACTTCAGCAGCAAATTTGCCTATATTGGACAAAGTTAAGCTTATACTCTTTTTTTTTTTTTTTTCCCCTAACTGGGATGTTCAGTTGTTTAAATAGGATGAATTTTTCTCATTCTTTTGTTTGTAGGAGAATGGTGGAACCTCTCCCAGAGAAACAACTCCATTCATCACTTTTGTCTTAGGTAATCACCATTCCTTTTTCAGGTGATTGAATTATACTACCTCCAAACCATAACATTAGGTGGACTAGAAAATTATGTGGAACGGAGAGACTAGCATCATATCCCTGTTAGATTACTTAAAATATTTGCATCACTATAGTTTTTCACCAGAAATAACTGTTTTTTCAAGATGTTTATGTAGCTTTAGCATGACTTAAAAAGCTGATTTTACCTATTTTTTGTACGACCAGTTTGGAAAATTACTATATAAATGTTACATATCAGTAAAAAGCCATGTGAAATTACTATATATTACATCCTTAATAAACTTCTTTTGTTAGTCGAAGTTGAGGCCATGCAGTAATATGTGCACACGCAGCCACATTTCCTGTGATTCAGATGTTGACTTATTTGGCACCAATGTAGTAGTTTATGTTTTGTGATCTGCAATGCCCTGTACACAGTTGTTGAAGAACCTATTACAATGATATGATTGCTGTTATATTCGCTTTATAGGGGGTCCTGGCAGTGGAAAAGGCACGCAATGTATGAGGATAGTTGAGAATTTTGGCTTCACGCACCTAAGTGCTGGAGATTTGTTAAGACATGAAATTTCTTCCAATAGTGAATATGCGTAAGTGCTTTTGATCTTACGGATTTATAAGTTTGGAACCTCTGGCTCTGCACTTACTTCTCATGTGGTGTCATATTTCAGTCCCATGATATTAAACACAATTAAGGATGGGAAGATTGTTCCTTCTGAAGTAACTGTGAAGCTGTTACAAAAAGCAATTGAATCGATTGACAATGATAAGTTCCTGATTGATGGTTTCCCAAGAAGTGAGGAGAATCGTTTGCAATACGAAAGAATAGTAAGTGAATTTACTTTTTGCTAGAGTCGTGGAGTGATTGATGTACCCGTGTAGTCAATAAATCATATCTGTCTGCTTCTCTCGAACAGTAGACGAGAAAACGCAGGAATATATGAAGAGATGTTTGATTTTGTTTCTCAAATGCATGACACTATGAATGCAGATTGGCATGGAACCAAATGTTGTGCTTTTCTTTGATTGCCCTCAGGAAGAGATGGTGAAACGAGTGCTAAACCGTAGACAGGTGCATTTTCTTTTCTCCTTTAGATTTTTAAGGAATTCTATTTCATTTTCTGCTTCCCTCCATCTTGGAAAAAAGAAGTTATACAGTTTAACCCTTTAAGGATTTCAGGGGCGAATTGATGATAATGAAGAAACTGTGAAGGAGCGTTTGAAGGTATTCATGGCACTAACTATGCCAGTTGTTGATTACTATGCCAAGAGAGGAAAAATTTACAAGGTATGGACATCGTGCCTACTTCGTGAAATGTTTTAATTTTGGTCTGCATGTAGAATCTGACCATCTGGTTGACCTATGCAACCAAATTCTTTCCTGGAACTGGTTTATTGGTTAATACTACTTTTCATTTGACACCGCCAGGTGAGGCCTTCTTTTGAGAAATAGTTACTCTGCTGATATTTTGTTTCAACCTGTACTATAAATATCATGTCCAGCTGGTAATTTTTTCATTTTTATTTTGACTCCTGAGCACTTGGTAGTTCATTACATTTAACCTTGGCTAATTTCTGGAATAAACATGAATTACAAAGACAAATGTCTTAGAATCCCTTTTGTGATTGTCAAGCTGCTAGTTCCATTTTGTCTAATTTATTTTCTTAGTCGACATTAAGGTCCAACTGCTGACATTGTGAATCATCAAAATATACTCAATACTGTTGATTGAATGGTTAGGAACTACAATTTTTGGCCAGAGAGAAGCCTTAATTTTCATTGGATCGCAAATCTGTCATTCTATTTGTCTGTTATTGACATTACTCTAATTCATTGCAGATTGATGCTACTGGAACAGAAGATGAGATATTTGCACGTGTCCTCCCTGCCTTTGCATCTTTGCAGGTATGGTTTCATTAATTGTAGGTCAGGTAACTTGAGCTTTTATGTTGTTCTGCTAGACCCGTAAGCCTATCTTAAGACCCGGAAGCGACATGTCCACTGTCAACATCTGCATCTTCTGTATTCTTCTAACTTAAATGTTTGCTTTGCTTCCTTAATATGGAGATCTACTCCTTTTGCATCCAATTAATGTCACTCGTTCTTTCTTGCTGAGCCAGATAAAAAGAAGTTGATCGGGCTGGTGAAATAACTCCAGTAGGAAGATTCCCATTGGCTGCAGTGGGGGCATGGGTTTACCCATCTAACTATACATTGTTGAGGTGCTGCGGAGCAGTTTTCCTGGAGAGCCAGAACTGCTGTGAAATTTAAAATCAGATGTTGTAGTAATTATAATAAAATTTGAAAAAAAGGGGGAGAGTTTTTTACACTGCACCTCACATCCTTTCAAACCTGATTACAATATCTCGAAAAGCATTTTTGCCCTTGTGGACATGCATCCACTGCATAATTTGCAGTTTGAGATGGATTACCTTTTGGGACACTTGACTGGGCATAGGAAATTTACTGAGCCATGCAAAATTGTCCGATTGTTTTTGTGGACTGTTTGGCCTAGTTAATGAGGAAATGTGGTTGCAAACTTGAGTTTTTCATTCTCCTGGCCTTCCAGTAGGACGAGTTTCTTTTCCCCCTAAACTAAATGGATATTGTTTACCGGGAAAAAAACGCTGTTTGCAATTTGCATAGCCTGTCCTGTTCCTCGTAGTTCAAATAAAAACGCTATATATTTGTTGTTTTTCTTTGTTTGCTTCAAGTGAAATTTATTCTCTATAAGCCCGCGATGACCATAAGTTTGCCACCAAACCTTTGTCATTGCGAACTATCCGTCTGTAGGAAGAGAAGCACAGGGAAACAGAGCCAGCAAAACCTCAATCAAAACAAAAAATCCAAATTGTCGTTTCCAAAAGCAAAACCTACACCACTTTTAACCAACCGAGTGAACTCCTCACTTACAAAACTTCAAGCTCTTGAATTTGTCATAAAAGACCTCGAAACCTCGTCGAAGAGGGGAATCGAGATCAATGATACTGACATTTTTGCTTCTCTTCTAGAAACCTGCTTTAAATTGGGAGCATTTGATCATGCCCTTCGAGTACATCGTCTTATTCCTGGAAAACTTGTGCGGAAAAATGTAGGAATCTCATCAAAGCTCATTAGGATCTATGCTTGCAGTGGCCTGATGGAGGAGGCCCATCAACTGTTTGATATAATGCCTAAACGAGATGAGTCCGCTTTCCCTTGGAATTCACTCATAGCAGGTTATGCTGATATGAATTTGCATGAAGATGCATTGGCACTGTACTTTCAGATGGTTGAAGAGGGCGTGGAACCCGATGAGTACACATTTCCTCGCGTTCTGAAGGCTTGTGGAGGCATTGGATCGATCCAAATCGCAGAAGAAATTCATCGCCATATGATTCGTTATGGGTATGGTAATGATGGGTTTGCTCTTAATGCAATGGTTGATGTCTATGCCAAGTGCGGTGACATTCTTAAGGCTCGAAAGGTTTTCGATAGAATTAGAGACAAGGACTTGGTATCTTGGAATTCAATGGTTAAGGGATACATTAGACATGAACTTCAGGCCGAGGCAATGAATTTAGTTAGGACAATGGTTCGTGAGGGATTCAAACCTGACTCTGTCACTTTATCTGCGTTGTTTACAAGTGTCTCATCGTTGAAACTTGGACGTCAAATTCACGGATGGGCTCTTCGTAATGGGATTGGATGGGATTTATCTGTTGCCAATGCATTGATAGTTTTCTACTCTAATAGTAACAGATTAACAGAAGCTTGCTTGTTGTTTGAGCACATGCCAAGAAGGGATTCAGTTACTTGGAACTCAATAATAGCAGCTCATTCGAAAGATCGTAAAGCTTTAGTTTACTTTCAGCGGATGAAGACGGAAGCTAATGCCTTGCCTGATCGCATAACATTTGTGTCCTTGTTATCTGGATGTGCTTATTTAGGCTTGGTGGAAGATGGGGAGAAGTTGTTTAGCATGATGAGAAATGAGTATGGTATAAGCCCCATCATGGAACACTATGCCTGCATGGTCAATCTCTACTCAAGGGCTGGATTAATTGATAAAGCTCATGATATTATAGTGGAAAAAATGGAAAGTGCAGCTGGAGCAACTGTTTGGGGAGCGTTGCTTTACGGTTGCTACCTCCATGGCAATGTCGAAGTTGCAGAGATTGCTGCCACTGCTCTGTTTGAGTTGGAGCCTGATAATGAGCTCAATTTTGAACTTTTGATGAAGGTTTACACCAAGGCAGATAGGAATGAGGATGTTGAAAGAGTTAGGAGAATGATGGTGGAAAGGGGACTAGACTGTTAGACCCTGTGTGTATTCGTTATGGAATGGTATTCGTGTGCCCGGTGAAAGATAAAAACTCGCCAGAAAGCGATGTCAATCTGGGTTTTTGTGTCCCATATCTTCCACCAGGTTGCACACCAAGCAAATCGAGAAGAGAGCTTTACTAATAGAAAACCTGGGATTTTGCTTCCCATCTTTATTGTCCTGACACAGCAGGCATTGAAAATGTCTGCAGGGATGATATAGTGGACCAGATTAAATCCACATTGTATATTAAGTTGAGAGCAATTCAGAGATCAAAACTTGTACTTTTACTATTGCATCATGATTGCATGAGCAAGCCGGAAAACTGGTCATAATGCGTAGAGATTGTAAGTTACAGCTTAGTAAATGTCGGCATATTTCTCAGTTATGGTATACATGTGGATTGCAAATCCACTCTATTAAGCTGGTTCCTTACTTCTTCTTTTTTTCCAAAGGAAGGAAGAGAGTTTATTCACCATTAGTTGAGGGCAGAATGAGGATCTTCAAGTTGCTTTGTTAAGGAGTAATGTTTTGACCATCGACAAGGGGGCCTTGCCGGTGGAGGAGAAAAAAAATCTGAGGCGTCATCTTCAGAACTTGTTAACTACTACCAAATTAAATAATTGGGCTACCCATCTTATGTTTGATTTGTAAGTCCTAACAACTGAAGTTTACGGGCGTTCACTGTGTTTCCATGATTTGTGCACAAAATCTTCCAGTTGATTGACAAATTAGTCAATCGAGAACAATGGGATGACCCTACTGTTTGAAATTTCAGTGGCATAAATATTTTCTTCAATTTCATCCGCAAATCAGGAGTTTGTCCCTAACCCTATATGGAATTACATTTCTTTTACATTTGGGTCTGATTTGACATCCGCAAGTAACGAATAAATTCTGAGACATTAGTGTATGGTGTGTCTGAGTGAGTGACCTGGGTTGGATTTATTGCAGTGATGAAACTCAGAATTTAGTGAAGGTATGAAATCATCAAACAAAATAAATTGTGAGGTTTTAATTTATTGAACATGGTTTTCGGGAGAATGGTGGGATTAGACCTAGACTACGGGGGGACAGGCAAGAACAGACTATCAGTGACTGGGGGAGTGTACACCATCTCTAGATGGATACTGGCCCATTCCCAATCCCAATGTGCGATAGCCTGAATTTTAAGGATCAGCTTTTTCTTTTATAAGAAAATAAACATTTACACCAATTTTAAAAATGCTCACGACCACCATGGTCTTTTCGTTTTCTTTTTTCTTTTTTTTTTTTTTGGGGTAAAAATTTTACACGCATTTCCTACGTTTTGAATGTGAAATGCAAAATGATATAGGCCTTATGAGTGTGACCCATCAGTTATCCAATCACACTCAGCATTCCATCTCAATTTTCATCTCAATTTTCATGTTATACTCCCTCTATTTTTAAATTTGAAATATATATCGATTTAGAATTTGATACATTTTTTTAAATATATATCGTTTTCGCAAATCGAGTCACATTTGACTATTTTTTACCAAAATTATCTTTATATCAGAAATGAAACAATATTAATAATGAATTTCTATTGGTTTGTGGTGGATTTTATAGACAAATAATAAGGGTAAATTTATATTTTAACTACATTAATTAATGTCTTCTTAGTTTTGATGAATTTTCTAGAAAGACATGTAAAAAGAAATGAAGAGAGTATATATTTTTTCCATATAGCAAGGTTTCCACTCTCCGTACTTAATCTGTTAATTATATATATCTCGATAAGAAAAAAATAGTTAGTGAAAGAATTTACACTTGTTTTCATATTCATTACTAGTTTTGAACCATCAATTTGTCTCATTCTCATTCTTTATATTTCGAAATTAATTTTCATCATTTTATCACATACTGTATTATCAAACTATAGACCCTGCCGAAAGAAAATTGGTTCACATCTATTTGTACATATGTTTGAAAACACGGACTGATCTACACTTTCTAAACCACGTGGCACAGCCACTCTACTTTGGAGTTTTTGAAGTAAGTGAAAGCCTACAAAGCTAAAGTGAGACAGATTTTCGTAGTAAAAGGAAAAGTTAGTTGAAAAAAAAAGTCTCTGATTTTTCCAATTCCCACAGCCTTTTTTGGCATTTGCTTTTGCTGCTTTTTTCCAAATCCCACAACAAACCATAGTAGCATCAGTTTTTTGACATTATTGAAGTCGCAAACAGTGTTTTCTTTTTTTTTTTGTTTTTGTTTTTGAAAGAAGTCACAAACAGTCTTGATTAAAACGGTTTCATTGAATGTCTTTTCAATAAGGCAAAGAGCTTCGAGTCTCGCATGGACAACGTATTTATCTTAAACCTTAATTTTATTTTGATCTTGCTTAAGTAGAAATGTAAATGTAAGTTCAGAATTTTTTTTTAGAAAAATAAAAGAACAAGAAGAATTTTACCTGGCCTTCGTACCACAAAACACCTTAACCAATCCACCGGCCCTAACTATTAAATGTTCCCCGTTCTCTTTCATCGTTTTTGGGGCCCCCCTGCATCACCAAACTCAGTTTTTCTTTCTCATCATAGACAAAAATCGAAAATGAACTTTGATACGAATCTAATAAAATACTCCCCACAATTCTTATGATACAGTATTAACAATCGTTTCTCAATAATTATAATAAGTAAATTATACTGAACAGTGAACACCAATCAAACTAATTGATTCACAACATTTATAATCTATTAAATTTTTTTTCTCAAAAATATTACCTTTGAAATTAGTTTACACAAGGATTGAAAGGAATAGTAAATTAAATAATTGGGAGATGCTTCAATCATCAAAGAAAATAGTTAACATTATGAGGCCGACGGATCTTTTCATGACAAAAAACAATGAAAGGCAATATGTCTAAATTCTTTTTTCCCACGAAATGCTAGATTTGCAATTGCATCGTTGCTGACAGCGACCCGGTGGGTAGGAGTCTACGTCGGTAGCAACACGTCAAAAACACAACATTATTAAACTCCATAAACAAACACGAAAAGATTTCATTCACCGTCACGCATATTTCCGTATTCATTTACATGAAAAGGATTCTTAAATTAAACTCTACAATTGAATGCATTTAATACGTTTCATATGATAAATTAGCGTGCAAACTTTGTGTACATATCAAAATTGATAATTTTGGAATAATTTTGACGTTTATATAGGAACCCGTCAATAGTTCGTCATTGAGATACATACTTAAAAATTACTCTATCTGTTCCAAAATTATTGTCCGATTTGAAAAGTCACTGTTAGTACAATTTAAACTAGAAATGAAACTTAAACTGAACAATAATTATAAGACGGAGAGAGTATTATATAATAACCCTCTTTTTTATTAGGATATAATAAATTGAGGTACATTACTTAATCTCGTGCCCACTACAGTTAATTCTTTTCTTACGTGGGACAATATTTCACCATGGACTAATTTGCTAAAATGCCAAACCCACTACGAGTTCAAGTAAATCGGCGCAGGTTAGAGAAGGTGGAGAAAAATAAACGGCAAAAATCCTATGGGCCCAAATTGCACGTGACCGTCACATTCATTTGCTCCCAATGTGAATTAGAGAATTTAATACTACTATATCATTTATCTTTTCCATGGAAAAAAGAAAAAAGAAAAGTGTGAAAAAGAATTAGTGTCCAATCCCAGCTATAAAATCTAGACATCGATTCTGCGCACTCCACATTCCCCCATTCCCTACATCTTTTTTCTCTCTCTTAAAAAAAAAAAGGATGGCTTCCCATTCTCTTACTTTACTGCTTCTATGTCTATCCCTTCTCTGCATCTCCGGCAAGTCCGATTCCGTACAGGCAGCCACCAGTTTCATCCGGTCCAGATGCAGAAAGACGACTTTTCCTGCTGTTTGTATCCAATCCCTCTCGAATTTTGCCCCCTCCATTCAGAACAACCCGAAACAGCTAGCCCAAACTGCCCTTTCAGTGAGCATAACCCGGGCTCAGTCCAGCAGAGCATTCGTGACTAAGCTCGCAAAATTCAAAGGATTAAAGCGCAGAGAATACGCAGCCATAAAGGATTGCTTGGAAGAGATGGCTGATTCTGTGGACCGGCTCAGCAGTTCACTCCAAGAGCTGAAGAAAATGGACCGGGCCCGTGGTGAGGAGATCTTTTGGCACATCAGCAATGCCCAGACATGGGTTAGTGCTTCACTAACCGACGATAACACCTGTATGGATGGGTTTGCGGGCCGAGCCCTGAATGGGAAGATTAAGTCATCAGTTAATGCCCGGATGACTAACGTTGCACAAGTGACCAGCAATGCTTTAGCACTGATCAACCAATGTGCTGGAAATTACAAGTAATAATCAATTAGGCAGTGACTAAGGTGAATTTTAGTTGTATGAATCTTGTGTTTGGCTAAAATGTTTAATGTATAGTATTAGTGAGTGAGCAAACTACCGGTGTTTGTTTTGCTTTTCTTGTTTGTAATATAGATTTAGCAGTGTGTGTCCTTTTCATCCACTGTGGCTTGTTTTGGCCTTTCAGAAATAGAAAATTTCAAAGGGGTTAAGCTAGCAGCCCTTCCTGCTTTATCTTTGTGTCCACTGACCACTTCTACTGGCACTTCAATTTTTCAAAAAAAAAAACAATTGCGGCAACAATTGGTACATATTGCGACATACTAACCTTTAATATAAGACTTTTTTTTCTCTAAAAATTTTATAATCTCCCCTAAATTTCACTAACGACTAAATGTTTGCCTAAATAATATATAGACCGTAGCCTAAACTTGCGGGCTCTTTTCACCGTCGGGCGAGAGGAGCAATAAGAATCTTAGAATTCAAAAAAAAAAAGAAAAAGATGAGACTACCCATACAACCGCCCCCCCATAATTATAAAAAATTATCTTTTTGGAGTTCATCATATTGTTTTCTTTGGATCATTCAAACTATTACATACTCGTAATTGAGGGTCAACATTTGAGTAATGTCCTTTAGCTTTACGTGACAAAAGGCCAAAGGTCGAACTGTGTCGTCCCCGATTGAAAATATAGTTGGGTATTATTAGTATATTACTCCCTTAATTTCAAAATATAATTCGTTTTAGATTTGAAGAAAAATTTCAAAATATAAATTATTTTAACATTTCTAAGTAAATGACTAATTTTCCAACTCTATTCTCAATAAATGATGTCAAAGATCTTTTGATTTAGTCTTGTTTATAGTTCTAATATAATTAATAAAAGATAAAACAGATATTTAACATAGAAATTAATGGTTGAATAATTTTTTCCTTAGTTTACGTGTAAAATTTAATACTCCATCCATTCTAAAATAAGTGTTGTTTTAGCAAAATGGAGAAATTCCAAAATAAGTGTCGTTTTCGGATTCTAATGTATTTTTTGTCAAAAATTTCTAAACATATCCTCAAGAGAAATAATATTATTGGTGAACATTTATTTTAATGAAGTTGGTAGAGGATATTCTAATAATTTAGTTACTTTAATTAAAAGTTTCTTAAATTGTGTGAAAACTCTAGAATAATACTTATTTTGAAACAGAGGGACTATAATTTATATTTTGAAATGGAGAGTATTTGCCTATGAAGTGAAAAAAACTGGGATTATGCCAAAGGAACACGTTATGAAAGAACTATTATCATAACAGCGGGACAAGTGTCATAATTGATAAAATAGTTTGTGAAGGGGCAGGGAGGCACTTGATCGATCGACATGATGATACTCCCTCCATTTTCAATTTAATTTATAGGTCGTTTTAAGTTTGGTAAGATTTTTCAAAATGTAGTTTGTTTTACAAATTCTAGATAAATTAATAATTATTTTTTCAACTTTACTCTTAATAAATGATGCCAATCTATTTCAATTAGTTTTGTTTATAGTTTCAATGTAATTAATGAGGATAAAACAGATATTTAATACATAAATTAATTGGTAGATGATTGTTGTCTTAATTTACGCGTAAAGTTTAAAGTGACTTATATTTTGAAATGGAGATAATAACAAGCAATCGGAGACTATTGGAAATTGTAGCGTTGATAGTACAAGAATCTCTCTAGAAACTCTCCAGATTTCCTCTCTCATATCTGCCATAAATTGCTTCCCCGAATTTGCCCATGAATGGGATTAGAAAGACTGTAATAGTGAAATGATGATTAGTGCCACTAGCCCACAATTGAGGTAGTGCTCCATATTATAGCACTTGAATATGGAGAGACAAACTGACTGATTGATTATACATAGTCGGTTCGTGCGTTAACCTTCCCCCTTTCAGCTAAAGACATGAAAGTCAGAGCAGAGTACATTTTAAGCCACAACATTTTGGATGTTCCCTCCGAAAAACATGATGTGTTAGAACCCATTATGTTCGGATGAAAGTACATTTCATTGATTCGCAATGAACATGATCTCTCCTTGATTATAGCTTCCAATGTGTCAACAGCCTAATCTGAGGTCCTAAACATTTCAACCCTATAAAATCTTCATCATAAATTACAAATTCCGCAGACCATATTCCTCAATTTCCCCCCACCAGGAATTCTATCATGGCCAGAATTGCAGTTTCATTATTGGCCCTTTTCCTTTCTGTGACATACGTTTTCGCAGGCAGTGTTCCCGTCTCACCTTCCCCCGGAGGTATATCCGCCGTCGCAGAATCGAAATTACAGGCCATCTGCAAGAAAACCCATGATACCAATTCCTGTATTCAATTGCTCACGCCCGCCATTACCCCGACAACGGATTTCGATTCCCTGGAATGGAACCGAAAAGTCGTGTCCAAAGCCCTGTCCAAATCCATCATTGCCAAGAATTTCATGACGAAACACGGCCGAGGTTTGGACGCCAAACATAAAATCGCGGTCACGAATTGCGTGGATAAGATGGATAACAGTGTGGAACTTCTGCAACAGGTGTCTCACGAGTACGTGGAATTGTACAAATCCGAAAGCTCCAAAGGATTCCTGTACGGTTATCATCGGAAAAATGTGCAGACTTTGATGGATACCGCGACGGCTGATCAGGAAGCTTGTTATACGTCGTTGGGAGGTTTCCAGGAACCAGTCCTGAAGCAGATGAAGGATTATGCAATGAGCGCATCTTTCGCGATTAAGATTGTATCTGATTTAGTCTTGAAAAAGTAAGTAATATACATATCTATGTATAGCGTCTGGCTGTTGCCTTAAAAAGAAGAGGAAAAAAGTATGGGAATTCTATTACAAAAGAGCCAGAGAAAATGAATTCTGTTAGCTTATTCAAGACCTGGCCTTTTTCTAAAATATTTTACCTTCAATTAATCAACAACGTAGGACAATTTTGCACTCTGGTGTCATGTTTCTGCAAGTCTATATACTATATATATAACACATATCAGCCTACAAGTTCCTGGTAAAACAGAGGAGTCGGCGTGAATCATGAAACATGGACGTCATAATATTTGAATCATTCAAAGTTTATCACTAGGACACCTCAATGCCAAAATTTGTTTTTTCTTGTAGTGATGAGGAAACACAAAAACTCCAACAGATAACATCCAGAAAAGAGGTAATATATCTGTGTATATGTATAAAAAAATGAAAAAAAAAAAGGAAGGAAATTACAGGTAACTACACATTTGCCTCCTTCATGACACCCAAAAAAAAAAAAAAAGAAAAAGAAAAAGGAGAGAGAACTATAATACAAAAGGATGGACAAATCCAGATTAATCAGGGCAAAGATTTTAGATACGGGTCACATCGTATGACATTGATAATGAGTCATTGGCTAATGTGAAATACTGCTAAAAACAACAAAAACTTCCCCCTCCCCTGTTTTTTACTTTTGACTCTACAACCATGCAGGGATTTCAATTGGTAATTACAAACCAGATCCTTGCCCTCATACTACAAAAGTAAACACTTGGATTAAGGCTCCTGAAAAACAGAAGCGTTTTGCAGAAAATGCAAAATGATCATTCACGATTAGTTCAAGGTCAACGCGAGATCAGATAATCTCAGATCGAACTAATTTTCTGATACAAAAACTTTAGTAAAGATGGCCGATAAAACACAGAGCATTGCTCATTAGCTGCTCTAATTTTCCCATGGAACTGTTGATCTTTTTCCTCACATCTTTAGAAACCTCCTTCTTTTCAGCGAATCCATCCCTGCAGGATTCGGCGTCGGATATAGCACCGCTGGCCCAAGTCTTTGCATCAGCCCATTTTGCATCTACGGCATCGCCCTTCAGATGTTGCATTGCAGTGATGGTTTGCTTAAGTACCGAAATCGAATCTCTCACATCGGAGATACAATCATGGAGGGCTGCACCGTCCCTTGGAGAAAGGCCTTTCTTTTTGGCCAATTTAGTAACGATGGTGGATACATTTTTGGCTCCTTCAACGGCAACCGTGACGGCAGTTGCGCAGAGCTTTAAATCACTGGTTTGAATAAAAGGGGCGTAGGGATTGAGTGTTTTGATACAAAGCTTGGAATGTGTTGCGGTTTTGCATTTGGTTTTGATGAAGTTTTTGTATGTTCTTGAAGCTTTGGGTGAGACTGCCGATGAAGTAGCTTGGGCCAAGGAGATCAAGGCCAAAAGTGTGAGAAACAGAGTGAAAATGTTTGAGATTTTGGTGTAGGAGTTGTATTTCTCCATCTTTCTGGATTATTGATGTTATCAGATGAGTTGTTGATAGGGGAAAATTGGTGCTTTTTGAGATGGAGGGAGGAAAGTTGTTTATATAGGTCGAGAGAGGTCAAGCTGCTAGGTGGACTAATTGGGAATATTAGGAGACATCCATTGCGACAACTGAATTTGATGGAGTCGAATAATTAACGTAAATTAAGGAAAGGAGTACATGCCTCTTGTGATGAGATGAGTTGGGTCATGTGCCACACTATGAAAACTAGTTTCATTGACGAATGAATGAATGATTGTGGAGACTGGTACTCACATGCCACATGGGCAACAAAATTTGCATTTCTGCATTCCCCAATTCTGTTTGCGAATTCTAGCCATTGCAGAAAGGAGTATTAGAATGATGTTGGGGCATATATTGTTGAATTGGTTTTGATGATCCATGCGCAAGTAAAGTGGCGTAACATTGCGGTGTAGAGGCGATGCTTTGGCTTTGGTTTTGGGCATATATTTTTAGGTTTGAGTTTTACTCATCTTCTTCAAGTGCGAACCATTTTAAACGTGTATTTTGGTCAGTTATACATCAATCAGTTAATCCAAAAGCTCAATTCAAACAAAATGACTTCGAGTTTCTTGTAATTAAAACTTGTGAGTCTTGTCCAACAAATACTTGATCCTTAATAAAAGTGTTTGGCTGATTTAACTATGAAAAGGATTTGGACATGCATAAATAAATTAAATACTTGTTGAGAGAGATTTTCGTCTCAAAAGGGATATACCCAACTTGAATTTGAACCCGAATAAGGACATGTAGTTACACGAACGGACCTACTAAATTAATCGGAGTAATGATTTCGAACACTGGGTGTGGAAAAAATAGAATAAAGAGAAAGTAATTTTTTTGAGATTGAGATTCTATGTGGTTTGCCGCCATGGGTAGCTACGAAGTGTGTTAAAATATGACTTCATCAGACGAGTAATCACTTAGACTCTTTAGAGTTTCTTTTTTAAAAGAAAAATGATATATATATATATAGTGAATAAAAATAGTGACAAAATATAGTGACTGATGTAGATTAATTTTTTGTCACTTTTCCGTTGAAGTTTTATTTTTTTCTCAAAATTATATTTTTACTCTTGATTAATAACTAGACATGTTTAGTAAGTGTTGGTGTATTTTATCTTTTCATTTGTCATTATTCAAATTAACTATAATTTTTCACTATCGCTATAATTGCCAAAAAAAATCCTCCCAAAGAAAAGAAAATCAATCATTCCATGTTATTCTGCCCAATCTAGGTACACTTACGGTTTAAATTTTTTAGTTAAAAATAGTGGTTCCATTCTGGGAGCAGAACAATCTACACATATTTTTGAGTTAGAGGTAGTAGTTCATCCCGGGTTTAGTTTAGGTTGTCCTCCCCCGATAAGTGCTATATTGATAATCCTCTCATCACTGTCAATTGTCAAATGTATACAAAAGGGGGAAGAAAAGGGAGTTTGGTAATGATGTGAATGCAAGTCAAATGTTTGTTTGCCGAATGTAATTTTTCGAGTAGATTATTAGGAAGACGATATTACTCTATACTCGATGTCTTGTTATAACTTGTGTTAAAGTTTGCAGAAAGATTAAAAACATTTCAGTATTGGGAGAAATGTTATGTATTCACTATGGCAGCTAATTAATGCCAAGAGTTCATTTTTCTCCCCCCACTAAAAAAAAAGCCTAAAAACTCAGAGCATAACGGCAAAAAATCAGTATGTATATCAGTGTAAGAAGATAAACAAAAGATGAGCTACGTTACAACATGACTAACGCGGCCGTGTAAGTATTGACTATTAGTCAAACGGTCTTGCGAATTACTAAAACGACTTCAAATATAACACTTGGATTGAGTCTCTGGAAAAATTGAACTGCCTGTTGGATATATGCAAATGCTTCAAGGTGAACATGACAAAAAATCCCAAAACTTTTCAGGAATTAACTAAAAAACGAGCTCCAACTTTAGTAAAGATGGTTGATGAAAAACAGAGATATGCTCATGAGCTTTTCAATTTTAGCAAAGGAACTGTCAATCTTTTGCCTCACAGCTGGCGTTACTCTCTTTTTCACAGAGAACCCATCCCTGCATGACTCAGCGTAGGATAAAGCAGCGCTGCCCCAAGTCTTGGCATTAGCCCATTGGAAATCTCGGTCAGGGCCTTTGAGATGTTGAAGTGCGGAAATGGTATGCTTCAGCTCTGAAACCGCGTCTTTCGAATCGGAAAGGCAATCTTTCAGGGCCGCAACATCCATTGAAGAGAGTTGTTTTTGGTTGGCCAATTTCGTGACAGTTGTGGATGCATTTTTGGTTCCGTTAATGGCTGCTTCCAGGGCAGTGGTGCAGAGCTTTAAGTTGCTGGTTTGAATCGTAGCAGCGAATGGGTAAAGGGTTTGGAGACAGACTAGGGAATTGGTGGCGGTGCTGCATTTGGTTTTGATGAAATTTGTGTAGGTAATTGTGGCTTTGGACGATGCTACTGATGATGATGATGAACTTGCTTCCGCCAAGGAGAACAAGGCCAAAAGAGCCAAGAAAAACAGAGTGAAAATGTTGTACTTCTCCATCTTTTTTTTCTGTCAATAAAACTCGATGTGTTGGATTGGACAATGGTGATTTCGTGAAGGGGTGAGTAAATGTGTATATTTATATATAGGGGTGAGAGAGGCCAAACTGCCAGGTGAATGATGTGATAACAGAATTTGAAAGAAGAAGATGCACTGAACAAAATGACGCAAAATAAGGCAAGAAAGTAAAGGCGATGAGTTGGATCATGTGTGAATTTGTGATATATGAACATTACTCCCGTTGACAAATGATTCTGTGAAATGTTCTTTACTCACATGCCACATGGGCAGAAACAATTCTGAATTCCCCAGTTATGTGTCTTTTCTTTTTCTCTGAGATCGGTTTCCAAATTGAGCAAAATTCTTTTGGTCAATGAAAATAATGGTACATCACTTTTTGGTTCCTTGATTTTGTGGGAAATTCTTTTTTTGTCCATTAACTTCAATTAAGTTCATACTTTTGGCCTAACTACTTTGTTGTTGATCTAATTTAACATAATTAAGGAAATCGGTGTAAATTAAAACCAAAAAAACTGCAACATTAGTGCGACATGCAAATTTCTGTTTGTCAAAATTATTGTGTGAAATCATTTTGATGAGGTCCGTCATCATGTTGGTGAGAGCGTCTCGTACTCGTACATGATAGAAGGTGCCATTTGCACTTTGATCCTTTTTCTTTTTTTTTTTTTTAAAAAATTATTTTTCCATGCAGAAGATTAGTTTTTTGTGCTGCAAATGTAGTTTTCCATAAGCAACCAAAACAATTTTGACTATCGCATTCCATTAAATGCCGCCATTCATTGATAATCTTCAGTTTAGATTTTCATTTTTTGTTGAATTTGTTTAAAAATTAAAATCTAAATTAAACAATAATTTAGGGATGAATTAAATATTTGTTTCGTTTTCTTAGTGTGTTTTTAGAATTTTTTTATTAGAAATGTAAAAGGATGTGTTGGAAATGTAAAATAGTATGCTGGGATAGGACATTTATTATTTTATGAGTAATGATATTCCACTTTATTATTTTATAACTCTACTTACATGGCAATCCTAAGTGTACATCTACATTATTTATAATAATTTTTTTGTTTTAAAGAAAATTAAAACCAGATCAGAATTCATCGTCAAAATTTCCCGTCTCCAACAACTCAGGCAAGCACTCGGCTCTCTCAATTCCTAGTCTAAATTTCGGTACTTCATGAGTCATTGTCAATCCGTTTACTTCAACAACATGATCCAATCCTTTTGCACCGAATAAACCCCCACATTTAGAAGAACATGATTTGAAACTTCATCAATAAAAGTATGAATCCCCTTCTCTAAAATAAAAACAATAATAATTCTCTAATTACGAATAAAAATTGAATCTAAATCCTATGGAGGCAAACCGAAGAAGAGACATAAAGAACATACACCCAACAATGGCACTTAGAAGAGGAAACCGCAAAAAATAAATTCGAGAATTGAGGACACAATAACAAATTCATGAGAAATCACGATGTAAACACATAACCGGTGTACAATCGGTGGAGATTTATGAATACCAGTGTGCGACAAGCGGCGATTGTGAAGATTTGTGATTAAAAAAAAAAAGTCTGGATTTTTTTTTGAGAAATAGAGGTTGGGATCGTTGAGGAGACGGAGGAATTTTAATTCTCTAATAATTTGCTTAAATGATTTTTTATATTTGATAAAAATTGGTCCTTTACATTATAATTCATTGATTTGATCTTTTACATATGTATTTTACACTAATTTAATCTTTTTTACTTTTTTTTGACCCCTTATATTTGGAGGTTCTTGAGTTGATCATTTCTTGGTTAAGTCAACCGGGGTATTTTGGATAACTTTTAATTTTTAAATTTTTGAAAATATTAAAAACCCCGGTTGGCTTGACCATGACATGGTCAACCCGAGAACCCAAAATGTAAAAGGTCAAAAAAAAAATAAAAAGGACTAAATTAGTGTAAAATATATATGTAAAGACCAAACCAGTGCATTGTTAATGTAAATGACTAAAATAAATTTTTTGTCAAATGTAAAGTACCATTTGAGCAATTTACTCTTTTAAGAAAATAAAATTTTATATGAGGTGATGCAGATTTACACTTAGGATTGCCATGTTAGAGTCATAGCTAGAATTATAAAAGTAAAGTGAAATATCTTTACTCTTATTTTATTATTATGGAAAAACCATAAGAAAACAAAACAAGCAAGCCCAAATATTTGTCGCACACTGGCACCAAAGCTAGGTATGAGTTTGAATGGACAGCGATATTGCGGCAATAATTAGCTGCCACACCAAAAAAATAGTGTGTGTTTCCAATATTGGTCAAAGGTTCATTTTACTCTCTCTTCTTCCTCATTATCATCGTCTCCTCCCTGAGAGGCTGAAACCCCACTAATTACAACCTCAACTACCATCATCGATCATCATCCCTTCATAATCACCGCCTAAATTTATATTCACTCACAAAACAAGAAATTTTGTAATTCTATCTTCATTCAAAGGACGATTGAAATTCTACAAACCCATATTCAAATGAAGAAACTTTGAGCCATGTCGCTTGAATTGGTGACAACAATCGGAATAAGTGCCCATTGAGACAGGAAAGATTGACGCGCCGTGCGGGGATCCAAAAGAGTGGAGGAACATGGATCATTCCAAAGGCAAAAGAAAGACGATAATGAGGTGGTTTCTGCTTCGATCAGCCCGATGCGGTGCCAATGTGATGAATACTCAGAGATAACAAAAATTAGATGAAGTAAGTTTAACTGGGCTGAAAAAACTCTGTAGATAAGAAGCTGGAGTGGGGTTCTCGAATTCGGGGATGGCTGGATAAGATTCCATCTTGTTCGTCGATTTTTTTTTTTTTTTTCTTTGAAAGGAATCACCAATTGAAAATCATCACCGTCATCACTTTTGAATTCTTTTTTCTTAAAAAATAAAAAAAGAAAATAAACAAAAATAATGAGTGTTGATCTTGGCCGAACTCCAAAAAGTCCAAAATCTATAGGATCCAAAACAACTTTCCCATCAGTTAGGCAATTGGACTTAAAGATGAGAGTTATAAGCAATTAAAATATAGGGATCCTAAATACCTAACAATGTGTACCTAGTATGAAACACACGCGCCCATAATCTCAAAAATTCTGAAACTACTATTTATTATTCTTTTTTATGAAATTTTTTATTTTTAAATTTCCATAACCGATTATTCACCCTAATTATCCGCCATTTATGATACCATTTCATCCATTCCATCTGCAACCATAATATCAGATATTTTTCATTTTGCATCATTTTGATATACTAAATTCTCATGTCGACAGTACTCTTGAAGACGAAATCAAATTCGTGCAGCCAAAACTGGGATTTTGCATCACCTTGCTGAGTATTACGGTAAAAAATCATGTTATTCATCCCTTTTGTGTGGTTGTTTCCAAAATTTATCTCTTAAAAATATAAATTTGTCCGCTAAATCTTGTTTGGAATTCTCAAAATCTTTGTTTCAGATTTGCCAATTCGAGCTCGTTCGATAAATCGTTGAAGGTTTATGGATTCAGATTTGTTGTGAACAATAACAAAATTCAAATTTGGTGAATCGACGGAGGCTTATGGATTCAGATCTGTTATGTAAAGAAGAAAAGATTAATAGATCTAGATATTTTCGCTTAGTTATTCATTAAAATACAATTATTCATCTTGTAAAACTACAACTATTCTTCATTGTAATATTGTTATTCATTTAGGATGATATCATTATTCGTCAGGTTTGCATCGTTATTCATTTTTGTGAATGTAGTTATTCATTACAAAATTTAAATTTATTCGTCCATAACGTTGTCACTATAAGAACATCATTGTTCATCACGTCCATAACGTTGATATTATAAGCACCAAAAGTCTTTTTCTCAGAGTTGAAAAATCATCCAATAAGCACATCATCTGTTATTCATTAATAACAAGTTGTTATTCATTACTTAAAATACGATAATCATCGTAAATCTGAACAAGATGATACACCATCTGCCAAAAAACAACAATGAAATTCATGTTCATCAGTAACCATATATTGCGCGCATTACCTTACACATGTATATTCACCAATAAAACGAATACATTCTACATCAATCATCTTTCAATAATTGTATAACAGTATTCATTATCTAAACGTTGGTTATTCATTACTGAAAAAATACACATTGATTCTTCATATTCATAAGTCTCAATGACTAACCACAGTCAATTTTACTAAAATAAAATCCATTGTTATAAAAAAAATTATCTCATATAATAAAATAATATAAAAGCTAACATGATAAGCAAAAAAAATATTTAAAATTAAACGTGTGTAAAAAAAAAAAGATAAGATCAGGGAGTTAAATACCAAAAAAAGGGGATAAAATTATGGGGATAAATGCCAAAAAGTGATTAAATGCGCGTGTGGGAACAAAAAATCAGGACTAAAATGATCACTTTTTTCTTCCAAATTTGTGATACACGCACTGCCTAAGTATATCTTGCAGGAGCTTAATATTATTTGCCAGTTATAAGAGGGTAAAAAAAAAGTAAATCTTATTTTGTCATTTACTTAGAAACAGACTCCAAATAAAAATTGAGCCCGTGGATCCGCTCTTAACAGAATTTACGAGAATGAAGTGAAAAAAGGTGCTACGTGTGGCCCTGTTGTGCAACAAAGCTTTGGTTGAGTAGTCAGTCGGCTATGATAATCCAACATTACAAATGATATTCACCATAAGCAAATTATTTGCCAGCAAAACCTTATGATTCAACCTAGAGCCTAAGATCTTTTCACATCTAGTTAGCAAAATATCAACAACATGTTTTACCATGGCAACTTTGATTCTCTAACCAATGATCCATAATTCTATCAGAATGTAGCTATAACTTTGATTAATGGGATTGAGTATTTGAGTTTTAAAGGCTGGACGGATTGAAGATTAAGAAATATATTTCATAATTAAAAAAAGGGGAGTGAATGGCTGGATTTGAGCTTGAAGGGAGGAGCAAATTTACAAATAAGGGTAGTATTGGAAACAAATGTCTTTTTTTGCTCTGGTCACTAATTTTTGCCCTGGTAATATCATTATGAGTTCTCCTCTTGAAACATTAAATATTTGTCAAACTATAAGCCAACCAGTTAAATTCGAAATATATTATAATGTCATCTAAGTGATTGTTATAACAGGAGCGGAGCTACGCAACATTTTTCAAAGCCTCAATTTAGCAAGAGATTTAGGGTATAATCTATAGTACTTAATTAAAGCAACAAACAAAAAGGACATGTGTCAGCACTACAATGAAAATTTTTCCGTCAAAATCCATTTTCAGTACAAAATCATTTTTGACAAGTGGCACTTTAACTAATTAGAAAAAAAAAGATGGAATAGATAAATACATAAATTCCTTAATTATAGCTATATAAAAATCTCTTAATTATAGGTATATATTAATCTTTTAAAACAACAATATTTAATTAATAAAATCAAATGTGAGGAAATCTCCTTAAATCAAGTGAAACACAACAATGTCTTCCCAATCCTCAATTTCAAAGAATCTCTTCCATTCCGCTCATCTCTCACACCCGGGCCTTTAAATCAATTATTTAAAATCTGACATCAATTATCAATCCATCTCTTTCTACAACAGAGACAAAATAAGCTGTCATGAAAGAAATTTGATTTTTTTAAGGATGATTTTTTTTTTTTGAATTCTTCTGTTCTAGATATTGGTTTATAATTTATGTAAATCTGGGCGTAAGTTAACTGTTGTAAATTAAATGTTATAAATCTGGGCATAGATATATGTATAATAACTCACTTTCTGTCCTTTCAATCGATTTTTTATTCTTCTTTTTTTTTTTTATTCTTTTAAGAATGATTCGTATTTTTTATTTAATCGATTTAAAAATACAGGCGGCACCCCGGACATTCGCCCGGGACAAGCATCTAGTAACAGTATTAAAGACAGAGAAAGACATTGTGGGCTGTCCATACTTGGTTAATATAGTATGTGATAAGGGAGTTGTGCGAAGTCGAGCTAAAACATATTGTTCCTGAGAAAAATTTTGTAGTTTTACTTGGCCTCGTTATGGCAATTGGTCCAGGAAGATATCGATAACGTCGTAATTTGACTTTTATCAAAGGTTTTAACCTCTTTTATTTATTCTTTTAAAATCACTATTACTCAAATGAAGTCATTATTGCGAGTAGATGTCAAAAGTAATTTATCATCTTCAATATGTACCATACCTTAATTAGGTTAACTGAAAACAAGAGAGCCAAAAGAAAGGGAGGTTACAACATTAGTAGGTTGATACGGGAGGGACCAAATGAGCGATTTAGACTTAGAATAGAGGAGAAAACTTAAGTGGGTTTTTAACTCAACATTAGAAGTATCACCACGCTGCACCGTTGAAGTATTTAATAACTACAAAGTTGGGATCTTAACTCAAAAATTCCCAATAGTAATTCAAATGGTTTTTTTTTTTTAACAATGATTCAAATATTTGTTAAAAGAAGTGTCTCAAGAAAGACATTTACTTGATTGACGAATCTGATTTAGTTGAGGCAGCGTATCCGATATAATTCAATGTAATATTTTAAAAAAAGTTTACATCGATAACACTAACCGGATAGATTCCATGGCACTTCAAATGTAAGCCCTTCGGTTGGGATTTCTTTGTTAATATATGCAAATGATCATAATCTATTACTAGTTCGAGGTGAACTAGATAAAAAACAACATCCAAGCTCAAACTATATTTCAGATGGTAATACTAAAAGACGAAGCCTATTTAATCAGTAAAGATGGTTGATAAGATACAGGGCATTACTGATCCTCTGTTCTACCAGTAGTAAGGAACTTCTGATATTTAGCCCCACAGCGGAAATCTTTTTCTTTTCAGCAAATCCATCTCGGCACGATTCAATGTCGGATTCAGCAGCGCTGCCGTAAGTCTTGGCATTAGCCCATTGAAATTGTCTGTCACGGCCTTTAAGACGTTTCAAAGCAGAGTTGGTTTTCTTGAGTTCGGAAACCGCATCTCTCATATCAGATTTGCAATCCCGGAGCGCTGCCATGTCCATCTTGCTCAACCCTTTCTGATTGGCGAAGTTGAAGATCGTTTTGTTAGCACTTCGGACACCTTGAATGGCTACGGTGACGGCAGCATTGCAGAGGTTTAAGTTGCTTGTTTGGACAAAAGAAGCATAGGGATACAGTGTTTGGTAACAGAGCTTGGAATATGTTGCGGTCCTGCATTTGTTTCTGATGTAGTTTGTGTTTGTGTTTGTGTTTGAAGCTTGTGGTGGAGATGGAGTTGGTGCTGATTGAGCCAAGGCAATAATAGTGAGAAAACTGAAGATTACTTTGGTGAAGTTGTAGGACATTTCCATCTCGATTGCGCGGATATATCAGATAATGATTTTTTGTTTGATTGGGTGGGGAGTTTGGTGTGATTAGATATTGAGAGAAGATGAGGGTTTAGTATTTATGTAGAGGAGCTATAAGCCAAACTGTCAGGTGGGGGGAAATCCAATGTGATAATTAATTAGTAATTATTTAGTTAACTGAATTAGATGAAGATGAAGCCATTGACGCAAAGGCCTAATTTGATGAAGATGGGTTGGGTCATGTGTGAACTGTGAAGTTTGAATATGATGAACTCTAACTTCCGTTGACAATTGGTACCGTAGACTGTACTGTCTCACATGCATGCCACATGAGCTAGTAGTGTCTACATTCTCAATTCTGTTTTTGGAATTTTTAAATTTCATTAGCACAACAGATTTTATTTTATTATTTTTTTTAGTTCTTTTAGAAGGTAATCACTTATTTGGCCCCTCACTATTGATATTTTCTCAAAAATCACCGAGCAATGAAGCTGGTTTCAAGTTTTTACAGGAGTTATGTTACGGGCAAGTCTTTTTGCTCTGGCTTGAACCAGAAATGAATCATTATTATAAGGTGGTGAAGATATGAGGATTCATGGGGAGATCGATTTCTAATAGTCATTCCTTTTTCTTCTCAACAAAAGCAAGAAAAGTGAACATAAGGAAAAAAATTCATGTGATTTGGACGTAAAATATTTGAATATGATATTTGCACATTACAATATCTTTTTTTTTTTTGAAGTGCAATTCTCATTTGTGCAAAAGTCAAAAGAATCTGTACTTTTTATTTGGTTTAATGATAACAATTATAGTTCAGAAAGTACATGTTAAATTGAAAATTGAAGCATTGTAAAAGTTTTGATTCCCCCGATCCCAAAAAAGCAAGAAAATTGTAAACAAAAAGGAACATGAGACCATGTGCGCTCTTCACACGGCTAATTAAGCCCGATGAAAAATAATGGCGAAGTTTAATTAAGAGTCCACAAAGACACTGAAGATCGTGCAGAGCCCAACACAGAGTAACATGATCCTGCTTCATTCGATTGCCGCTATATATTGCACCAAAAATGGCGATGTTTTTGGGATGTATATGATCTGATTCTGCACTTTCATACCTGGAAAATGGAAATATAATTAAAAATATAATTAGCTAGAATTTCTTGATTCAAAAAAGAAAAGGAAAGGAAAACGATGCTTGATCTCTAAAGTTACAATTGGAAGATTAACCTTCCATGTTCCAATTTTTCTCAAACAAAATAAAATAAAATTCCAAATTCCAAGTTGCGTATTGTTGGAAAAAAAGAAAAAAAAAAACAGAAAGAAAGATTACAGTGTGTTTGTTTAAATCCGACGAAGAAATTGAAGACATTTTTATACAATGATGGGGAACATAATTAATTTCTTTCCCAAAATTAATAAAATAAAAAACACCCGTTATATATAGATAGCTAATTAAAATTCACCATATACTTTCTCATTGATTTAGAATACTGTCGGTTTGACCTACAATACCCCAAATCTGTAAAATAAAGGTTAATATTCTGATATTTACGTTAATAAAGATCTTTAGAGGAAAAAAAATATAAAAGACATATGTAGTTACCGTACAATCACTCAATAAACTATTTAAATAATTGCTAAAAATTTTCTTAAGAGCATTTGAGATGCAAAGTTAATAATTGAACCTTTATCAACAATATAGCGTTTTTGGATGGATTTTAAAAATTTTTGGCCTTTTAAATTATTTCAACTTTTTTAAAACAATAATTAACCTATTATAAAATTAATAATTTTAAATAGGTTGAGCCCTCTCTAGAGTTTGGCCCTGGACGGTCGCCCTTTTCGCCCCCCTCCAGGACGGGCGTGCTAACACTTAACAATGTTCTATGCATAATTGACATTGAAATTTGAAATTTTTTTGGGGGTATGGCCTATGATATAGTACGACATGAGCAGTTGAACATCTAGATCAATTATTTTATCTCATGTGGATATCATCTGATTAAGAGCTTAATTGTTGATCAATGCATTCAAAGTTGAACTTTGAATATATTGTTTTTAAGCAGTTATAAATTCATCATTCATAATTGAGCAACAGAAAACTAATACTAAAAAATATCGGCGGCTGCAGAAACAAAAAAGAAAAAGAAAAAGAAGCCGGCTTTGTAAATAACCATATCAAAAAGAGCTTAGTCAATATTCCACTTATCTACTCAATGATTTTCATGCATGCATGCCGCCTGTTTGAGTGATTGGCAAGTTATGAGGATTTGGATTTCGTCCATTGGTCAAAAGTCGACCTCAATGAATCAAAGAAGGTTAGATTCATTAGTCCAGACAAACAGATCGTCAGTTTCAGTTTTTGGTCTCGCTGTTGTTCTAACTTCTAATTTTGAGTAAAAATTTGATGGGGACTTCAACCACATCTGATCGATTACTTCACGGTGGTGTCGGATTGAAATTTATTTCACCTTTTGTTAGATGAACACTCATTCAATTCCGTCCCATGATAACCGTTTCAAGTTTCAAATTCTAATAAACTTCTTGATATATGTAATAAATCAGTTAATTATACTATTTCGATTTTAGAAATTTAGAACAGGACTATAAATATTGTGGCATAAATGGAATATTGGTTGCTTTATTGATTTCGTAATCAATAGCGGAAGCAAATTAGAGGGCCTTCGCCATTTGCTCCTACCGGCGACGCACGCCGATTGTATTTTTCGTTGGCAATTTTTGGTTTAACAAAACCTTCTACCACCGGGACCATAAGACAAGAAATAGCAATTTTTAGTTTGACGAAACCTTCTCCCGTCGGCGACATAGGACAAGAAATAACAGTGATTCGCGGGCATTCTTCCACTCAAAAAAAAAATCTGCGTCAAGCTTCTGGTTGATAGTCGAAAGACAAGCTTCCGATTAGCATGATGATGAACCCGGTGGCCACCAGACGCAACGAGTCGCATCAATGTATAGTCCAATTAAATCTGTTCTACCGAAGATCTACAAGATTCATTTACTAAAACGATTACGATTGGTCCAAAATTCAGACAATACTATTTCGAGTGGTTTCCCGACGGCCAGAACATTTCAATCTCATTCCTCAAATCAAATTTTGGAAGGACATCAAAACTCTACGGCTGCAAAATAATTAAATATGAGGGACTGTTTTATGAATTAAAAAATAATTTTTGGGGATTAGAAACAAACGAACTTTGAAATAATCATAAAGACAAGTTAATATATATGGATTGTCAGTAAGCCAGCTCCGTGCTCCAAGGATCTTCACCATTAATCTCTTCTTTAACATAAATTAATGAAAACTCCAAAATCAAGAGGTTTCGTTAGCTTCGACCTTCACCAGCTCCCTGCACTGTTTAGAGTTAATTTTTAAAAAGAACACAGAACAATTGAACAAACAATGCATCAAAACACTACATATCCATCCATGTCGAGAGACTCGATCGAGATTAACAAATCGTATCATGGTGGGAAAAGAAATGATAGATTAACGCGCGCGCGCGCACATGTTAATTCAAATTTATTCATGATTTCTCTTTCGTGTAATTTGCAATTGAACAGAGAGCAAATAAATCCCCGATATTCTCCGGGACAAATCAATTGAGGCATGGATGCAACATCGCAAGTTATCTGGGAATTCTGTTGAACTGTAGCTTTATACTAAGGCAAAGCCGTCCAAAGAACGAGTAAATTACACTCCTTTAATTAGTGTCTGGATATTCAAATTTAATATTCTTTCCGCACCAAAATTATTGTCCAATTCGGATTTTCATTTTTAGTTCAATTTATATTAAAACTGAATTAAATAATAATTTTGAGACGGAGGAGTAATGTAAATGAAATGATAACAATTTTATAATCTATGATATGATCATTTATTTGCCACTAGCTAGCTACATAATCATCATATTCGCAACTGTGGCTAGATATTTCTGATCGTCGAGGATGGATATCCTCTATACATGCAAAACCCAGGTGTCCCAATTTTTTCAACGTTACATTCACATTTTTTGTCCCCAAAATTAGTGACTTTTAGGAACAGATTTTGCCATATTTCCTCCACAAATGGTTCGTCAGACATAATCCCTCCGGATGCAAGCAAACATCAGCGTCCATGTCACCGTACTTGCGCCACGAAAATTCTTTGGTTCGCTGGCTTAATTGTTTCGGACGTTCCCCGAATTGATGTTTTTGTTATTTTAAAACAAATCCAAAGGGGTGATCATCAATTGGCCAACAAGTGACTTCAAAGCTCATGCATGCCGACATTATTTTATTTGTTACTCCAATTTACCCATTCATTGATTTTTATTTTTTTTTTGTGCGTCTTCATTTATTTCATTTCATACGTGGACAGTCATTTCCATGTATTGAAACCACTGGGCCATCCTAAGGCTCCACTTTTACAAGTGGAGAAGGGAAAAAGCCGAAAGTGATTAAGCACATGCATGTTTTAGCCACCAAAGAAAAAAATAAAAGAAAATAAATTTTCGATGTGGTAATCAATCTTAATTAAGGCCCACGTTTGATGGGACTAGGATACTTATAATTAAAAATTAAAAAAAGAATAACAAGACAATATTTAGTGGAAAAGTGGAGATAATGTTTCGTATGGAAAAAATAAAAAGATCTCGTACAGTGTTATACGGGCAAAAAAATCAATTCTAATTACTCTTATTCTTTTATGTCTTATAAAATAATGTACATTACAATTTGTAAATTGTATTTTCTTTGAACAATTTATGAATACATTGTGGAAAGTACTTAATAGTGTGACTTGAATCATCCTGAATTCACTAGCCGTTAGTGACACAGTGACCTGCATCTGTATATGCCAGCATCTGTCGACTTCAAACTCAAACATCGACGTTCAGTTCATACATAACATCTCATAATCGCACTGTTCTCCAATTACAAATCCGAAATGAACACAATGATCTATGTTCACACGTTGAGTTAGTAAGTTAGTTCACATTCACAAATAATTCCCGTTTCAAATAATGAAGTTTCAGCTAGACAACTACAATTGATTTCTCTGCCGACTATATGGAGTACATGTTAATGATGCCTTAATAGCGTTGGTAATAAAAGAGCAGTACAGCAAACAATTTATCCTTAATCTGATCTCCTCCAGCAACGAAATTGCTCTGCAATGGAAAATACTAAAATAATCGAATGAATTGACACAGTGGGGAACCTAGTTCAAATATTTATGAACTTACGAGTTGTAACATCCGAACTACGGTTATTAATGTCTCTTTCGCTCTTCGTTACTCTTTATAATCAAGTGTTTCAATGCACTTGTCCAGTTGGCTCTGGAGTTCAGAATACAATCGATCCAAATATAAAATTAAGCTACCTGCCCACTTGACAATAAACTCGTTAACATGAGTTTGATGATATACGTCGACTACGAGGAATCAAACCTTAAAATCCGACATCTCTCCCTATTTAGAGGTTTATTTGATGTGCAATATTTGTGTTCATCTGAACCTATAGTAGTCCAGAAAGTTGGCCAACTTTTGAATTTTGGTTGTATTCGTCGTGGTCGACGTAAGTTATACACATCCCGTCCTATTCCCGTTAGGTCGGAATATATCAGTGTTTATCCAACACGTGGCCCCATTTGTTTAATTATTAGAGGTCCCTACTTTTAAGATATTTCTAATTTCTGTACAGCCGTCAATCCCAATTAGGTCCCACCCCCAGAGAGCTACAGCATTTAGATATTTTGTTGGTTCTTTAATCTCTAATTTAGTTGAGGAAGTTCTTTTTGAAAGTGCAATTATTTGAGGCTGCACAGTATTTGCAGAATGCAGATATTTTGGAGTTTGATTTTAATTAACTGGGGTCGGATAATTCCTCTTCAATCTTGGCTGCTTAATATGTTTATCTTTGCAATTATATATATCGTGCGGGGCCCCGAAGGGAGTTGTGGCGGCCCAAGAGTTCGATCTTGTGTTGCTGCTGATTGTCTCTTTAATTTTGTGGCCTTTTGATTGATTGATCGCCTTTACCGTACTCAAGGTTTCACCTGTGTAACTCACAATAATTTGGATAATTGGATATGAAATTATTATATTTACAAAAAAAACAGTATAATTTATAATTTAAAATATATAACTACCTAGGTGGGACGGATGGAATACTTCTTAACCTACGAAGAAGAAAAGTGAAATTTAGCATAGTATCCGTACGATGGAAGAAAACGTAGTTAATTCAGTCAATAATATATTCTTGGATTGAGGAATTAGTATATTATATATAGGTTTTCGTTTACGTCTTTGAACCAATAATTGAACCCCAAATGCATGTATAGATACGCTTTACGGCCGAAATGACAAAGACAGTGATCATTTGCTTCCGTGAATAGCATGACGATGAATTCTACCCAAATTCCTGTCCTTTTCTACGTATTAACCATTGCAACAGAAACCAATTAAATGAGTTGTTACTATAAATATAGGTCATTTGCTTTCCATTTTCATCACCAAATTCAAGTTTTCATCATAGATAACAAAACTTAGTATTTCCCAAATTGAGAAAATGGCAGGCACTTTCTTTAACCATCTTTTTACAGCTTTTCTCTTTGTCATTTCATTGGCTCATTTTTGTGTCACCCCTTCCTCAGCTAGGTCTCTAGCAGGAACTACCAACACCGAATTCATCAGATCCTCATGCAGTTCCACCACTTATCCTAGACTTTGCTACTCTTCTCTGGCTAATCAGGCCACCGTAATCCGAAACGACCCGAATCTTCTGGCCAGCGCCGCTTTATCTGTGAGTATGAATTCTGCGAGGTCAACCTCTTCCATGATGGTCAAACTAGCTCAGAGTCACGGGTTGACTCCCCGGGAAGTCGGAGCCATGCATGACTGCGTGGAGACGCTGAGCGACTCCGTTGACCTTCTCAGGAAATCAATGGGGGAGATGGGTCAACTCAGGGGTTCAAAGGCTGATTTTGGCCTCTTGATGAGCGATATTCAGACATGGGTTAGTGCTGCTTTGACCGACGACGATACCTGCACGGAGGGTTTCGCCGGAAAAACCATGAACGGCAACACTAAGCTTGCCGTCAGGCGAGATATTGTGAATGTTGCACATTTGACTAGCAATGCCTTGGCCCTGATTAATGCCTATTCTTCGCTCCACGGTTAGAATATGGGAGAGATGCTTCAATTATAGATCATTTACGTGCCAAAGACCAAAAATATTCTAAAATAAATATCTGGCACAGTTAGATTAATTCTAGATGTGGACAGTGCTATATGTATCGTGATTCGAATGTGGTCAAGTTATGAACTGTGGCGGTTGTTTAGCTAGTATTTTGTCTCGTACGTGATTTTTTAAGTTTTGTTTAGGTGTTGAGGCAATTAGGGAGGAGACTATCAAACTCTTCCCAAAGTACGTATGTATATCAAGTTTGTTGTTTGTGCTCTATTTGGATCAGATGGTGTATATTAATTGGATAAGATCTTTAGTAGTATTATTCTGTTCCTCACTACCCTTTTTTGTTTACCTACTCAAAGAAACAATTTGACTTGATGATTAATCACGGAAGTGATTTCAGTCAATGTGCTGAAATTAAATCATTGTTTGAATTAAAATTTCAAATTTATCACCATAGTTAGAACAGAAGGTACGTACGTAGCTGCATCTCATAGTCATACTCATTGTATTCTCGGTCAAGTGATGTACGATATATAATTGCAGAGCTTTGTACAAGATCTGATTCCTCATTTTGTAAATAATCCGTCTCGTGTTGAACTTTTTCTAAAGCCCATATCTCAGACCGTACGAAGACGGTAAAAAGCACCCAAAGTTAGCTTTTTTTCTTCTTTTTTTTTTCCCCCATCTTAACCCGTGTTTACCGTTGCAACCAACAGCTTATCCGCTCGTTGAATGTAACAGGTAGTCAAAAGATTTAAAGATTCTTTATGTTTATAATGATTTTTAACTTTTGATGTTATGAGCAAGTTAGTTGTCCCACATCAGTATTTATGAACAATAAATAGTAATTAATAAGTAATTTAGTCCTAAAACCTATTATCTTGAGATTTTAGATTAAGCTGATTTTCTACTTATTTATTGGACTCAATATTGAAACTCTCTAAACCTTATCTTCATGCCAGAAATCTTGACAAGTGGTATCAGAGCTAGAGTTTAGCCGGGCCTAATAGGCTATCTTGGGGCGTTAGGCGTTGATGCACTTGGTTGACCCGTGGAACTCGGCACTCCGAAAGTTGTTGCATTTCCGACTTAGAGTAGAAGTGGATTTGGTATGGTTACTCGTGATGGATGAGATTATTACGTTGTCGCATTTCTCATTTCCGACTTAGAATAGAGCTAAATTTGGTGTGGTTACTCATAACGGGTAGATTGTTGATTGTATATTCTCATACCAGAATTCATGACATTGACCCCTAAACTTATAGTTAAGCGTGAAAAAATCTCTTCTACTCCTTTTTCGAAGTTCAGTTTTAGATAGCCGGATCGATTCATTATCTTATGGCCAAGCATTATGCCATTGCTATTCATCCAGGCCCATCGTGGAGGCTAGCTCCTTGTAGGTTGGTCCATTAATGTTCGAGCCCATAGAAGTACGCATTCTCTTTTGTCAAAACATGATTATCCGTTTCAAATTTTGTTTTGAGTAATAATAGATACAAGACAAATTTACAGAGAATTTTAAGAAAAAATCGTATAATGAATCTTACTTATCCCTAAACTTTAAATCACAGGTCAAGAATTTTTACCTGTGATTTAACTACTTTTTTTTTAGGGAGCGGGGGAAGGGAAACTTGTATCAGGTTGCAGTTTCCACTCATTAACCCAATCGAACCAGATGGGATTCTCTGTAAGGAATTTTCCTATAAGTTCCTGTAAGTTTGATTAAACTATGTCGTTTCATCCTCACAATCCATTAACTCCTCAAATTTTATCACTTTTGACATTGATTAACTTTAGTAATTTCCAACTTACTGGCTATACCTTAAGCCAAGCCGAAGTCAATCCTTTTTTATATATTTAATATTTACATCATCTTCTTCACACCGCACAGAGCATGATCAAAATCCAACTGCCGTTTTTCATCCGATGGGCATTAATATTCCAGTTGCCAACTCCTCTAATCAGCAGAAAACAGAAGCTAGCACCAGCAAGCTATTAAGTGGAGGCACAAATGTCATTCTTGACAAATTGATACCAGATTTCAAAATCAGATCCGTAATCTCCAACACAGAATGGAGCGAACTAAATGTCATCACCGGTTATTGATTTGACAACTAAACTTCAAAGCAACAAAATTAACACATAATTAATGGCGAAAGTAGAACGAAATCATAACATAGACGAGGCCAAAACCCAACACCGGAACCCGACACCAAATCGGAGTGAATTCGGGAGTGAAAAAAAGAAATTATATCTCATATCCATGGAAGTTAGCACCACCACTGGTGATGCTTTTGAAGGGCCAACTGTTGAATGGGTCCATACATCCATGGGAAATGGTTCCCAAACTTGGGTTCCCGGCTGAAAAAGTTTGGGACCGTAGACATATTTTCCGGATTTTTTGAGCAGATTATGAATAAAGAAGCAACAATATACATGATTTAACTGTTAGAAATGCAATTCTTTAAGCACCGGATGGGAAAAATTAAAGGCCGACAGTGACTTCACTAATTAAAGGCCACCGGAAGATAGGTGAAGTAAGCGGCTACGACGGAGAAAGAGAGAGAAAATAATGTTATCTTTCCGAATTCTATTCCAATCATAATCGGCTTGGCTCAAGCTGATAACTGAAGAAATTAGGAAAGTAAAAACTAAAGAGTTAATAAATCACATGATGAAACGACGTCGTTTCGTCAAACTTACAGGAACTTCTAGGAAAGGTCCTGACAGAGGATCCCATCAGCAATCGAACTATTTCTCAAAAGGCCATGAAAGAGTATTCTGTTTGTGATTAAAGTTCGCTCCGTGTTTAGTGTATACACATTTCATTTGATTCTTCAAAACTGAAACCAGAGAGATATCCAATTAAGATTAGACACTAAGAAAGACAGTCAAGGTCATTTCACCGCCTGACAAAACGAAACATGAAACCAGAGAAATATCCAATTAAAATTAGATTATAAGAAAAGCAATCAAGGTCATTTCACCTCGAGACAAAACGAAGCTAAGTAGCTAACAATCTCGTACTTATGATAATTTCCCAACTCGAATTCGCAAAAATTAATGGTCTAACATGAAATATTCAAAATTTGACGGCCTAGCACAAAATCTGACTTCTTTAGCTACAGGTTTGCCCTATTTCCCAACTCCCCCTACAAATCGATCTGACCATTTCGGCCACGTGCTTCTATTTCCTACAACCCCAAAATGCAAAGCAAATGTCAGCATCCATGACACCGTCTTAAAGCCGTGGCTACAAATCTAAAAAAGCTCTGTGATTGGTGATCATGCGATTCACATCGAATCCAAAGTGGTGATCATCATTTGGCCAACAAGTGGATTCAAATCTACTGCATAGGGTCTCTTCTCATGTCCAATTCCATCTACACTTCATGACGCGACGTTGGATGAGGAGGTGGTCGTGAGATCTACCTTTTCGAATAGTTTTTAAGTATTAATCTCCTTCTACTCTTTCATTGTAAACAGACTTGTTAGAAATGGGCACAGGGATCACCGGAAGAAATTTGATCAACTTTTTTCCATTATTATACTTGACTATAGTTGTTTACCCAGCAAAAAATTGAATATTATTATGGTTTAAATGTTGCGATGCACACTGAAAACCACAAAGAAACAAGGTCAGGAGACGTATACGGAGGTGGAATCACCCGAGGTAGCAAAAAATCGTGAGTAGGGATTATTTTATGAAACTACAGTATTTTTTATTTTTTTTTTGAATCAGAAAAAAAGACACCTGATTGTTTTCTTGTTTTACGTTATCACGAGTTTGAAACACGTTTTGTTTGTAAACAAAGAAAAAAAAAAAAAAACCTCATGCATGCCGACATTATTTGGTAAACTTACCAATGCATTGATTTATGTCTTAATCTATTTCATTTCATATTTGGACACTCTTATTTCCATGATATTGGAACCCATTCGGCCATGTCCTAATTAACCCCATCTTTACAGGTGGAGAAGGGAAACCCAAAAGTAGTGGCTAAGCACATCGGGCATGTTTAATTTAGCAATCTTGGCTGCTGCTTATTTTTGCAATTAAATACTAGATCGTGCTGGGTCCCGGAGGGATGTGTCGCGGCCCAAGAGCTCGATCGTGTGTTGCTTCAGCTTCTGATTATCTCTTTAATTTCGTGGACTTCTGATTGATTTATTGATCGATCGATCACCTTTACCACTTAGACAATTACCGGACTCGTGTTTTCAGCCTGCGTAACTCAGAATAATTTGAATATGCCGATATGATAATGCTATTCACACAAATACAGTAATTACCAGAAAGGAAATCTTCACAACTCTTGTAGAAAGAAGATAGGCGAAATATTGGTGATAGGTCTTGAAGTTTCATGTTATTTATGGGTATTTGTATAGCATTTTGGATTAGATTGTGTACTTATATTATGTATTTTGATGTTTTTGGTTCCTAGGAGTCCTTAGAGATGAGATGGAGCAAAATGTTCCATAAACACACATTGTTGGAGCATTTTGACAATGAAGCACAAAAAGGGAGCAATGACATCACATTCTCGTGTGGGCACACGAACCTCGGTCCAAAATTGAGCTTTAGAGAAGAAATTCCAGCATTGATGCTGCATTCCCGTTTGGCCAAACCAAAACAGGGACTAAAATGAAAAATTGAAAAAGTTTTGGATTGGGGTTAAAATATAATTTTGCCAAACTTGAGGGACCAATATACAAATTTCGGAAAAGTTAATTTGCAGCTGCGAAATTCTAAAAGCTTCTGGCGGCTGACCTACTTTTTGGCATATAAATTAATTTTATTCTTTTCTTTTGGAGGGGGGCTGAACGTGAGAAGAAGAAGAGGAGGCTAGAGTGGTCCTAAGCCGCCAATCTAGCCCTTTTGGGCGTTATTCTTCCCCATTCTCCATAGTTTTGTTTTAGTAAGACTTTATTATGTGTAATTAAATTATTTTTCTTGTTGAAAGATATTGAAGCCTTGGCTTGAATAGTTGTGAGATCTAAATGTTGTTTCTCTCTCAATTTCTTGTGAGTATTTGCTTGTTCTATTGCATGATTGATATGATTATTGTGGATTCATGAATAGCTGGTAGCATTCATTATTTCATGTTAGTTAACAACCAATAAGGCAGCAAGGTTTGTTGTTTTAAAAGGGACTGATATAATTAAATTACTTGGTAAGTGATTTTGTTATGTTATAAGAACAAGTAATCTGGTTTTTCATTAAACAAGGTTTGTTTCATAGGGACCAGAGTTGGGTCTTTGTACTTAATGCAGTCGTTTTCTTAATCTTAGGAGGTTCCAGGATTGAATTTCGACTAGTGTATTTAATGAAGGTTTTCTTAATCACTAAACTTAGTTCAAGATTGAGTTGTTAGGAGGTTCCAACAACGAAAACTAATTTGCCTATAAGTGATTGAGCATCATTGCATCTATGATCAATTGTCTAGACCAAGGTGGATATAAAATTTTTGACTAGAAACTTTCTCATAATTTGCTTTCATTTTTTTTTAACTATCATTTGAATTTTATTTTAACTACATTTTAGTTTTAAAAACTCAAAACCCCACTTTCGGTTACTTATTTGAAAGAAACAAATCCACCATTCCCTGAG